CAAGTGAAAGCCTGATAGGTTAAGCAGTGCAGGGCCTGGTTAGAACTGTGAAGGGTGACATCAGAACACTAGGTGCCACAGTGCAGCTGTAAAATGCTTATTACTTAACCTACACTGCCGAGTACTTGTATCTGTGAATGATTGATGGAGGTCGGAGAGGCCAATGGCACACATTCATGGCTTTGTTACTCTGCCGCAGGGCGGTTGGGGCTACAGCAGTAGTTTACTACCACAGTGAATGGAGTTGCCTTTTTAAGCGTCTTTGGGAGTCATGACATCAGTGAAATGCATTGTTATTATTATTGTATTAAGAACAAATCAAGGAAATCAAAATCTACCTTTAACAACATGTTCAGAAAATAAATAATGTTTGAAATAATTAAAAAAATAACCAATGTTTTAAATATATTGAGGATTTTCAAATAAATCCAATTGGACAGAATTTCTCCGTTATAACCATTGACCTGGTCCAATACAACTGCATCTGATGCTTCTTTAACAGCTCAGACATCTGTCCCTGACCACGTTCTGACTGCCTTAAAACAACATTTTCCAATGGGAACAAACAAAGGTCTTGTTTTAAAAAGATACCAGAAATGTCTCCCTTGGAATAGGAAACACTAAATGGATCTGTTTTAAAATAGCCAGAATGTACTCAACTTAAGATAAAAACGACTTGATTCAAGCAATTGTTACCTCATATTTCATCATTTTTTTGCAGTGCACCTGTATCATACTGGGGACTGTCCCTCCAAGGAAACCCTGACCCACATCTGAAGCGTCGGTGTGAAGAGAGAGTAAAACAAGGATCAATTGGTTCACAGAGATGATAGTCTAACAAACCCTGGCTTCAGTTCTCTTTGACCCACTTTCAGAGGCGTCTCAATAACCTATACACTATTGTTTATCGATGTGTCGAACTTAATGCTGAATCATATTAAACCTGGCTCCCGATCAAGAATGTTAATGCATAATGAAGGCAGTGAGGATGTGCAGTGAGTCGTGTTGCAGCTGACAGGTGGGCGGCCATCTAGTGCAGGCTTTAGATAGTACTTCTGCCACTTTATACACACTTATTTGTATTGCAGTTCATACACAAGGCAACTCAAAGTGCTTAACAAGATAGAAACACACCACATAAAGTCATGAAAAATCACAGTACATTAAAAAGAGTAAAGATCAAATCCCTCAGTTGTATGCACTGCTAAACAGAAGTGTTTTAACCTTGGTTTTAACATTTGACAGAGAAGAAGCCTGTCTCACATTTTCAGGAAGACTGTTCTAGATTTTATCTGAGTGAAGGTGAAATGCTGATGTTCAGTTCTGACTCTGGGCGCAAGCAGGAGGCCAGTCCCTGTGCGCTGCATGGTCCCAGCAGGAGGCCAGACCCTGTGCTCTCAGAGTCCCAGCAAGAGGCCAGTCCCTGTGCGCTGCATAGTCCCAGCAGGAGGCCAGTGCCTGTACTCCTCAGAGTCCCAGCAGGAGGCCAGTCCCTGTGCTCCTCATGGTCCCAGCAGGAGGCCAGTCCCTGTGCTCCTCAGAGTCCCAGCAAGAGGCCAGTCCCTGTGCTCCTCAGAGTCCCAGCAGGAGGCCAGTCCCTGTGCTCCTCAGAGTCCCAGCAGGAGGCCAGTCCTTGTGCTCCTCAGAGTCCCAGCAGGAGGCCAGTCCCTGTGCTCCTCAGAGTCCCAGCAGGAGGCCAGTCCCTGTGCGCTTAATGGTCCATGTTTATTTGTCATTGAATGTCATTGGTTGTGTTTTTCCAACTGTTTTTGAGTCGTTCCTTGCTGATGCAGGAGGATCTAAGGACAGTGATGATGATCCAGGACATTGAAGGACATTTAGGGACATTAAGATGACTAATGTGCACATTGGTCATTTGCCCCCTGTCGATCAATGTTTGTTTTCTGACCTATGTTTGTCAGGCGGCACGGTGGCTGAGTGGATAGCACTCTCGCCTCTCAGCAAGAAGGTCCTGGGTTCGAATCCCGGTCGGACCAGGGTCTTTCTGAGTGGAGTTTGCATGTTCTCCCCGTGTCTGCGTAGGTTTCCTCCGGGTACTCCGGTTTCCCCTACCACTAAAAATATGTCCAATAGTTCTGGCATTAGTACAGGCGCCTCCTGTACTGGCGACCCTGCTCCCATCTCTGTGTGGAGTGAGAGACAAATGCCCAAAAAAATTAACAATTGTAAACCGCTTTGAGACTCAGATCTGCAGTGAAAAGGCGGTATATAAATAAAGATTACTTACTACTACTTACTACTTACTGTTTGTTACTATTGCATTTCCTCTGTCCGAACGGTTGGATTCTCTCATATGGTGTTGCTGAATCGACAGCTTTGTAAAATCCTCCAAAATAACTGCTGTTGTGATTGAGGCTCATACAAAAATGAATGTAAAGGAATGAATAGATAAGCACATACATAACTCTCACAACGCCGCATTTATGACTTGTTATTGCACCATGAGTCAAAGCAAATTCCTAGTTTCACTGCAAAAAATTCTTCAATATGAGGTAATAGAGACCTGAATTGAGTGGTTTTATCCTATTCTGAGTACATTCTGACTGAGTTAAAACAAGATTTTCAAATGGGACAAAGACAATTCGTCTCATTTCAAGTGCAATGTATTTCTCATTCCAAGTGAGACATGTATTTTTTCTTTGTCCATTAGGCTAATCTTGTTTTAAGGCAGTCAGAATGTTCTCAAATCTAGATCAATAGATAGAGAGATACTTTATTGATCCCCGTAGAAGACATTCAGGATCATCAAGATACATTTGGCCAAATTTGGCCTAATTTTTGACTTTTCACAGTGCTGTGACTTCCTGCTTTGTAAAAAATTAGAAAATGTGAGATAAGTTAAGGTAATTTCAGTACATTCTGACTGTCTTAAAACAAGATTTGCCACTGGAAAAAGCAGTTTAGTCTATATTTTATTTCTCATTCCACGGAGGACATTTCTTGAAGTTTCTTCTTGTCAAATTAAAATAAAAACACTGGATTCAAGCATTTATTACCTTGTCTTTTTTTGTAGTGTGTTACATACAATGACAAAAAAACATTCTTATTCCGTCTGCCGTGAACCCTGGAGAGTGCAGCAATAAGTCTCCGTGTATGACTTCACCTAAACTAAACTATGCAGTAAATATTTTTGTTCTTGATGTAAGAGCAGGCTTTGGGTAAGGGGCACCGTGCATTCTAGGTCAGGCCCGTTATGTGAACACTGTACTTCCCGCTGCGAGTGTAGTGGATGTGTGTCTAAAGCGAACTAATCTCCTCTGCTGTGGCCTCCTCTACAGTATTTTTCACACACGGTGGTCTGGGCGCACACATGAATGCTTGAACCCTGGCTGCATGCATGACTGTGTTTCTTTGCATGTGCCTGAAGCTGAGCCGAACTCCGTGACCTGTCCATCAATCTAACGGCAGTCGGCAGTTCCACTTGTTTTTCACTGTTTGACTGATGTTTTCAAGAAATGAGATAAAGATATTAAAAAAAGCACATTTTAATATTCTGGAAATCAGGACCAAATGTGCTATACAGTACAACTAAAGCTGACATTAACAACATTATGGTCTCTCTCTGGTCTCTCTGTGTTCTCTCTTTTCTCTTCTCGGTCACTCTTCTTTGTGGTCTCTCTCTGATCTCTCTCTCTGGTGTCTCCCTCTGGTCTCGCTCTGGTTTCTTTGTGGTCGCCCTGGTCTCTCTGGTCTCTCCCTCTGGTGTCTCTCTCATGGTCTCTCTCTGGTTTCTTTCTGGTCTCTCTCTCTCTCTGGTATCTCTCTCTGGTCTCTCTCTGGTTTCTCTCTGGTGTCTCTCTCTGGTTTCTCTCTGGTGTCTCTCTGGCGTCTCTCTCTGGCCTCTCTCTCTGGTGTCTCCCTCTGGTCTCTCTCTGGGTTCTCTCTAATCTCTCCCTGGTCTTTCTCTACTCTCTCTCTGGTTTACTTGGTTCATTTGGTCTACCATGACGGTTGCACACTTGTCCAGAGGGTGCTGTGTTAATGGATAAACTAGAAAGATTATATTTATTTTAAGATTATTCTTTGTAAAACTTCATTATCAAACATGAAGATTAAAGATTTATAATCCTTAAGATCGTTTATTTGTCCAACAGTGGGGACATGTCACCAAGTGTATAATCTCTAAATTTAGCATGATGCAGAAGCAAGTATAGAATCTCTAACTTTAGAAAGTAAAAAGTCGAACATGTGAATCTTGAATCTTCCTTACGGCACCACAGAGTTGAACTAAAAACATTGCTCTCGCTCAAATATTTGTTTACTGCAGCAGTGTGGCAGTAGTATTTGTGGTGCCAAAGTTTCACTTTTGGGGAAACCATTGGCAGGAACTACCTCCGCTATTACACTTTTGATAATATAAGGATCACAATAACAAAAATATAACATAATTATTACATTGTTATAGATCTCTTACATTTGTTGCAGTTTCAGATGTTCATTCTCTAAGAAGTCTTATTCTTGTGTGACTAGTGTAACTTTAAGTATAACTAACGAAGAGTGTAAGTAAAATATGTTTAAGTTCATGTTTTTGTGCATGTTTTTGTGCAGTTGGGAGTCAAGTAGGCCATTCCAGTCCTAAATGATCTGACGTGGCCACATTACTATATATCTGTGTTCAGACATTCAGAAGGATCCTATAAATCCACGCAGTAAACCAGGCTCCGCTGCCAGGTCCTTGTTTTTCTGGTTCTATTGCGGTGACGATGAAACACGGTTCAAGCGAACCGCGTCACCTTTACGCGCTGAGTGTTTATTTGTATGCGTGGGTGGGGGCTCGGGCAGGCGGGGGCACTTCCTCTGCGTCTATCTGGGGTCATACGATCCTTTCAACGTGGATCCATAAATGACCGGTGGGCTCGACGGCCACACTATGGCGCACAGAGTCCTGATTGGCTCACTCAGCCTATATATTGTCGCAAGGTGTGAGAGTTCCAAGAAACGGCAATTTCACCACAACAACGAGCATCCACCTTTGAATGATGAGAGCGCAAATACAGAAGGTCCCACAGATTGTGGAGCTGCTGAAGAAGAAGTCAGTGGGACTGCAGCACTTTAAGCCCACGTCGTCAGTGTGCGTCCTAGATGAGAAGGATGCTGTGCAGACGCCGCTCTGCCCTCACGCAGCCTCCAGAGCGCACACTGCGCACGCTGCACACAGCTTGGATGCCATTCCCGGTCCCACCAACTGGCCCCTAGTTGGCAGTCTGGTGGAACTGCTGCGGAAAGGAGGACTCACCCGGCAACACGAAGCCTTGGTAAGATTCATCACAGAGTTATAGAATTGTGTCAGTTTAGAGATTTAGATCCATTTTATATTCGTTTCATAATGACTTTTTCTTCTTTTCTTTTTTTTCATACAAATGTGATTTATTTTGAAGGTTGATTACCATAAGAAATTTGGAAAGATTTTCCGGATGAAGCTGGGCTCCTTTGAGTCAGTGCACATTGGTGCGCCCTGTTTGCTGGAGGCGCTCTATCGGAAGGAGGGAAATTACCCTCAGAGACTGGAGATCAAGCCGTGGAAAGCCTACAGAGACCTGAGGGACGAGGCGTACGGACTCCTCATTCTGTAAGTGAGCCACGTTTGAACATCACAGCAAAAAAGCCAGAGTTTGTCCTGAAACATGACTTGAACTCGTTCGACAGTGAAGGCAAAGACTGGCAGAGAGTGAGGAGCGCGTTCCAACAGAAGCTGATGAAGCCCACGGAGGTGGTCAAACTGGACAAGAAGATCAACCAGGTGCGTCCCTCTCAACCCGCTCTGTGTGCGTCTCTTTAACATTTTCTAATAGCTTCTGTTTTGTTCTGTTCAAGGTTCTAGTGGACTTTGTTAGCAGGATTAAAAATATTAACAACAATGGGAAGATTGAAGATTTGTACTTCGAGTTGAATAAATGGTCGTTTGAGAGTAAGTCACTCTTAGTGCAACAGTGAAACAAATTATGATCCAATAACAAATGTTCACATGGTCAAACTGATATTCCATGCTCTTACTTTAACCCATCACTCCAAAGTCTCTAATACAATGAATGTAATCAATTCTTTCACTTGTTTTTCTTTGTAGCAATATGCCTGGTCCTTTATGAAAAGCGATTTGGTCTTCTGCAAGAGGAAGTCAACGAAGAAGCAATGAACTTCATCACAGCAGTAAAAACAGTGAGTTTGAATAGAATCAATTATGTCTGGCGGGTTTTTGTGTAGCACTGTTTATACACAAGGCAACTCAGAACAAAAGAATATTGCTCAAAAGTCCATTCACTTTACTGTAATTCAACTTAAAGTTTTGAATTAATACATGACAAGTGAGACATAACAAGCCTTTATTTTTTTTGTTTTTAAGAATTAGCTCAAAGCTGGCAAACAACCTGAAATAAAACTACTAAACAAATGTGAGCCATAAACATCAGAGCAAAGACTTGGCATACATCACTTTGCATCTAACAAGTTTTTATTATTTACTAATTTCACATTTTAAGTCAGACTTTTGAGCACTATTCCAATTTTCTGCGTTTCTCCGTCTTAGTTTTAGCTTTCCTTTGACCTATTTAGATTTGTAACTAGACTGAACCAGTCCTAAGATGTAGCCTAGTATCTGAAATCATGAGTTGGATTAGAGGACTGCAGACCTGTCACCATAGTTCTCCCACTGCTCGTACACGTGCCACAGTTTGAGAAGCGCTACGTTTTGACTTCACGGAGGCTGGTTCAGCAGGTTCACACTGGGCCGAGCGAGGTCAAGTGAATATGTTTACTTGGATTTACTGGGCCAAACCAATATCACTCAGAGCAGAGATAAGGGGTGTTAGGGGCCACTGGGTGCAACATACAAACGAGTTAAGGTTTGGGATTGATTATGTTAAACAGCTGCAGGACATTCCAACCGCTTCAGCTCGAGTTCTGACTGGAACCAGGAAGTACCGTCACATTAGTCCAGTTCTCAGGTAACCGCTTCCTGTAGCTCAGAAAATAGAGTTTAAAACAGTTCTGCTTACATGTCTCTCCATCACCTCGCACCAATGTAACATGTTAGTGCTATATGAACCAGCTGGGACTCTGAGGAGCACAGGCACTGGTCTCCTGCTGGGACTCTGAGGAGCACAGTTACTAGTCTCCTGCTGGGACTCTGAGGAGCACAGTTACTAGTCTCCTGCTGGGACTCTGAGGAGCACAGTTACTAGTCTCCTGCTGGGACTCTGAGGAGCACTGGCCTCCTGCTGGGACTCTGAGGAGCACAGGGACTAGTCTCCTGCTGGGACTCTGAGGAGCACAGGGACTAGTCTCCTGCTGGTCCCAGAGTCAGAACTGATTATGGGAGGCAGCATTCCAGACCTATGCACGTAAAATCTGCAACAATCTTCCTGAAGGTGTGAGACAGGCCGCTACCCTGGTTATATTCAAGTCCAGGCTGAAAAAGGTTCCTATAACTTATTTAATCAGGCAGCAGTTTGGGTTGCCTTCTGTATGAACTGTCCTGCAGATTGGTTGATTATTGCTCTGATTGTGTTATTGATGATTGGATGAATATGTGTTGTTTCAGATGATGAGCACGTTTGGGATGATGATGGTGACACCAGTGGAGCTTCACAAGAGCCTGAACACCAGAACATGGCAGGACCACACCGCGGCCTGGGATCGAATCTTCAGCACAGGTACTTTGCTTTATCTCTATCTTATAGTTGTTTGAATAAGGACTTCACATTACAGGCATTATTTAGCACTAAAATACTTCATATACGTGATTTATTTTTATATACTGTAGTATGATAACTTCTTGAATCAAGTGTTTTTTAATCTTATTCTGAGTACATTTTGACTGCCTTAAAACAAAATTTGCCTTTTTAAACCTTTTTATTTGTCGCATTGGTCAATCTTGTTTTAAGGCAGTCAGAATGGGCCCATTTTAAGATACATTAAGCAAAATGTTAGCAATTTTTGGATTATTTTTCATCCCTTTTTCTAGTTTACTACCAAATGTACCAGGAGTAGCTAGAGTTCACCTTCCAGTCTTCTTGGTAGAAAGGTATTTGGTCCGTCTATAACAAAAAATACTTAGCTAGCTTAGTTACTAAAGTCTGGTATAGAACCAAAATAGAACCATAAAAGTGTGAAATGCCAGGAAAATAAAAATATGCACTATGGGGACTAGAACATGCACTCGAAGAGCACATACTCCGCCCAGACCACCTTCAAATCTGAGTGCTGGAGGGCCTAAGGACAGTAGTGAGGATCCAGGACATTGGTCGTCTGCCCCTTATGGACCAATGGCTCTATGTGTTTTTTACCATCATATTTCTTGTGTTTGAACGGTTTGATTCTCTGATTTGTGTTGAAGAATCAACAATTGTCTGAAATCCTCTGAAATAACTACTGTTGTAATTTAGCGCTGTACAGAAATAAATTGAATTGAATTGAAGACAATGTATGACAAAAACATCAATCGAAATCACTTAATCTCAGGAGCTGATTCACATGTTGTTTTTTTCCATTCTCAGCCAAAGTCTACATTGACAAAAAGATGAAGACGAACACAGACAGAGCGCCGGACGACTTGATCGGAGACATCTTACATCACAGCTGCCTTACCAAAAAAGAGCTGTACGCGGCGATCACAGAGCTGCAGATTGGAGGAGTGGAAACGGTAAGAAACTAAACACATCACAAACAAACACTATCAATTATCAACTTTCAATGCAACAAGTTATCAAAAAATAACAAGTCAAAAGTTGCTTGAATTGGGAAATGTAATCTTACTTTGAGGACATATCGACCCCGTGACAGCCAGATCCTGTCAGACCACTAAAGCCAAGCAGGACAGAGCCTGCTTAGTTCGGTGATGGGAGACATTAGGAAACACCAGGTGCCACAGTGGGGCGGCTGCGGCTGTAAAGAGCCGATCTGTCGGTCTGTCCTTCTCCCACATTGCCAAGAATAAGTCTGGTGTGTGTGTACCAGGGCACCTGTGGCTACAGTAGGAGTTTGTCACCACCGTTTATGGAGTGAAAGAATAATGACATGTGAAGCGTCTTTGAATTTCCTGAAGGACGCTATATACAATTAATTTATTAATTAAAGCAAAAACTCTTAAAAATGAAAATCATTTGAAATTGCACTGTTTATTTATTTTCCTGTGGATATGTTTGTCTCGCTGTGAACAGTCATTGTGTCCCATTCAATGCAAAAATACAATTCGAAAATTGTTCAAAAGCCCATTTACTTCTGTTCATAATTGGCTCAAAGGTCATCTGACCCATTTAGGTTTGTAACTTGACTCAACCAGTTCTAAAAGGTATTCTAATTCATCAAAATCATCATTTAGAAAAGACAAAAGCTGCATATCATAAGTACAGACAGATAAAATGTAGTTTTATGACATGTTCATTGTGGTCTCAGAGCAGACACGTGTCTCTTTAGACCAGACCTTTTACCCTTGCTTCTTTATTATGCTTAAGTCGAGATTTTATTTTATTTTAGTATAGAGTTATTGTGCTGTGTGCTTCTCATTCCTACTGTTCTGATGCAGCACAGAAATTTCCCCGCTCTGGGACGAATAAAGGATCTCTTAATCTTAATCCAGCCGAATCTATCTGAAATTCAGATCTCTGAATTTGAATACTGCCGGTGCATCCCTTGGAAAGAGTTAAATTGGGATAAAAACCCCTTGATTTAAGAAATTATTACCCTATATTTTATCGTTTTTTCAGTGAAGAGGCCAGTCCCTGTGCTCCTCAGAGTCTGAATTGGTTCATATGGCACTAACATGACACAGATGTACTTCGATGCAAGGCAATGGAGAGACTTTACACTGGGAATGAGCCTTTTATGCTTCCCCTTTTCCAGACTGCTAACAGTATGCTGTGGGCTATCTTCAACCTGTCACGGAACCCTGGTGCCCAGAAGAAGCTGCTGGAGGAGATCCGAGCGGTGGTGCCCCCAGACCAGGACCCCTGCGGAGAGCACCTCAAGACTATGCCCTACCTTAAAGCCTGCCTTAAGGAGTCCATGAGGTAGGGCCATACTTTCAGACTCAGTGACATCACAATGAGGAACATTGTAGCGCTGGTTGAGAATTAGACCTCTGATCTGGCGATTTCAATGGTTCTCAAGTCCTCTTGAGATAACTACTGTTGTGATTTAGGGCGACACAAGAATACATTGAATTTAACTGAATAAATATCAAATACAATTAAAGTAGCAGATATCACCTTTAAACCTATCTCATTCTGGATTAATATTAGACTATTCTAGGTTTAATTAGGTCTTATTAGCTTAACCGTTTCCTTTATACCTTTACCACAACCAACATTATTTACAGTATGGGTGCTTCCCTAATTTACAACGGAGCATAAGCCTCACCAGAAACAACAGCAAAAATATTCCTATTTATAATAAACTACACAGCAAGTGAAAGTAAAAAAAAATGTTTACATTTGACTTAATGTATCTTAATTTGACCACATTCTGCCTTGAGATTTGCCAATGGGACGAAGCATAATGATCTTGTTTAAATAGATAAAAAATAAGTTGCGTCCCTTCACCTCCGGTGGGGGACAAGTCTCACTGTTGTGGCGGCCAACAGGCCTAACAGCAGTGCAGAGTACTCGGCCTTCTTGGAGTCCTTCTTGGATGGTGCACTGACTGGGGACGCAATTTTTCTCCTGGGGGACTTCAACGCCCATGTGGGAAATGCCAGTGACACTTGGAGAGGGGTGATTGGGAAGAACGGCCCCCCTGATCTGAACTTGAGCGGTGTTCAGTTGTTGGACTTCTGTGCGGTCACGGTCACGGTCTGTCCATCACGAACACCATGTTCGAGCACAAGGTTGTCCACCAGTGCACGTGGCACCAGTATCTGAGGCCGGAGGTCGATGATCAGCTTTGTTGTTGTATCATCTGACCTTTCGGCCGCGTGTCTCGGACACTCAGGTCAACCGATCATGAGTTGGATCTGCTGGCAGGGGAGGAAGCCGGTCAGACCTGGCAAGCCCAAGCGTGTAGTGAGGGTATGCTGGGAACGTCTCCCAGCAGACCCCTATCAGACGGACTTTCAACTCACACCTCCGGGAGAGCTTCTCTCAGGTCCCGCGGGAGGAGGGGGACATAGAGTCTGAGTGGACCATGTTCTCCCCTCTATCTCCGATGCGGCAGCTCGTAGCTGTGGTCGCAAGGTCTCTGGTGCTGGTCTCAGCTCTACACTCTCCATTGGATACCCACCGTGTTCCCCGGGGTGTCCTTTGGGGGTTCTCCAGGATTATGGGGTCTTGGGTTTTAAGGGCCGTCTGGTCCCTGTATGACCGGAGTCAGAGTTGCAATCGCATCAGTCCCTGCCTGGACTGTTGCCCCCGCGACTCGGCAACAGATGAAGAGGAAGAGGAAGAAAACAGTTCTTAAATACCACTAAATAACTTTATCACATTGGCAAAAATTATCAAGACTCAACTTCAAGATTAAAGAATGTATTTGCCATTTGCAATAAAACCCCATTGGAAAAACTGTGCAAGATTTCCCCAGCGTGCACTAGATAGAACACACCCGAGCTGTTTATGAGACTAAAAATAAAAGAATGAAATCCTATTACTGAGGCCTAATCTTACCTCGACTTTAATCTCAGAACGTTTCAACTTTTATCTCATAACATGACTTTATTCTCACAATATTTCTGCGACTTAAACGTTGAATTATTATGAGTTTATTTTCATAGTAATTACATGACACAAAGTTACGTGCAGTCCCCAGAAAAGTCATGCCAGAGCACGAGCCAAAGTATCAGTAATGTGACCTGACGTAACGTACAGTAAAACTAAGTCATGAGTTTTACGTTAAGTCCAGTTACAGATTGCACTAACTCTAGCACATGACGTCTCTATAAATACGCTTTTTCAAATGAAGGGTAGCATGACCACTTAAACCTGAAAATACATCCACCTGGTCCCGTTCAGGTGACCTTCTAGTCCGCCTTTGGTTTCCTTTCGGTCACAAGTTGTCCTGCATGGTATTTACAGCTAATACTTTAACCATATCACAGACTGTAAATCAGGGGTCTCAAACTCAATTTAGCTGCGGGTTACGTGAGGCGCTGTCTGGGGGTATACTTATCACATGTGTTTGTGTGCAACATATATGAACATCGGATATAAATCGATCCAACCTATGATGATATTCATACATTTCAAATTGTCCCGTCTACTTATTCTTCAATTTTAACAGTAGAGAAACATTTTGCTGCAAAAAGTTATGTAAAATGTTTCAAATTTGGCAAAATGTGTGTGTTAATTTGTGTACGTTCTGACATCCCTAAAACAAGATTTGCCAATGGGACAAGCTCTTGTTTTAAAAAGATACGAGGAATGTCTCTTTCTGAATGAGAAAATAAAGCCACAGTTCTTGAAATAAGACAAAATGGCTTTATCCCATGGGCCACAAAATACTTAATTACAGGCCACAAATAGCTCTCGGGCCACATGTTTGAGACCACTGCTGTAGATTAAATCAGATTATATGATTTTTAAAAAAACACCAGTTACAGTGATACTGCTTCTATACATGTGCTTATGACTTATACATGTGCCTGATACTTACATGTGTGATGCTGTTGCCTGACATGTAAAACTCATTGCCGTTTTGAATGCTTTCAGGTTATCGCCGTCGGTTCCGTTCACGAGCAGGACCTTAGACAAAGACACTGTGTTGGGAGATTACGCAATTCCCAAAGGAGTAAGTGGCTTATGTACATACTTATACTGTACTTAATTTACATTTTCTTAGATTTGTTTTACTAAACTATCGCTTTTGTACAAAATCAGCAGTGGACTTTCAACTTGTAATGAGATTTTAGACGAGATAAGAACCTTTATTTGTCTCATGGTAGGAGAATATCAACGTCCAGCGCACATACAGGGCAGTAGTAAGAGCACACAGGGAGCACACAGGATATACCATATTTTTTCATTTCATTCATTGGTTTATTTCAAACATGCATGAGGTAAACAAACAATTGTTCACAGAAAAAAATGATATTGAGAGTACACAAGAAAACCTGTGCATGGTTTGAAAAGGGATTGGTCGAGGCACGTTTAAGATTATTTTAACCCAATTCCCTCCCAGTCATTCAAACACATATTGCAATACAAAAGAAATCGAAACCCTGCAATACCCTCCAACAGTACTCATGACATCAATATGACACACACAGACTCACACACACATAACACCTATGGCAAGAAACAAGACAAGACGCACACCAGTATAATAATAATAACAATAATACATCAGTTTTATATAGCGCTTCTCAAAAACTCAAAGACGCTTCACAATTCAGGACACACACACACACACACGTTTAGACAGACACACAAAACTAAAAGCAGGAAAGAAGAGTATAAAGTTGAGACTAAGAGTCATATGCTTGGAGGAAGAGGTGAGTTTTTAGCTGTTTTTTGAAGGAGTTTAGTGAGTCCGAGTTTCTGAGATGTTACGGAGCTAGCGGTAGATTTTTCAATATCAATTTATCGATGATTAAGCAAGACCTAAGGGGAATAACTCTGACTTTAGCATATAAAGTCATGATTTGAAGAGATTTGAATTGATTTCTATGCCCCCGTTTTGACCATCATCCCTTGGTTCATTCACAGACCGTCTTAATGATTAACAGCCACGCTCTCGGCTCCAACGAAGCATATTTCGATGACACCAAGCAGTTCAAGCCTGAGCGATGGCTGCGAGAGACTAGCACTATCAACCCTTTTGCCTACGTGCCCTTTGGCATCGGGAAGAGAATGTGCATCGGACGGAGACTCGCAGAACTACAGCTGCAGCTCGCAATGTGTTGGGTAAGAAGCATTGGTCTGTTGTGTCTCTCAAAGGTGGGGAAATGCCAGTGTTGCATCACCGGTTACAGAACATTAGGAATGAGGAGCACACAGCAAGTGCTCCAGCTTAAGTGTAATGAAGAAGAAAATCTAAAATCTTTAGCTTTAGTATAATGAAGAAGCAAGAATGAAGTATAAAAATAATGATATTCAGTTAAATCAAAATACAACATACAGTATGTCTAATGCACTGTTACATTCACAACTAAGTCTGTTTATTCTTCACCACAAGTGAAGTCCAATGTTGCATGGATTATAAATATTGAGAATACCATGACGTTCTGGTGGCCTCGCTTCTAATTTGTTGATTTCTTCAAACAGCTGGTGCGAGACTTCGAGATTGTGGCGACTGATTCTGAGCCCCTGGATGTGATCCACTCTGGACTCCTGGTTCCGAACAGAGAGCTGCCTGTAGCTTTCCTCAGAAGATGAGGTGAGAGCATCTATCTATCTACAGTATCTATCTATCTATCTATCGGTCTGTCTGTCTATTTGTATCTATCTCCATGATCCTCACATATGTTTGTTTATGTTTCCTTTAGCTGAAGACAATACCTCTGGCGGAGGGTCCTGTGACTCCTGGTTTTGCTGCTCTGTACATAGAATACACACGTGATACTTAACACATATACCTCAGGCCTCTGTGACCGATACCTGTACCTTTGTGACTACTTTGTTATTGTTTGTGGCTGACCAAAAGTACTCGAGTGAATGTTGCACCCCGGCAGCTTTCTCTAAACCTGTGTGAAGACGTGCAGCCGACAAATATGTAAATAAATGTCTACTTTGTATGCTAGTTTTTGTTATGTATATACATGGTACCTTGTAATATTGTACATTGTTTTACATAGACTCTATTTTATTCAACTGATTTTAACATTAATAAATGTATGAACTCTACTTTGCATTGGTGTCATTCGAACACTGCCGACCTGACCTCACATGTAGTGCATCTGTGCAATAACTAAAGTCAGAATGTGCAATATAGTTTGCACCGGTCCAGATTGGAGCAGAGAGAATTCATGGTTCAAACCAAGGAGATCAGGCAAATATCCACTGCAGGAATGCTAACTTTTTGAAAAATGCTAATAAAGCATTCCGCTTTATCTCTGAATACATTATTATTATTATTATTATTATTAATATCATTATTTTTATTCTTATGTTTTTATTTAGACAGTGATAGAACAATTAAAGTAATAGCAACTTAATAAAAGAAAAAATGAAGAAATGAAGTACACATAACAAACAACAAACATACACATGATCTCGTCTGCCTAGAAGGAGGCAACTATAAGTCTATCTGAAAAGGAGTGGGGGAAGTAAACACTTATATAACCCCACCCCTTTCTTCTGTACTTCAATTTTGTAACTTAATAGACTTTCATTTAATAATTATTTTAGCTCTGGATACAAGTTATAATACACATTTTGGCTCTAGATACAAGTTACAATACACATTTTTATCTCTGAATACATTATTATTATTATTATTATTATTTATTGGAAAAGAAAAGCAAAATATAGATTGACTCATACATCTCGTGCTCACTAAGTGCAGGAGTAAGCCTCATCCACAGTAGTACCCAACTCTCTTTAGCATTTTTCTTTTCAGTCGTTTTGGTGCATTTCTCACATGTGGAGGTTGAACTAGTAGTTGTTGAGAACTTTCATTCTGATCTAAGAAAAGCGCCAAAGCGACTGAAAAGAAAAAAACGATGTGTTTCAGAAACCGGTCCAACACCTTCCTCTTGTGGCTCTGCCTGGAACGACACCCCCCCCCCCCTATTCTGTATAGCCCTATCAGTAGTTCTCAAAGAATCATACGGTTCAAACACAAGCAATGCAATGATAAAAATAGTGTGTGCGTGTGTCTGTGTGCGCGCGTGCGTGTGTGTGTGTGTGTAGGTCAAGCTTCATTTCTAATTCTAGAAATATATAGTCTATTACAATCTCACTGAAGGCTCTCGGCATCAGAACTATTCATTCAATCATACATAATGGTTTTCTGTTCAAATGAGCTCTGCAGCTATACACAGATTAGTCAAGGCCTTTGCCATAGGCCTCAGTGTACTGTACTGTATCAGTACGGATCATGCGTGGCCTCCAGTTTCAATACAAAGTCTATTATTGTGAAGCACTTTGTGATCCTGGTCTGGGAAAGAAGCAATACAAACAAATAAACGTGATTGATTGAACTACACTTTGAAGAGTGGCCTAAACCCGAAGCAGCAGCATTGATGCAGCATCATCGACACAGAGCCACACAAATGACAAAAGTTCAGTTCTGTTGATTGTTTTAATGAAACGACACAAGTCATTAGAATAAAGCTCCATTTGGAGCATAATGTGATGTCACATCACAATGCACTCAGGACGTCGGCTCAAGACACAGAGCTCAACATGAGCAGAGAAAGAATGTCTTTCCAAAAGACAAACAACAAACCAATAGTTTACTTTAAACTCAAAAGGTTTGCACAGTGGCACAGGTTCAAATTCACTTTAGAAAAGAGGACATTTCACATTTATATGAAAACATGATCATAAAACTGATCAAGTTAAACATTAAACAGATCAAAAAAGATCAGGCAACATTCTGTTATACCATAACAATGATATATAAAAGCACTCAGGGAGTGCGAGACTGTTCTTCCCAAGAAGAAAAATAAGAAACATGTGAAACATAAGGAATAATGTACTCCAACATGTGACCAGTTTGGTCTGAATCAGAAGTCCTTTGTGGAAGTCCTTTTACGTTTTTGCAGTTCTACCAGGGCCTCCAGGGGGCGCTGCTCTCAGGCCTCTTGTCTTTGCTGCTCTGACGACAGAAGAGCGCCTCCGTGTGGTTGTTGGTGTCAGTGCAGTGTCTCTGCTGAGGGCTCTTCAGGAGGCTCTGGGACAGGAAGTGCTGCTGCTGCAGACGTGTGAGCACAGTGACGGTCATCTCCAGGATGTCTGCTTTCTCCAGCTTGGAGTCTGGCTGCTGCTGGAGGAACTCTGAACACAGGAGAGACTTGAGCTGCTCAATGCTGCTGTTGATCCTCTCTCTGCGCAGTTTCTCCACCACAGGCTTTCTCAGCTGCAACAACAAGAGGCACATGAGTTCATTTGTTCTACACACACCACTGCAACAGCACCAGAGGAACCATCAAAGCATCAGCAGAAGAATGGAACAGGATTTACCTTGTGACAGAGGCTGAAGTCCTGAGTGGGCTCCATTGTAGAGCTCTGTGTGGATGTAGAGCTGTAGAACTCTGTGTGGATGTAGAGCTTTAGAGCTCTGTGTGGATGTAGAGCTGTAGAACTCTGTGTGGATGTAGCGCTGTAGAGCTCTGTGTGGATGTAGAGCTGTTGAGCTCTGTGTGGAGAGTCTGCTGTGAGCTGCTTCTGCCTCCTATTTATACTCACACATCTCCATATGAATGTGTGGGTCTGGGCCTGACACTAGTTTCTCACACTCTGGGCCAATCAGAGCACAGAGAGGCACAATGAGGGCTGTGGAGCGTGGAGAATGCTCTTGTGGCTTCAGGGGACAATAGTGAGATGTCAAGGGGAACAGGTGGAGCCCGGCCGCTGATGAGGAGATAGACTTACAGCACTGGGCATGCAATAAACATACAAATCACAACTGCCACTGGACCACCTCAGAATCAAGTCATAAAGATTAACCTTAAAACACACTCCAAGAAGAGTCCAGTTATCTGCACATATGAATAATCGACATCATTATCAAAGAATGTACAATTCCATTCAGTCCATAGTTTTGTATTCCTGCTGTAAATTTCTGTTTATTTTCTCTCTTCACATTTAAGTCTTATTGTTTTAGCTCCACGTATATTCATTCTGCCATCAGGCTTTCAGAAGTGTGCCATTGTCCCCAGAGAGAGGGCGGCTGGTGCTGGGGGGTAATCACACACCACTGAGACTCAGGCTGTTGCTGCTTTCCCACACTCGGCTTATTGACAGAGCACACACTTCACAATAGACGCGTGCCTTTTGACATGGTAATAGCACACTGGCACACTCTCCCCCTGGTCCTCCCCCTGGTCCCTGATGCTGGACACAAACCTTGGTGTTGTCGTTGCAAAAGCACAGAGACACAGGCCTCAAAGAGAGAAGTCGAAAGAGCCAAACAAGCGGTTGTTTACGCAATAATGTCCCAGAGTGTCTGTCTGAGTTTTTACCAGAAGTGACAATGTGATTCCAAACAGGACTTGAAGTGGATTTAATGATTTAGAGATCCTTTATTAGTCCTACAGTGGGTTAATTTCAGTGTTGCATCACCAGTTACAGACACACACAGCACAGGATAAATGAACAATAACTCTATATTAAAATAAAATAACATCTCTATCTTTAGCATAATAGAGAGGCACCAATTAAGTATACAATCTTCAACTTAAGCACAATGAAGAATCAAGAAATAAGTATAGCATTTCTTACTTTAGCGTAATAATATTGCATGGAAATAGTTGTAATAATTTGATAGGGAAAGAAAGCTTGCCTGAGGCCATCTTCAAGTTGTATTCTTAAATTAATATTTCTCAAATAATTCAAACAAAATATTTGTGTAATTTTTACAGGCATTTTTGCAATACATGTATACAGTATTTGACTTTTCCCAGAAGGCCCTCCCCTGTGCACATGGGAGGGGGGTGATAATGTCCCATGAGTCTCTATGTGAGTGTGGCGTCTGCTCTTTCCCACACTGAGGACATGTGCCTCAACACCACACATTAGTGACACTTGACATCATCAGGATCAGGAAGCAGAGTCACATCGCCTTCGTTCTGGTTCAGAAACATCATCGACATGGAGCCAGTCATAGAAACACACGTCTCATAGGGAAAAAAACATGCCACACAGAACCTCAGACCTCACGGACCCTCAGACCTCACAGAACCTCAGACCTCACAGAACCTCAGGCCTCACAGAACCTCAGGCCTCACAGAACCTCAGGCCTCACAGAACCTCAGGCCTCACAGAACCTCAGGCCTCACAGAACCTCAGGCCTTACAGAACCTCAGGCCTGCGGCAGCACGGTGGCTGAGTTTTACATAAATAAAATAAGAATAACAGGGAAATCAGTTTGACTGAACACCAATTATGTAGTTCTATATGTGTTCCCAAATATGACTAAAAGTGGCTGATGATCTTTTTGAGACAATGCCATACTGTATAAGGATTAAGCAGATACTGCAAACAGAAAGGACACAACAATACATAAAGTTAAGTCATTTATTGTGGTTATTATTCATGATCCACAAGACCTCATGAAACATGATGATACATCAAAACATAGTTCAGACCATTATTGTCTGACACATATTTAACATGGAGACATACTGTATCAGAGACATTATGTAACCGTTAACAGCAGCTAAAATGAAAACGGCATTAATTTAATGCCGTTTCACAATTGGGAAAAAACAGATTTAAACTTTCCTATCACTCTCCATAGGAGATAATAACACATATAACATGGTTCCAGACAGTAACGTGAGAAATCCTCATAGAGGACTCAGTCCTCTGTCCTCACCATGAGAAGGTAAATACTATCAAATGCCAACTCAAGAGACGAAATGATTTATATTTGACCGTTTTCAGAGTGAAAACATTTGTAAACATTCAACATGAACGCGTTCAAACAAACAAGTTCTCAATGTGAGAAAATCTCATTTTGGGTTTGACTCATTGAAACTATTCCACATAATTCCATGTGATTTAACACATTGTGTTTCAACAAAACTGAGTTTGAATTTCAAACATTCGTCTTCACTTCAGTCCAGCTCCAAGTCCAACATTCAGCGACTGAATGACATGTGCAGTTCTACCAGGGCCTCCAGGGGGCGCTGCTCTCAGGCCTCTTGTCTTTGCTGCTCTGAAGACAGAAGAGCGCCTCTGTGTGGTTGTTGGTGTCAGTGCAGTGTCTCTGCTGAGGGCTCTTCAGGAGGCTCTGGGACAGGAAGTGCTGCTGCTGCAGACGTGTGAGCACAGTGACGGTCATCTCCAGGATGTCTGCTTTCTCCAGCTTGGAGTCTGGCTGCTGCTGGAGGAACTCTGTACACAGGAGAGACTTGAGCTGCTCAATGCTGCTGTTGATCCTCTCTCTGCGCAGTTTCTCCACCACAGGCTTTCTCAGCTGCAACAACAAGAGGCACATGAGTTCATTTGTTCTACACACACCACTGCAACAGCAGCAGAGGAAACTTCAAAGCATCAGCAGAAGAATGGAACAGGCTTTACCTTGTGACAGAGGCTGAAGTCCTGAGAGGGCTCCATTGTAGAGCTCTGTGTGGATGTAGAGCTGCAGAGCTCTGTGTGGATGTAGAGCTGCAGAGCTCTGTGTAGATGTAGAACTGTAGAGCTCTGTGTGGATGTAGAGCTGCAGAGCTCTGTGTGGATGTAGAGCTGCAGAGCTCTGTGTGGATGTAGAGCTGCAGAGCTCTATGTGGAGAGTCTGCTGTGTGCTGCTTCTGCCTCCTATTTATACTCACACATCTCCATATGAATGTGTGGGTCTGGGCCTGACACTAGTTTCTCACACTTTGGGCCAATCAGAGCTCACGATCACATATGGTGCACTGAGCTGCACATGTGTGTCTGTGTCTCTGTGAATTTCATACACAGTATATGAAATTCACAGAGGCTGTCAGAAGTCTTAAACACCAAAACATAAAACCAGATGTCTCTAAAGTGAAAGTAAGATAATCCAAGACTTTGCTGGAGCTCAAAACAACAATAACAAGTATTTCTACAAGTATATATCTGAACATACAGCATTTCTTTGCCTCAAAATCTGTATGGTCTTTATCAACATTTATGGCCATGGACCAATGATGGACCGATGTCTTTATAGGGATTTTTTTCTTAGCATTTCTTGAAATTGTACTGTTTGATTCTCTGATTTGTGTTGGCAAATCAACGATTTCCAAATGCCTGGTGAATGCTGATACCGGCCCAAAAGACTAAAAAGAGCCCACCTCAGTGTATCCTACTCTGAGTTTAACTACACCTGGACTGTGATGGTTGTTCACTGTATTTGTCACCAAACAGCATCACAAAGTCCAAAGAACTCACCAGATACATCAGGAATGATGTTGGGGAGAAGTCTAAATAAAGAAGAATAAGTTAAACTTTAGATACAGCACTGAACAAAACACATCTGATCCACATCCTCTTTGATGCATCATCTATATGTCTTATTCAATACATTTAGATGAGTTTTCTGTAATTATTGCTTCAGTTTATATCATATTTATTTGCCATCAAATGAAAAAGTTGAATTTAAAGGCTTGAAAATATATGCATCGAAAGTTTGAAAGTTTTTATTTAGAAATTTTAAAAACCCTATGAAATTGATAATCAGTGACTGAATTTCACGGACCAGTAGTAGTCAAATAGATGAATCCAAGTTCAAAATCCAAATCTGATGGAACATAAGGAAATACTTTTTTAATTAGATTTCACAGGGCATGGAATTTGAGGGCTCGAAAATAAACATTGAATATTTGAAAGGCAAATATCTAATTTAGAAATTTTAATCACATTGAATTTTGTGCAATGAATTTTTTGGCTGCGCTCAGATGCATAGACAAATTATTCAAACTTGCTTTTTCATGGTTATAAATTTCAAATGAACAATTTCAAGCTCATTTAAAATTCCAAATCTCACACACAAAAAAATCTCCCATACATATCTCAGTCATACATCAATTAATGTCCCAATCTATGTGAACATTCCTGCTGTCTCTGTCTGATTTAAGTACTGCCAACCTACCAACACACCGCCATCTACTTAAACTAATATCCAAACAAGGAGAGAGTTGGAAATTATAGACTTAAGACGGGATCTTTACACAAGTAAGCTGGAAGATGTATTCTCAATATTACAGTTTGAAGACAGAGCAAGCAATTTCTGTGTCGATATGTGTCGCAACAAAGACGCCAACCCACAGGTGTTTGTTACTTACAGGTACTCTGTGTAATTTTCCCAGTTTCTCCACTTAAAAAAATAAAAATGTTTCACCCACAACACATGTGACCTAAATGTAAACATGTAAAGTAAATGATTTGCTGTCACAGTCTTAGACCTGCTTTTCTTCAGCAGAGTTGAGGGAAAGGTGGATAGGGCAAAAGTACAGGACCAAGACTTGAGACTGGGGTGGATATTTACCTCCCATTAGGACAATCTTTCAAAACGTTTCAGGCCATAGAATGATTTAAAACGAAACGTATGCAGGTGTTGGAAGAGTCGAGTCAACATCCAAACTCTAACTTCAAATCTGTGGGATGACCTCAAAACTTATGTTCACAAACACTCTCCATCAAGTCTGACAGAGCTTGAGGAGAATTGATGAGATACATGGGCAGAACTTTTAGTCTCAAGCTTTTACATTCACACCCCATAAGATTTTTTTGTATTCATTTATTTTATGTATTAGTTTATTTTAATAGTACAGATGAATTAACATTACTGTAAATGAGTCTGTATTAGCGACACAGCTAGATTCCAAATTTTGTCCCTTGAGAAGGTGTATTATGCCAATGAAAAACATTACAATATAAAGTTAACATACGTGGTCAGCAGAATTAACATTTTTCAAAACCAGGTCTTTAAAACATAGAAACAAAAAAGCATACTTCAAATCAAGGAGAAGCTTGATTGACCAATAACCATTTTTAAATCATGTATGATTTTGTTTGCAGTTCAAAATTCACTGCAACTTTATTCGGATATGTAAAAGATCTTCAATGAATGAAGGAACTAATTTAAAAATATAACATGACAAAGTATAAAGAAGTTTATGCTGCATTTCTTAGTCCGCTGTATGATAACATATAAGCACTGCAATGGTCGTTATCTCCATGTATCTTGCCTCCATCTGTCTGAGCCCCCTCCCCGTGGGCACAGGTCAGGGCGGCTCCCGGTCACACGCCCCTCTCCAGGCCTCTGCTGCTGGGAGTGAGCGAGGCACAGGGCTTCCCACACTCCACACAATACAAGTGTGTCTGTGGCCACAAAGCCTGGGCGCGTTCCCAGGACACTGTGCACTTACTGCTGATGTTTAATCACCAACGCCTGCTCAACGCGAGACACGGACTGGACTCTGGACAGGTCTGACACGGCCTGGACTCTGGACTCTGGAGAGGTCTGACTGGATTCTTGAGAGGTCTGACCTGGTTCAAGTCAACTTTATGCATTATGTGAAAATATCTCCTCGTATGGGACTCACAGAATTTCACACAATCACGTAATATTAACTAACGATCAATATTAATAAGCATAATAATCCTGATTATTGTGATGATGATGAACAATAATGATATTATGTCATATAAATGATTGTGGAATATTTCCCACACAAAATGGACTAATTTGATAATGGTAAAGATTTGATCAAATTGTAACGTTGTTTTAATATGTCATATTTATTGTTTATTTTTTGTGTCATTATAACTAATATTTTCACAATGATAACATTTTAAAAATAGTATATGCTTTCTTATTAAAAAGATGAAATCAGGATCTGATGAAAAAGCTACAACATGAAACATGTGAATATTGTTCTCATGGTCGGATGTTAATATATGCCATGAGAACCAAGGAGGCCAGTGGTCCTCATCCGTCTCCACGGCGATTCCCAGAATATATTTTGGTCAATCTCATTGACATATGGCATTATGAACAACATCCCACCTGTTCATGGGTGACAGCCATTAAATCCAGTCTTTTGTGGCGTGTAGAGAGGCCTCTGATTGGCCGAGCTGCAGAGAGAGACGAGGACCAGGAGCATAAATACAGAGAGCAGCAGAGGGAGAGAATCATCTCATCATCCTCTGAACTGAAGCCACAGAAGCCACAGAAGGACTATCTACAGCTCAACATGTCTCAGTATTTAGACCTCGCCATCCAGGACAGTGTCAAGGAGCAGCTCTTCCGGTAAGAATCATCACAAACTGAAGGCTCAGGATTCCTGTGCTTGTGTGTGGCTGTGTTCCTGTGGTTGTGTTGTGTCTGACCGTGTTGTGTTCCTCAGGTGTAAGCTGCACATGCTGGAGAGGAAGTGTTGTGTGGGGGTGGAGAAGCTGAAGTCTCTGCTGCTGGAGCATCTTCACTCTGGGATCCCAGTGTCTGAGCTTCTGGACAAAACCCTGTCCTTCGTGTCTCTGAAGAGAGCCCTCCTCTCGCACAACGGCTACTCCAAATACACACGGGACGTCCTGCGCCTCTTCCCTGATGCAGAGGACGATGTGGCTCCTCTCTGCTTCTAAACCAGAACTGGTCATTCACTTGGAAATGCCTTAAGCTGCTTTTTAAAAGCAGCACCAGAGAACACTGATTGCACATTGTTTTGAAGATGGTGCAGTCTTTGGTTGATGACGCTGAATGCATTATATGCAGTTTTATGTGGAGTTCCACTGCAGGAGCAGTGACAAACACGCGTGGCCTTATAGATAGTTTTACTACAGATGTGAAGAGGAAGAACCAGGACAAGCTGAAGAGAGTGCGGGACACTCCCACCTGAGACATTTTTTTATAAAAACTGTCATTGACGTTTATTACGATATAGTCAATATTTTCAGACTGTATCAGTTATTTCTTTGTTTTTGTGAACCCTTTAATTGAAAGGGATTTATGATTTTGTTTATCTAAGCATATTGTTTAAGTTGATTTATCCTTTGAAGTGTTTTAATGGTGCAGTCTATGTACCACGAACCAAATGCTATTGTTCAAATAAACAATTCGCATGAAAATATCTGTTTCTCTGTCCAAGAACAAAACTGTTCAGAAAAGATGCACTGACACCACATTAGGAGTCATTGCCTTTAATGGCCTTGACTTCAGCAAGGCTTTTTAAATGACACATAATTCATATGATAAAACAGTCTGGATAAAACCCAATGGTTCTCACTGTGTAAACAATTGAAAAGGATCATTGTCGTGATGAAGCTATGAAGCTACAGATACTTTTTTTTCATACTTTTAAAGTTTGTCCCAAGTGAAGGGGAATTATCACAACAAGAAACAAAACAGAACAAAAGAGAAAGATGAATGAGCCAAAGGGTGTCCTCTCCCGGGGTTCAGTGTGGAGGACCTAATGGCCTCCACACAAAAGCTCTTTTCAGCTATTTAGTGCGACACTGATCCTGACTCTGGGAACCGAAGCTGGGCGCTGGACTCAGGGACATCCAGCAGTAGGAAACATCTGCTCAAGACTAGTCGGAGCTCTACCTGAAAAACAAGAGAGGATTTGATATGAAAGAAGGGGTCATAGTTATAACCACGAGGCTCAATGTAATCACACATGTCTCACAGATTATTCATATCAATGATTAGAAGTTTGTTTGTTCAGAATGATTCAGAGTGTTTTGTCACTGTCATTAGGACCTGCTGTGAAACAACTCAATGACAGCTGTTCTCCTGAGATCGTCTCTGAGTCTATAAAAGTGAGTTCTTTCATGGCCACATGACCCACTGCCCGTTACAAGCTCTCTGATTGGCCCAGAGTGTGAGAAACTAGTGTCAGGCTCAGACCCACACATTCATATGGAGATGTGTGAGTATAAATAGGAGGCAGAAGCAGCTCACAGCAGACTCTCCACACAGAGCTCTGCAGCTCTACATCCACACAGAGCTCTACAGCTCTACATCCACACAGAGTTCTACAGCTCTACATCCACACAGAGCTCTGCAGCTCTACATCCACACAGAGCTCTGCAGCTCTACATCCACACAGAGCTCTACAATGGAACCCTCTGGACTTGGAGCTGGACTGAAGTGAAGGCGAACGTTTGAAATTCAAACAGTTTTGTTGAAACACAATGTGTTAAATCACATGGAACTATGTTGAATAGTTTCAATGAGTCAAACAAAAAATGAGCTCACAATAAAATGTTTGTACGTGTTCATGTTGAATGTACACAAATGTTTTTACTCTGAAAACGTATGTATAAATCACTATGTGATGTCTATGACTGTAACACACTGTAACAAACTGTTGTAGTGTCGATGCCCGAAATAAATACAAAATGGCACAAATCAAATATCAATCTGTTTTTTCTCTCTTGATCCCATGACATGAAAGATACAATCCTGTGCTGAAAGGAAATACACAAGACAATAATCAGAGACATGTTCAGTTCAATGGACATTGGTCTTTGTTTTTTTTCTGCGGCTTAATAATGACAGGCTAAGGTGTCAGGATCCTGGACTACCTCACAGACAGACCCCAGTTAGTGAGAGCCAGGGACTGCATATCTGAGGTCCTGACCTGCAGTGTTGGGTCCCCCCAGGGACCGTTCTTGCACCGTTCTTCTTCACCCTCTACACTGCAGACTTCAGACACAATACAGGAGATTGTTTCCTGCAGATGTTCTCTGAAGACTCTGCCATCATTGGACTCATCACACAGGACGGTAGATGGCATTTTCACACGTTTCTAGCTAGCAGTTGCATATTTTTGCATTACTTTCTCCCTTTCTAATGTTACGCCTTTCATGTAAGGCCCCACACCGTGGTCGAGGGGCGCAGGGGAGATTTGTTGCTCTAGGGCCGAAGCGATGAGTTTCCTACGCGGGATAACTTCCTTTTGCTTTGACCCTCGCTGCCACAGTGTGGCGCTATGGCAACAACACTTCGAACTGTTACTCAAAAGTCATACTTTATTTTGTCACTCTGCTCGTACGCCACATTTTCGTTCTTTCATTCTCATGCATTTCCCAGCGCTCACACTGTTTACTCCAAGGCGCGCTCTTGTGTCCACTGTGTCCATCAAAACGGAAACTTAGCTCGGATCCAGAAGTAGTCTCGGAAGTTAGTATAAACGGCCCCAGCTGGACCGAGCATTAGACTACACCCACATTTGGTCCGGAACGGTTGAAAAAATAAACCATTCTGACCGCTGGCCGTCTGTCTTCTGACCGTGGGTGACGACCTAGGCTACTTGGCCTAGTTCTTTTGTGTGGCCGTGCCCTCACTGTCAAAAAATGAAAAAGACTGAGGCGGTTCTGAAGAACACCGCCTTTAGTTCTTACAACGTTTCTGCAGAGTTTTCTGAGAGATCTTTCTGAGTTTTTTCAGACATAATGAGGATTGGGCATTAATTTTATAGGACAATCTGCGTCACACTGAAGCGCCAACCCAAGTGTTAGTTTGTCCAAACAACCGAGACCCGACTGGAGCCACTGTGACCTGACAACTTTAATGTTATGTCTTGCGTTTGTCCATTTTCTGAAGGTCATTAATAAAACATGTAAAACTTCATATATTCAACCTCTATCATTGCTCAAGCTAATTCAAAAACATCTTTTTTGCCCTAATGCCCAAATTTATGTTGTATTTATATTCTGAACTCTTTATCAGTGTGTAGTTTTAGTCATGCACACTCTGGTCCTCAGTCAGTAAACGGCTTCAGTCCATAAATAAGAGCTGAGTTTATGGCTACATTAGCATCAGGACATTAGCATCAGGACACGTGCCTATTGTTGAGCCATCAGAAAGAGTGTGGGAAAGCAGATCAGAAGTCACAGAGGAGTGTGAGCTGCTCTGCGGAACACGGCACACTTTGCAACAGCCTGACAGAATGATTAAGATTGATATAGATGGCAAGGCAAGATTATGTGCATAGCACACTTCATACACAAGACACTCAAAGTGCTGAACAAACAACATAGCCTTAAAATCATAAATAATCATAGTATGATTAACAACAAAAGAGTAAAGATAAAATCTCTCAGTTGTATACACAGCTAAACAGAACTGTTTTTAATCTGGATTTGAACATTGTCAGCTGAGAAGCCTGTCTCACATTTTAAGATAAGATAAGATGTGCTTTATTTATCTCACAGAGGAGAAATTTACATGTCACATTTGGCATGGATAGAGACACTCAGATTGTGCAAAGGAGGAAATGTGCAAACATGTTACATGCAGGATATATGTACAATAAGTGACAATAATTATGTACAACAAAAGTGACAAGTGTCAATTGGAAACAGTGTCAATAGTAGTGCAGGTTTTCACACAGTGATCATTTAAAGTGACTTATTGTACAGTCTGACAGCGGTGGGGATAAAGGCCCTGCGGTAACGCTCCTTCCTACACTGAGGGTGCCTCAGTCTTCCACTGAAGGAGCTCCTCAGCTCCTCTATGGAGGTGGAGGTGGCTTTGGCTAGCACCCTCCTGTCCCTCACCTCCTCCACAGAGTCCAGGCCCTCCTGACCAGCTTGGAAGATTGTTCCAGATTTTAGCTGCATACATTTGAAATGCTGTCTCCCCATGTTCAGTTCTGACTCTGAGACCAGCCGACAGACAGTCCCTGTGCTCCTCAGAGTCAGAGTTGGTTCTTATGGCACTAACATGTCACAGATGTACTTTGGTGAAAGGCCATGCAGAGACTTGTAACAAACAGAGCTGTTTGGATAAATCAAGGCTCAGATCTTTGTGCACCAGAGCAACCTGGTGGTGGTGACGGGCCGACGGCACAGACTGATTGCCTCAATTCTGTCAGTCTGGCCCTGGGCAGCTGTGGCTACAGTTCATCACCACTGTGTATGGAATGAAAGGATAACGCTGTTTGAATCATCATTGAGAGTCACAAAAATCTCTATAAAATCAATGCGTTAGAGTTTAGAGTTTTATCTATTTAGGACAATGTGCAGTTACATTCAACTGATGGCTACACTAGATTTAGCACCAGCTACTTTCCGTCTGCAGTCCTTGGAAATACAATCATAACATACATATTGAAATACAGTTCAATAAAAAGTGCACATTGCCAATGTAGTAGTCACAATTTATAATGTGCATTATGTGCAAATGACTGGTATAAGGAGCAATACAAAGTTATCGTACAGTATTCAGCAACAATATATGAAGCGCGACACAAATTTCAAACAAATAAAGAACAATGGCAATCATTAAAAAGAAAACATGTGTTATGTTGTGTGCTCCTCATTCCTTCTGTTCTGTAACTGGTGATGCAACACTGACATTTCCCCGCTGTGGGACAAATCCATGATCTCTTCTTCTTAATCTTCTATTCCAGTTCTATAACACAACAAAAAAACAAGTCTTTTTGCTGAGACCCAGCCCAGGCATTTTTTGTCCTTTTCCTCACGTGTCTATGGCATTTCCATAAAAGGAAACAGAGGTGGTTGTTATTAACTGATACAATCCTGCACTGATTGTACAACCATATGCACTCGGCCTGCTTCTGTTAAAACACAAAGTGGCCTGTACAAAGCCAATGTGCAAAGCAGCCAATCAGAAGCGTTCCCTCCAGATGGTGCGTGATGTCAGGGCCCTCTCAGTTACCGCGCACATACAGCATCTGTCACCGCGGCCCCGTTCTGAGAGGCTTTTGTGGAGGCCTCCATTCACTGAGCAGTGTGGGAAAGTCAGGGGACAGGTTTACTCACAGAGCGGACACAGGCACATCTGCTGCAGCTGGCGGCGAGTCCGGACCTGATCGTTGCACACGCCGCACGCACACGACACACGCACGCACCGCACGCACGGAGAGAGAGAGAGAGAGAGAGAGAGAGAGAGAGACTTCTGTGGACCACTGTTGCTGTTTCTATCTTTACATCAGTTACAGTTTCAATTCAATTCAACTTTATAACACACTCAAGGTGAAAATGTAAGCACATACACATCCAGATTAAGATCCTTTTCCTTTATTCGTCCCACATGGACAATTTCAGTGTTGCATCACAAGTTACAAACCAGTAGGAATGAGGAGCACACGGGTAGCACAGGGTAAATGAATTATAACTCTGTACTAAAATAAAATACATTCTCTAACTCTATCATAAAAAGGAGTATAAAATATGTGTCTTTAGCATAATAAAGAAGCAATTAAACCGCACATATGGTATATAACAACTTTTAGAGTGAACATTTTTGAAGAATGTTCCGAATTTAAGATCTTTGTTAGTTCTTGAAATTGTAAGTCAAAAGTCAAATCAAATGTCATGGTACATTTTGGTTGAAATGAGCGAATGATGTATTTTATATTTGCAGAAATAATGTTCATGTGGCTGAAGGATGTTCTAGTTCACTACACCACCACCCCCCCCCCCCCCCCCCCCCCCCCGCCTTTTCGCCTTGAGAAACTCTCTGATTGGTCCAGAGTGTGAGAAACTAGTGTCAGGCTCAGACCCACACATTCATATGGAGATGTGTGAGTATAAATAGGAGGCAGAAGCAGCTCACAGCCGAGCTCTACAGCTCTACATCCACACAGAGCTCTGCAGCTCTACATCCACACAGAGCTCTACAGCTCTACATCCACACAGATCTCTACAGCTCTACATCCACACAGAGCTCTGCAGCTCTACATCCACACAGAGCTCTACAGCTCTACATCCACACAGAGCTCTACAGCTCTACATCCACACAGATCTCTACAGCTCTACATCCACACAGAGCTCTGCAGCTCAATATCCACACAGAGCTCTACAATGGAGCCCACTCAGGACTTCAGCCTCTGTCACAAGGTAAAGCCTGTTCCATTCTTCTGCTGATGCTTTGATGGTTCCTCTGGTGCTGTTGCAGTGGTGTGTGTAGAACAAATGAACTCATGTGCCTCTTGTTGTTGCAGCTGAGAAAGCCTGTGGTGGAGAAACTGCGCAGAGAGAGGATCAACAGCAGCATTGAGCAGCTCAAGTCTCTCCTGTGTACAGAGTTCCTCCAGCAGCAGCCAGACTCCAAGCTGGAGAAAGCAGACATCCTGGAGATGACCGTCACTGTGCTCACACGTCTGCAGCAGCAGCACTTCCTGTCCCAGAGCCTCCTGAAGAGCCCTCAGCAGAGAAACTGCACTGACACCAACAACCACACAGAGGCGCTCTTCTGTCTTCAGAGCAGCAAAGACAAGAGGCCTGAGAGCAGCGCCCCCTGGAGGCCCTGGTAGAACTGCAAGAATTAAGAACCTACTTCTTTTTATTGAAAAGGTGTCACTTTGATGACTGAAGTTATGATTGAAATTCAAATTCACTGTTTATTGATCTGACACTTAATGCTCATTTTTCGTGTTTGTTCAGAAAGTCTTGTTTCTCTATGTTATTTCTGTTGAAATATTATGAAAACATTGTTGTTCAAAGTCAATTTTAAGACTGTATTTCTCATGGAACTTTAATGTGAAATACATGTTTCATTTGATGTTTGTCAGTGCGTGGCATTTACATGTTGTGGACACGAGTGTCTTCTATGAAGGCAGAGTCTGTTCAAGCTCCTGTTAAAACTGTGATGTGTCATCACTGAGCTCTATATAAAGTCAACTCAAACACATTTGTTTTCTCTATTTTCAGTCCTTTTACCTTGTGTTCAGTTCACAATATAGAGAGGTCATTATGATTCTCAGTAAATTACCTTTCTTTAATTTCAGACAGTGAGTGGAAAACCCAAGTCTTTCCACACTCTATGCAGGGTCTCCAACCTTTTTCGATTGAAGAGCAACTTTTATGAATCAGCATTGTCAGAGGTATTTCCTTTTCTAATGTGGTTTTACTGCGAATGGCAAATACATTCTTGAATCTTTTAGCAGTAGTCCAGCAGCAATCAGAACACACATAGAATACCATTATACTGTATTCCTGCATTAATGAAGATTTATGGTTACAATAGTCAAAGGTGACTCATAAAGCTATTGGAACTCTGAATAGTTGTAAAGCACTTTGGTGACTTTGGTCTGTAAATTGCGCTATATAAATAAACATTACTTACTTACTTGAAAGGGGGGTGGCAAGCTACTGATCATTGTCTTCTTACTCTGGGCACGTGTATGAAGGCCAAATAGTACTGTAATCATGTTTAAACCGGAGAAACGTCACAAAGCGTATGGGTCCTTTTTCCACCCCTCCCTACAGGCGCTGTCCATGGTGCTGTTGCAGACACGCGCCAAAGATACTTGTATGTTATTTGAGCTACACTTGGTCTGTAATCATAAAAGAAAAAATACAAACGAGGAAAAGGTCTTATTCATTTATTGACAGGACAAAACTATAATAAATCTATGAGAGCTTGAGACTTTATAGAGGGACGACAACACATAAAAACATGTACATGCGGCCTGGACACCTTTATAAAAGGCAGAAGTATGAAGGCCTCGCGCTGTGTTCAATGGCTACACTGTAGACAGGGTTTAGGAACACAGCTGCAGACGAGCTGCTAAAGTCCTCACACAGAAACACTGTCACCACGGCCTCCACAGCGGCCGTTTACTGGTGCTGTGCTCGTCTGCGATGTGCCTGTGCAGCGCGGCTCTCTGCACCACGTAAAAGCGTTTTATCTCCTCTCTCTCTGCGTGTTGCAGCGGGGCGTGCAGCGACAGGTGCCGGAGCGTCTCCTGCAGGCACTGAGAGAAGCCCTGAGAGTAACTGGGCACCGCGGACGCAATGGCTCTCTGTCTCAGGAAGCACACAGCCATCTCCAGGACGTCTGCCTTCTCCAGTCTGGGCTGGAGCTGGGCCTGGGCCTGGGACCTCCCGCTGGGCTCGTACTCTTCCAGACTCAACAGAGCCTTGAGCTGCTCGATGCTGTTGTTAATCCGCTCTCTTCGGACTTTCTCCACAACTAACTTTCGCAGCTGAAATGTGAAGAGAAAAAAGGTATTATAACTGCTCCTGCAAGTGACATTTTCGTACTTCTTCAGCTTAGAGCATTTACCTTGTTGGGGATGTCCAGAGTTGTATCCTCGGATCTTTTCTTGGCAACAGGAGCCATTGTCTGTGGTGCTTCTGCAGCAGATCAGACTGTGCCATGCAAATGTGAAGGCGCGTTTTATACAAGAGCCGGAGCAGCCGGAGGAGCTGCAGTTTGGCGTCTGCTTCGTGGACTCCTCACACCTCAGACTTTCCCACAGTCCAGACCTGTCATAAAGTCTGCACTACAAACAGGTCCACACCCTGTCTGCCTGCACGAAGGACGTCCTCCTCTTCCTCTTATCAGCTCATGTGTGACAAGGGCCGCGCGCCTGCCGCGGGTTTGATCGATAAATTAATACAAATCATTATATTTGGGCCTATTGTTATTTAAAACAGTACAACTGAATGTGGCACTATAGGCTTAGGCATTATTAATCTGAAAAAAATAATCTTTAATTAATATTTGGATTATAATATTAAATCTATATTTCATGCTTTGAGTTGTTTGATACTCCCACAATACAAACATGTGCTGCTCCTGCTGCTGGGCGTGTATGGGCGTTTGACCATGCACTGACCAGAACTAACGACGTGAGAAGAGGGGAAGCAGAAGGTGCCAAGTTTGCACCTTCATGTAAAAAGTCTTTCTTCAGGCAGCGCACAAGCACCCCGCACCAGGCTGGCCCCCGGTCCACGTGTCTCCCTGTGGGACTCCGAAGACCTGGAGGCAGATGGTAATGAAGGGGACAACGTGGGACAAGGGAGATTTTTGTTTGTTTTTTAGGATGAATTAACCTGCGAGTGGCACGTGTCCTGTCCTTGCCTTAAGTGCATATCCATGAGGCCTTTATGTTTGGAATACAAGTTGAACAAAAGTTAGGTTTAATCCAATTTATTTATTCGATTCTTTTGTTATTGTTTTTACACATTGAATACTGCTATTGGCATTTTTACATTGCGTGACGTTGTAGAAGAGATGCTGCCCATTTCTACTGTTGCCGTCTTCCAGAAATATTTCACGCAAAATGTTATACTGCAGATGGATTGAAAAAGACCTGTCCTGCTTCGATAATTTACTTTTATTTTAATGTTCTTCATTTGAGCCATTTTTAGTTACTTTTATTTAATGCCTTTAATAAAGGAAACATACAAACTTCTGTAATTAAGTAAGTAATCCAAAAGTGGTTTAATTTAAATAAGGACTTTTTCAGTGGTGTAAGTAACTTGTAATTTGTAACTAATTACATTTTCAAAAAACCTTGCCCAACACTGGTCAATACAACGTGTCAAAGTCAGTGTTAAAAGTCAAAACAAACTTGGTTTCCGTCCTCAGTAACTTTAATTCCTTTTGTCACTTCAAACAGACAAACACATTAAGTGCAAAATCATGGAGATTTTCTGTCTGATCTCTGATCTGTGGCGCGTGATAAAAGTGGGTTTGCCTGCAGGTTTCCACACTAGAGGGGGGTGAGTTTATGGTTATGGGGGAAGTGGAAGTGTGCCTTCTCTCCAGAGACCGATGGTAAATGTTCAACAAGTCCTCAGAGAAAACCAGAATCACTTTCAGAGGATACATTTCTGTGAGCTATATACAGTATAAGATATAGACAAAACACTTGTTTGTTTGTGAGCATGTGTGAGAAAGCCAAATGTGCTTCCTTTAGCTCAGGGGCGTCTGCCCGGTCCTCAAAGGCATGATGTGACTGCAGGTTTTAGCTCCAACCTGAACAGGAGCACACCATAATCTTCCCATATCCTCAGGTGAGTCCAGTTTGATCCTGAAGATTCGAGGAAATGGGTGGAGTGTGGTGAGCTCCCACAGCCACACGCCCCTTTGAGGATCCGTTTGACATCCCGCATTAGTAAGAAACACTATCTCTGTCTGTACACATCTGCAGCCTGCCGTGACGGAAGGTTCCCAGGTAATAAAGTGTAACGACTGCTTGTGTTGGTCTGTACCTTCACATATCTGCTGCTCCCTCCACTCAGGCCACGGGGCCAGTTAACCATGAGATAATTGATGCCTCTCTCCTATTGTTGTGTCGGCCTCGCCCACTGGCCTCAGAGTGTGGGAAAGCTAATCCTGCCTGGGACTCATGGCTTTGTAATGCTAATGTCCGCCTATAAATAGAGCAGAGGGATCCTCCCCCAGATCACAACTCACTCTGCTCTCCAAGAGAAACATCTCATCTCTGCAGAAATGGCTCCAACCTGCACCAGAGACTCTGCTGTTTCACTGCTCTCAGCCAAAGACAAACACAAAGTAAGTACACCTGACAATGACCAATCACCACACTTCTGATTCTCAGCACAACTTTCTCTCATTATGCATCAGTTTGACATGTTACTGACCAGCTGTGTTTGTTTTCTTTAGCTGAGGAAACCTGCTGTGGAGAAGATGCGCAGAGACCGCATCAACAGCTGCATCGAGCAGCTCAAAGTCCTGCTGGAGAAGGAGTTCCACAAACAAGATCCCAATGCTAAACTGGAGAAGGCAGACGTCCTGGAGATGACTGTGATCTTTCTGAGGCAGCAGCTGCAGACTCCCACCTCTCACACTGCTCACATGGAGGGCTACTCTCAGTGCTGGAAAGAGACCATGCACTTCCTGTCCTCCTCCTCCATCAAGGACATGTCTCTGTGTCAGCTGCAGCTACACTCTCCTCACTCAGCGTCCCAGGACCTGTGCTCCCAGCTGCAGAGTGCAGAGAAGCCCTCTGCTGCCTCCAAGTCCGTGTGGAGGCCCTGGTAGAGGACCATGTGGAAGCCCTGGTAGAGGACCATGTGGAGACCCTGGTAGAGGACCATGTGGAGGCCCTGGTAGTCTCTATAAACACAAGCGCTTGGTGTCTCTTTGTAAAGTTCAAGTCTGAGACATAAATTTGATGTTTGACTCCTGTGGAGTTGTCAGAGTAATGAAACCAAACACATGTCATACATGTTATAGTTGTGATCCTCTATGTGGAGGATGTGTTTTTGTGACCTTTTGTGAAGGACAGCAATGAAGTGTGAAATGACCTTTGTTTTTTCATTTTCAAATGAGATTAAGATTTGTACTGATTTATGTAAATAAATATTTCAAGTACAATTACTACACTTGTCATTCTTATCAGACTTGTCAATCAAAGAAAACAAACATGAAAGTGTGGCCGAGAGTCAGAATGCATATAAGACTCTTAAATATCAATCAACTTAGACTTTGAACAGGGCCTTAACCCTCACATGATTCATATTGAGGGGTAATGAGGGGTTAGCTGGTCTGTGTGCTGCATCACTGGTCTACATGTGAGAGTGTGTCCAGAGCCTTCTTCAGGCTCGCTGCACAGAGCCTTAGGCCTCAGTTCTGTCGACTCGGATTTCATCAAACAGCTGGTGAGCTGAGCTGTTGGGCCAGAGGGCTGGAGGGCGCGCCTCCCCTGTGTGGAGCCTGCCTCAGCACTGCTTTCCCACACTACTGAGCCTCTCTCCCCCTTTATCCCAGGACAAAAGAAGTGTGCCATGTAAGACTATCCTCCCACTGCCACAGTGAGAACCCCGCTGACCCGGCTGATACCCCCTCCTCAGAGAAACCTTACATTTAGGAGGGAAACTTGCCTGTGAAAGAGCTGTGCACATGTTGAATGAATGCAAACTGTTATTTTCACTTCTCTAAAACCATAACATTCAGTTATGCTTAAATATATTGTGGGCAAAGTCCCTAAAGGTAATACACAAACAATGTATATTATTAAAGTATTTTTATTCACTGATGTAATACAACCATATATATTTTTGTGCTATAATGTATATGTAGTTATTATTCTGCTAAAGCTAGAGATTTTGATATACTTTAGCATAGAGTTATTGTTCATTGATGCAACACTGACATTTCCCAACTGTGGGACAAATAAGATGAGGATCTCTCTTACTGTTGTTGTTGTTATACATACAGAATCATGTGACAGTGATTTCCCTGTGTAGGCTGGTCGTTGGCTGCTGTTGACAACACAGACTGTAACTGAAGCCGTGTGAAGCGTGGGAAGAGTCTGCCCTGTGTCTGATGTGAACAGGTGTAAGCTGGGCCCAAAGGCAGGTGTGCCCCAGGTGTGCCCCAGGTGTGCCCCAGGTGTGCCCCAGGTGAGAGCAGATGGAGGCACAAACAGGACCAGCACTGAGTAAACAAGGTCCCCACAGTTGAATAACACGCAGTGGGGGCGGGTCCTGGTTCAGAAAGGTCCATGAGCATGTGTGCTGACATGCTTTTAATCTGGCTCCTTGCTGCTAGTGTTGTACCTGGATACAGTACTGTCCAATGAATTCTTAGGGCAGCTTTTTTCCTCTCAAAAACAGCTTTACAGCCTAGTCCAAAAGTCGCTCTTGGCTCAACGCTACATTCCAGATACTGACCATCTTCTGTCTAGTTTAGCCGCTGTGGACTTTTGCACCCACTTGTAAAATGAATGGGGCTCGTGCCAGCTAACACACGCGCAAATGCGTTTTAATATTTTTGCCAAAGTAGCCAGTTGCGGCCATTATTGAACAGTCAGCAGGAGATTAAAGTGACGGCATATGAGTTTTAACGGCGAAAATAGACGTCACTACATCCGTTAATATTTACAATCTATGATAACGCCTCTGTAAAAACGGTTTTTCCTGTGAGGAAGTGCAAATGTTCTTCTTGAATATTCCTTATTATGTCTGTGATGTGGACTGAATTGATTTTTTTTAGAGTTGTTCCTTGCCGAAGCAGGAGGGTCCAAGGACAGTGATGATGATCCAGAACACTCGACATTCAACAACATTTATGGACCCTATCAACAGCTCCATGTTTTTTATCATTGATTTGTGTTGACAAAACAACAGTTTTTTCCTGTTCCTCCGAGATAACTACTTGTATAGAATCTATACAATAAAGGAAACCTGGAGCCGCTACAGAAGCATATTTCTCATACTTTTTGTTTGTCAAATAAACAAATGCTGTGCTACATTTTAACACTGACGTAGGTAGTAGGTAGTTAGAATAACTTCTGATACTTGATTGTGACAATGGTAATATATCCAAACTAGTGTGACCAAACACACACTCATCCCCTGAACTATTGAACATATTATAATGGAAGGGGGAAACCGAAGAACCTGGAGGAAACATTCTGACTTCACTCAGAAAGACCCCGTCTGGAGGTGGAAGCAGGTGCAAACGGCTGTCACCACAATTTGACCGATCAACGGCCGCCGCCACTTTAAGACCTTCGATATTTACTACTGACAAATTTAACGAAACTTTCGTTGAAGATATTGTGAGTATTTCAGCAGATTAAACCGACACGAAGAACATGATATAGACCTTGTTTGTCCTGTGGCTCTTTTATAAGACTCTCTGTGTCATTATGTTAAATCTGAGCTGCTCATTACAACAGTTAACAGTTGGTGATGTGAAATCTACAGTCTCTGTGGCAGACGCTGAGAGGAACTGTTGTATTTGATGTAAAAAACCAACAATTAAACAAGTCTCTCTCTCAAAGCTCATGTCTTTCATAATTTACCCCAGGATTCATGGAAACACGCGCCCTGATCTCCAAGGGTCTGTATCCTCCAGTACTGTTTGGCGTTTGTTTAGCTGTAATAATACAAATTATAGAAGAATGTGAAGTGACTAACATTAGACTAAAGTGCTGTTGTAAAGTGATAAGAGTACAGTGCAATACAAGTATAAACATTTTGACTTCAACTATATATAAACATGAAATGGACAGAACAATCAAATGGTTTATATAAAGATATATTTAATGCATTTTACAAAAGAGCAAGTTTTTGTTTTCTCTTAACAGAGCACAAAATAAGTTTTTTTCTTTCCACAGAAAAGTTTCTTTTTTAACAGTGTCAACAATTCAACACAACAAGGAACCTTCACAGAAGGCACTCGACACACATCATGTGATTTCAATCTTTACAGAAGGTTTAGGAAACATATTTGCATAGCAATTAAAACTATTGACGGATCATCTCAACAGTGAGATTAACAACCAATTACACTGTGCTTGAACAACATTAGTGAAACAACACTGCTACAAGCAGAAACATTAACTCTTCAATATGAAAGAATACAAAATCTTTTTTAAAGATCTGTGATCGGAAATAACTCAATCAATTAGGTACAATCCTAACGATGTAAACAGCCATCTGTAATTAAGAGTCTGGAGTGGACTCTACCAGGGCCTCCACATGGTCCTCTACCAGGGCCTCCACATGGTCTTCTACCAGGGCCTCCACACGGACTTGGAGGCAGCAGAGGGCTTCTCTGCACTCTGCAGCTGGGAGCACAGGTCCTGGGACGCTGAGTGAGGAGAGTGTAGCTGCAGCTGACACAGAGACATGTCCTTGATGGAGGAGGAGGACAGGAAGTGCATGGTCTCTTTCCAGCACTGAGAGTAGCCCTCCATGTGAGCAGTGTGAGAGGTGGGAGTCTGCAGCTGCTGCCTCAGAAAGATCACAGTCATCTCCAGGACGTCTGCCTTCTCCAGTTTAGCATTGGGATCTTGTTTGTGGAACTCCTTCTCCAGCAGGACTTTGAGCTGCTCGATGCAGCTGTTGATGCGGTCTCTGCGCATCTTCTCCACAGCAGGTTTCCTCAGCTAAAGAAAACAAACACAGCTGGTCAGTAACATGTCAAACTGATGCATAATGAGAGAAAGTTGTGCTGAGAATCAGAAGTGTGGTGATTGGTCATTGTCAGCTGTACTTACTTTGTGTTTGTCTTTGGCTGAGAGCAGTGAAACAGCAGAGTCTCTGGTGCAGGTTGGAGCCATTTCTGCAGAGATGAGATGTTTCTCTTGGAGAGCAGAGTGAGTTGTGATCTGGGGGAGGATCCCTCTGCTCTATTTATAGGCGGACATTAGCATTACAAAGCCATGAGTCCCAGGCAGGATTAGCTTTCCCACACTCTGAGGCCAGTGGGCGAGGCCGACACAACAATAGGAGAGAGGCATCAATTATCTCATGGTTAACTGGCCCCGTGGCCTGAGTGGAGGGAGCAGCAGATATGTGAAGGTACAGACCAACACAAGCAGTCGTTACACTTTATTACCTGGGAACCTTCCCGCCGTCTCATCAGATCACTTGGCTGCAGATGTGCACAGACAGAGACGCTGCGTCTGATGACGGACACTAAAGACATAAAGATAAGCACCTGTGAACTGAGACAAGAGAGGTATAGATAATACACAAATCATACATATCTACACAATGACAATAAAAGATGCACAACTGTCATCATCTAGATATAATTTCTACACTGTATTTGGGACAAATACAGTTTTTTCTAATCTTGGTATTAAGTATTCTTTATCATTTACTTTAAAAAATAAAGTAAATAACAAAAAAATAATGGTACTTTTGTTAAAAAATAACTGTATAATTCTGTTCCACACACTGACAGCAGCAGCAGCATCAGGATAACTGTGGGACTGAGGACACATTCCTAAGCAACTGTCAATTAAACACAATTATGCGCCGTTAAAGGAAGGCACACTTCTATTGAGGCCAGTGTCACCCCCCCTGGTCCTGCTGCCCCCCTGCTCCTGCTCGCCCCCCCCCCCCCCGGTCCTCTCGACTCGCTTATTTAGGGGAATATGCGATAAATGGAGGCAGAGTGTGGGAAAAGAGGTAGGGATCCCACTCACACACCCTGCTGTCAATAGCTCACATACTGAGCCCCCCCCCCCCTCTCTCCCCACTACACACACACACACACACACACACACACACACACACACACACACACAAACAGAGTGAGGCTTTCAACCTGTGGTACAGATCACAGGGAGCGCTGCACGGGCACGCGTGTGGCCCCAGTGCACGCTTTCTGTTCTGTTTGTGAGTGTTTCTATATAATTGTCATTTACTGCACATTTTTGCACAACAACAAATGTCTGATTTCCTATGTCTCAGCTCGTGGAGTTTGGATGCATGTGTGCAGAACATAAGTGCCACTCGCTAGTTTATTTATCTGATTGTGTCATCCGTGAAGAGTAGATAAGAAAGATGAATTTATATAGCACTTCACACAGACTGTGAAATACAGATTTTTTCCTCAGATACTGAGGTGTCCTGAAGATAATGACAGAGCTTGAGATTGTGTCTGTATTTCAGACAGAAGACATGATTTATTGTTGATGATGAGTTTAACTTTCACTGCAGTTGCTTCAAAGTGTCATGAAAATTCCAAATTCCCTCTATACAAACTTGAGGGTTCATGGGAGTTTGCCCAACCTGTCCACATGTACTTTGTGGATTTGGAGAAGGCGTTCAACCGTGTTCCCCGGGGTGTCCTTTGGGGTGTTCTCCGGGAGTACGGGGTCCGGGGTCCTCTGCTGAGGGCCGTCCGATCCCTGTATGACCGGAGCCAGAGCTGTGTTTGCATCGCCGCCAGCAAGTCAGACCTGTTCACGGTGCTGCCCTTTGTCACCAGTTCTGTTCACTGTCTTTATGGACAGAATTTCTAGGCCCAGCCAGGGGCTGGAGGGGGTTTGGTTCTGGGACCACAAGATTTAATCTCTGCTGTTTGCGGACGATGTTGGCCTTGTGGCTACAACGAACCAGGATCTGCAACATGCACTGGGATGGTTTGCTGCAGAGTGTGAAGCGGCAGGGATGAAAATCAGCACCTCCAAATCTGAGGTTATGGTGCTCGACCGGAAAAAGGTGGCTTGCCCTCTCCAAGTCCTGGTCCTCTCCAGGTGGTGACAACCTTCCTCAAGTTCAAGTATCCCTGGGTCTTGTTCAGGAGTGAGGGAAAGATGTAGCGTGAAATAGACAGCTGGATCTGTGCAGCATGCGCCGTGATGCGGCCGTTGTATCGGACCATGTTCCAGATTCCTGGACGCCTCCCTGGGGAGGTGTTCCGGGAACGTCCCACCGTAAGGAGATCCCGGGGAAGACCCAGGACACGCTGGAAGGACTATGTCTCTCAGCTGCCCTGGGAACACTTTATGGTCCCCCGGATGAGCTGGAAGAAGTGTGTGTGGATAGGGAAGTCTGTGCCCCCGCAACCTGGCAATGGATGAAGCGGAAGAAAGTACGCAGACATTTTTGTGTCAAAAAATTACACTGTTTCTGTATAAATAAATAAGTAGCAGCAATATATTTTTTATTAGAATAAACTCTTAAAAATCTTCATCTTTTAAACCCTCTATTCTCCATGTCATGTATAACTTAACCATGTTCTTGGTACATTCCAGGTTGTGAAAAAGCAGCAGATGGTTGAGTGAAACTTCTCTCCATTTTTTTATAGTGAGTCATGACACAAAATTCAGATGAGAACAAAACACGTTGCTCGGGCCTATAACGCATTCCAGTGTGGACTCTCTATTCACAGAGCCGGGCCTCACGGAGGGGCCCGCTGCCACACACACTGCTCCCACGCGCACACGTCGCACAACAAGTCTCCATGGCTTTGAGCCCAGATGCGCCCACTGTCTGTGTGCAGCCACCTCTCCACTCTGAGGAATGTGTGAGAGACCAGAGCTGCTCCTCTTTCCCACACTTAAGCCTCCATTCAGGCCACTGCCCCACCCGCCAGCGGCCGCCACTGATCCTCCAGGCCCTCATTATACTCTGTCCTCAATAGGCCATCTGGACAGCTACCAGGGGACACAACTCTACACTCTCACATCCGCTGGGCACCTAGTCACAGGTACAATTGGACCTCAGCACTAAACAGTTCAATTCAATGAGTACCAACTGAAGAAGGGGAGACTTTTAGACCATTAATGACCTTAAATGGGACAGAAACACTAATCAGGTCATTAAGAAAGCTGGTCAGCGTTTCTTCTTTGAAAGTTTGTGATTATGTGTTTCTTTGACATCACAGTCAAAGAAAGGAGAGCTCTAAACAAGGTGAGACCAGAGAGGGACCCGAGAGAGACCAGAGAGCGAGACCAGAAAGGGACCACAAAGAGAGACACCAGAGAGACTAGAGAGAGAGACCAGAGAGAGAGACCAGAGAGCTCACAGTCAGCTATGAAAGACGACCCAATGACTCTTCTGGCTCCTGGAAAAGCCATGTTCCAGCTTCTTCCCTCTGGCAGAGTTTGAACAAGGCAGTTTGAACAAGGCACTTTAATGATATTGCACTTGTAGTGAAAAGGTTTTGGTTGAGGATTTCACAGTGATATATGTTTCCAGTAATTTTTTTGCTTGTTTCATTATTCATCCAATGCGGTTTTACTGCAAATGGCAAATTAAAAGTATCTGAATCCGACTTTATGAACATATTTGAACATTTAGGCTCGTTGGTCATCCTGCAACCCCATGGTCCATCTAGGTCTCATAACTGCATCTCTTGTGTTCTGGTGTTTGAATTGACAAGTTTGTAAAGTCCTGAAAAAGCCAAGTGACTGAGTTTGGAATGCCTGAAGTAAGATGAAAAAATAATCATTTACTAAATTAGTTGACTATAATGAAAAATCGATTAGGAGCTGCTTCATACATCATCCCAATGCTAATGATTGAATACATTGTCGAAATCAAAATTTGCAAACGATAATCAATATGAAACACTTTCCACCTACGTGATCAAACTGAGGACTTTCAAAAGAGTCTCGGGGTTTTCCCGCCTGATTTGAGAAGAGCGGAGTGAGTCACATGAAACGTTAATGCACTCACATGAAGGAGTTGGGGGCGGCTCTCTGGGCTCTGAAAAGGGGTCAGGGTTTTCCCAGGTTCCAGCGAATGCATGGAATCACAAGGAGACTTCTGGAGGCACCTGCCCTGGCCTTTGTGGGTCTGAAGCCGTACCCCACAGAACCGTCAAAGGTTCAAGACAACAGCCTCAGGAATGCTTTGTGGTTGTGTGAGTGGCGGGAAGAACATTATTATGTTATAATCCAGACATGTCAAACCCAGACTCAAAGGGCCAAATCCGGCCCTCAGGATAATTTTTAGTGGCCCTAAAATGGTATTCAATTATTATTATTAACTTGCAGCAGTGATGGTTATGGGCGACCAAGCCATCTATTTTCACAGGAAAACAACCAAATCTAATTCATTCTAAAATGTTGACCCAAACATATCATTAGAAGTAGTAAAGAGTTAAATAAAAAACTATATGTTTAACTTTATATTTGGTCCAGTTTTGGATACATCCAAACAATAAACATTTCATTTTATTAGAGCCTTTTACGAGGCTTAAGGTAAAACCCAACAGCAATAGTTATGGAATCTAAGGAGCACAGGGACTGGCCTCCTGCTGGGACTCTGAGGAGCACAGGGACTGGCCTACTGCTGGTCCCAGAGTCAGGACGAAACATGGAGAGGCAGTGTTTCAGATTTATGAAGCGAAACTCTGGAACAGTCTTCCTGAAAATGTGAGACAGGCTTCTTCTCTGACAATGTTCAACTCCAGGTTAAAAACAGTTCTGTTTAACTGTGCATCTACAACTGAAGGATTTATCCATACTCTTTTTGAAGCACTGTGAATATGATTATTTATTTTAATGTGATTATGTGATTATTTCTATCCTGTTTTGTTACACACTTTGAGTTGGCATGTGTATGAACTGTGCTATACAGATAAACTTGCCTTTCCTACAGTTGAGGTGAGATGGACCTGGTTTGTCTACAGACTGGTGGCACAATGGTTTCCCGCCTTTTACGAGGGCCAGCTGCTGCTCTTATCTTCAAAGGTTTTCTCCGTTGCCTTATTGCCCCAACTTTCCCACAGCACACTTCGAGCAGACACACAATAGACGCGTGCCACATTCAATGGTGGATTAGTCACGGCTGCCGCTCCATTGCTCCTCAGTCCCCCAGGGAAACGGCAGGAAGGCGGGAAGCACTTTATCTCAGCACTAGGATTCCCAGAGCAGTTGATTTGACAGCTTTTTGTTTGGAACAGTAATCCCACCGCTTATGTTCGTTTTGTCTACCACGTTTCACTTATGTAGGTGTGTGTATATGTGCCTAAGGTTATACATAAGTGTGTATCTGTATGTATGTATTTATGTGTATGTACACCAGATGTAATTTATTATATGTAATTAAGAGTTTGTACTGAAACCGAAAACCTTCTGTAATATTTGTAATTCCTCATTCAATTAATGAGAGAAATACTGAACCTTCTGTATCTAGTGCTTATCTTTTCATAGATAAAAGTCACACAGTAATAAGCTTCTCATCATCCACACGGATTAGCAAGAAGTATGATACACATATATTTGTTTATATATTTATTGTCAAAAATATTAGGAATTTTCAATTTATCAACAGGCTACGGAAAATGTGTGAATGTGTTAATGGAATCTATATTCTGCAAATTAGTGGCAAGAGAAGAAATGTACAAAGTTAAAAATAGTAAACATTATTGAAATCTGAAATTTTCCACACGTCTAGGTTAATCAAAACAATTAGTAACAGTTTGACCAGTTTAGTAAAATAGTTTTCAGGGATCCATGATTCAGTTACATCCACAAATTTCATAAACATATTTATTTAAACTGGCCTGTACTTTGTAAAAGTCCATTTCAAATATTGAGTCAGCATATCTTTAGGTTTAAAAATATAGGGACCACAGCCAGAAAAGACTTTTGGAAGGAAGACTCAGTAAACCTCTTATTGTACACTTGTGATGTCATATTTAGTCAGGAGACACATCCAACATCCAGGTTCAGTGCAAACATTTTTAAATGACCTAAACGAACAGAAAGATGTGTCTCTTAAATGATGAGGCCGTGTTTATGAGCTCATGTAAGAATACTTCCATTCCGTGAGTGGGACGTGCGTCTCCTTCACCACCTGCGGCGACGTCCACCGCAGCACATAGTGCGGTCCTCCTGGTTTATCGTTTGTTCCTTTGAAAGAAAAACATCATTCATCAACATGAATGACATGTGACTGTGTGTGACCGAGTTTGACAGAGACCCCTCACCTGAGGCTCTGGCGCCCCCAAATGGCTGCTGAGCAACAACAGATCCTGTAGATTTGTCATTAACGTAGTAGTTCCCAGCAGCATTTCTCAAAGCTCTTGCAGCTTCATCAATTACATTCCTGTAACATATTTTAATGTTGTTAACACTTCTTAAATAAACATCATTAAAGAAACTATTAGTATATGGTGGACAGCTGCATTTCATGTGTAAATGACTCTTCCAACATGGAAGGGTTAAGGAGACGTACTTGTCTTGTGCAAACACTGCCCCTGTGAGGGCGAATGGAGAAGTACTGTCTATTAGACTCAGGACATTTTTATAGTCGTCCTCAGGATAAACATACACTGTTAAAACAGGCCCAAAGATTTCCTGAAAGCACAAATATAATAATACAAGTGGATGCTATGTTCAAGCTGTATATCAATATATTGGATATATAAAAATATCTCCAGCATCGTGTCCAAACATCCTGTTTCAGTTGGTGATCCACGTCTCACGCAGTAAATTTGTTTTTAATCCCTTTGACCCCAGAACTCGGCTGCATCATATGTTTGTACCTCTCTCATGATATCTGCTTGTGGGTCCTTCGTCTCGATGATGCTTGGTTCCACAAAATAACCTTTCTGGTTATCACAGTTTCCTCCAGCAACAATGGTGAGATCAGGAGACGACTTTGCGTGGTCAAGCCATTTCTGAATACGACCAAACGACTGCAAAGAGAGAGAAAAATGTGATCTATGTTTCTCCTTATGACACAAACAATACATGAACGATACCTTATCATCAATAACAGCAGAGAAAAAGGTGTCCATGTCTTCAATAGGCTGATGAAATGAATAAAAATGTTATTATCAATATTCAATAACATTACATGACATGAATAGATAGATTATTACTATTACTGTAATACATGAGGATGTTGAATCATAATTTGACATGTTCAAATCTGTAGGGAGAAACTTCTGGTTTTAGCAGCATTAGAAAGTTCCAGTAAAACCATGATTCAAAAACAATCTGACGTAATTGAAGTTTGGTTTAAAATATTTGATTACTTTTTTGTCCCATTTAGGTTGGGGAAATAATAAGAATTCAAGGGAATTAATGGGAAATTATGGGAATGAACAGAAACTAACTGTGAAAGTGACTTAATAGGGAAATAGTCGAGGAAAGTTTATTTTAGCCTAATCCTAAAACAAACAGATTGCTACAGATCCATGTCATTCCCACATGCACATAGCACGCTGCTATTGAGACAGCACCCTGGGACAGGGAAGAATGTAAGAATAACTTTAAAGATGTATGGGTCTGTCGCCCTCCCTCTGGTCTGTCGCCCTCTGGTCTGTGCCCCTCTGGTCTGTCGCCCTCCCTCTGGTCTGTCGCCCTCTGGTCTGTGCCCCTCTGGTCTGTGCCCCTCTGGTCTGTGCCCCTCTGGTCTGTCGCCCTCTGGTCTGTGCCCCTCTGGTCTGTGCCCCTCTGGTCTGTGCCCCTCTGGTCTGTGCCCCTCTGGTCTGTGCCCCTCTGGTCTGTGCCCCTCTGGTCTGTGCCCCTCTGGTCTGTGCCCCTCTGGTCTGTCGCCCTCCCTCTGGTCTGTGCCCCTCTGGTCTGTGCCCCTCTGGTCTGTGCCCCTCTGGTCTGTCGCCCCTCTGGTCTGTGCCCCTCTGGTCTGTGCCCCTCTGGTCTGTCGCCCCTCTGGTCTGTGCCCCTCTGGTCTGTGCCCCTCTGGTCTGTCGCCCTCCCTCTGGTCTGTCGCCCTCTGGTCTGTGCCCCTCGGTCTGTGCCCCTCTGGTCTGTGCCCCTCTGGTCTGTGCCCCTCTGGTCTGTGCCCCTCTGGTCTGTGCCCCTCTGGTCTGTGCCCCTCTGGTCTGTGCCCCTCTGGTCTGTCGCCCTCCCTCTGGTCTGTGCCCCTCTGGTCTGTGCCCCTCTGGTCTGTCGCCCTCTGGTCTGTGCCCCTCTGGTCTGTGCCCCTCTGGTCTGTGCCCCTCTGGTCTGTGCCCCTCTGGTCTGTGCCCCTCTGGTCTGTGCCCCTCTGGTCTGTGCCCCTCTGGTCTGTGCCCCTCTGGTCTGTGCCCCTCTGGTCTGTCGCCCTCCCTCTGGTCTGTCGCCCTCTGGTCTGTGCCCCTCTGGTCTGTGCCCCTCTGGTCTGTGCCCCTCTGGTCTGTCGCCCTCCCTCTGGTCTGTGCCCCTCTGGTCTGTGCCCCTCTGGTCTGTCGCCCTCTGGTCTGTGCCCCTCTGGTCTGTGCCCCTCTGGTCTGTGCCCCTCTGGTCTGTTGCCCCTCTGGTCTGTCGCCCTCTGGTCTGTGCCCCTCTGGTCTGTGCCCCTCTGGTCTGTGCCCCTCTGGTCTGTCTCCCTCTGGTCTGTCGCCCCTCTGGTCTGTCGCCCCTCTGGTCTGTCGCCCCTCTGGTCTGTCGCCCCTCTGGTCTGTCTCCCTCTGGTCACTGCCTCCATCACATGTAAAGGACTTGTAGAAGACTGGACTAAACTTTTGATCCCAAAGAATAAAAGTGTTCAGTTCATAGGCTAAAATGTGAGGCGGCTTCAATTAAGTTTTGATGATAGTATGGGGAACTTTATTCTACTTTTTCCTGTTTTTATATCATCTAAGATTGGATATGATACAAATACATTACAATTAATTTCCTGTTATGAAATATCCATAGACATTTACCAGACACTTTCCAGAAATGTATAGTTTATCACCCGCCCCTTTGCAGCCCTAGTCCTATGTATGACTTACATGTATGTGTCTTGCATCCATGTTGTACTTACATCTCCCACTTTGATGTCTTTGTGAACCGAGAGAAGCCCCTGTTTGATCTCTGGCCACAGCGAGTCTGGGACGTACATCCGTGAACACGCAGAGCACTTCTGTCCTCCGTATTCAAACGCAGAGCGGATAGTTCCCATCACCACACTCTGAATGTCCGCTGACTTATGCACAAAGTGAAAGTTCTTCCCACCGCACTCTGAACAAAAAGAAATGACACGTCACAACACACTGTGCAGAAAGTCTGAAACTCTGTCAATTACAGAAAGTGTGGGAGTTAATCCAAAGTAATCAAATCAAACAGACCTCCAGCGATCCGAGGAAAGTTCTTATATCTGTCCAAATTCTCGCCAACCTGTTTCCAAAGACGTTTGAAGGTTCTGCAAAATCAAGACAGATACATAATTTCAGAATGTGCAATATAGAAACACATGTGCTTTTCTTAAGCGGGGACTGGGAAGATTGTAAGAATAGCTGGGAAGAGGGATGGGTCTCTCTCAGTTTTTTCTCCCTGGTCTCTCTCTTTTACCCACTGCAAGCACAGCAAGGGACGAGCTCCTCTCCTCCGCAGAGGAGGCTTGAATCTTGCGGCTGTGTACACACCGGCAGAGTGTGCAGTGACGCAGCTGAGACTGTCCCTGTGCCGTCTATGGAGAAGTGTAGGAGAGTATGGGCCAGTGAACTGATGCGGAGAAACAAAACTCACATATATGTATTTTTCCTCATGGTCTATCTGAGCTGCTGTGGTCAGACGTAAGATTTTAAGGGCACGGTCACATAGGTTTTTCCAAACGAACTAGGCCAAGTGGCCCGGATCGTCGCCACAGGGGTGTCAAAACGGCCCGCGGTCACATGAACTTATTGTTTAAACCGTGCCAGGGAAATTGTGCTGTAGTACAAAACTCGGTCCAGCTGGTGGCGCTAATACTAACACCAGAGACTACCTCAGAATCAGAATCAGAATCAGAATCAGAATCATTTTTATTGCCAACGTAAGTAACGGGAGGTCACAGACTTGGAAATTGCTTTGGCTCAGTGCAACAGTCAGAAAGAGATAATAAAAATAAGAATAAAAAACACTTCTAAAGAATAAATTTAAATTTAAAATAGAGTTACAGTTACTATTTACAATATACAAGTGCACATGGTGCACACAATGTAAGGTGACAGCAGTACAGTGAAGTAAAGTGACGTATGATGGGCAGTAAAGTGACTTTATAAAGGGCGGGGGGACAGGTTAAGAAGTGTTCAAGAGTCCAACAGCAGAGGGGAAGAAACTGTTCTTGTGGCGGGAGGTTCTAGTCCTGATGGACCGCAGCCTCCTGCCTGAGGGGAGTGGTTGGAATAGTCCATGTGCAGGGTGAGAGGGGTCGGCTGTGATACGACCAGCCCGGCCTCGAGCTCGGGCGACGTACAGGTCCTGCAGCGATGGAAGGCTGCGGCCGATCACTTCCTCTGCAGAGCGCACAATGCGCTGTAGTCTCTGTTTGTCCCTGACTGTGGCTCCAGCGAACCACACGGTGATGGAGGAGGTGAGGATGGACTCGATGATGGCCGTGTAGAACTGCACCAACATCTGTGCAGGCAGCTTGGCTTTCCTGAGCTGCCGCAGGAAGTACATCCTCTGCTGGGCCTTCTTGATGAGGGAGCTGATGGTCGGCTCCCACTTGAGGTCCTGGGTGATGGTGGTGCCCAGGAAACGGAAGGACTCCACAGAGGTGATGGGGGAGTCCATCACGGAGGGTGGGGGCGGGGGGACAGTGCTCTTCCTGAAGTCCACAATCATCTCCACTGTCTTCTGGGCGTTCAGCTCCAGGTTGTTACCACTGCACCAGGACACCAGCCGGTCCACCTCCCTCCTGTAGGCGGACTCATCGTTGTTGGAGATGAGTCCAATGAGGGTGGTGTCGTCCGCGAACTTGATCAGCTTCACGGAGTCGTGGCTGGAGGTGCAGTGGTTGGTGTACAGGGAGAAGAGCAGGGGAGAAAGAACACAGCCCTGTGGGGCTCCTGTATTTATAATCCGAGAGTCCGAGACATTCTTCCCCAGACGCACTCGCTGCTTCCTGTCCGTCAGGAAGTCAGTGATCCACCTGCAGGTGGAATCGGGCACGTTGAGCTGGGAGAGCTTGTCCTGGAGCAGGGATGGCAGGATTGTGTTGAAGGCAGAGCTGAAGTCCACGAACAGGACCCTGGCGTAGGTCCCCGGGGAGTCCAGGTGCTGTAGGATGTGGTGGAGGGCCAGGTTAATGGCGTCGTCTACAGATCTGTTGGCTCTGTAGGCGAACTGCAGGGGGTCCAGGAGGGGGGAGGTGAGGGACTTGAGATGGGGACTTGAGGGACTCGTTGCCCTGTTTGAGATCCGCTTCTTTTCCTTTTTACATTCTGCTACTGTAGCTAAAAGCTTACAGCTACAGCTACTGTAGCTAACAGCTCAGTACGGAAAGATACACCTCACACTGGTCCAAATTGCTCTGATGCAAAGAGCAGCAGTTCAGTGGGGTAATGTGAATGCACACGTGTGTGTGTGTGTGCCGCGGACACGAGTGCACACACACACACACACACACACACTCTTTAGCAACGAGCGTAAGAGCGCTGAGAAATGAATGAATGAGAATGAAAGAATTAAAAGTGTGGAGTACGAGCATAGCGACCGCAGACAGGGAGGTTACAAGTGTGTGTTTGTGTGTGTTCTGGTGATTAAATAAAGACTGATTCTTGAATGTCTGAAGTGTTATTGCAATAGCACAACACTGAGAGCAATGGTCAGGACCATGGATCTATAATAATAACAGTCAGGACAGAAGAGAGCTATACCCGTAGGAAACGATTTTCTTTGGCCCTGTAGAGAGACACTCCCCCAGCGCCCCTCGACCACGGTCCGGGGCTTATATGAAAGGTTTGACACAAGCGGAGAATACAAAAGTGCAGGGAGAATGTGTGAAAATGCGTGTCACAGGAAGACGTAATGTGACGCACAATATCAAGTCCCCACCACACCTAATCCCCCCACTCCCCACCACCCGCCACACTGACCCCCCTCATCTGCGCTGGGAAGCGGGCCCTGGCCGCAGTTTTGAACCGCGCCAGAGCACGATTCCTGGAATTCCTGGAATGCCGCGGTCAGATGGCACCTAAAGCCCGGATCAAACTGCAAAGCGGGCCCTGACAAACTTTAACTGGGCTTTAGGCTGCGCATGTGACCGCAGCCTTAGAAAGAAAAAAAACAATGTCCAGAATCACCTGCCAGTCCTCCTCCCAATGGTTAGACACAAGTGCAGTGTGCGTGGAGCTGATCTAGAGACAAGGACTGCTAGCAACATGTTTCCCATGTGTTCTGACTGGGAGCCGCGTCACTGCGCAAACAAAAATATGAGAGTCTCCTTTTTTGGGTTGTCTGCTTGTGCGGTGTGTATCCTCCTAGCTAATACCATGGGGACATATTTCAAATTAGCCCTGCGCAACCCCGCCGCGCAAGTCTCTCCACACCACATGACACGTGGGGTGTGTTAAGTTTTCTCCCTCTGGTCTCTATCCCTAATCTCTCTCTTCCTGATCCCTCTCCCCGATCTCTCTCCCCGATCTCTTTCCCCGACCTCTCTCCCCGATCTCTCTCCCCGATCTCTTTCCCCGATCTCTCTCCCCGATCTCTCAGGTCTCTCTCTATTTCACTTTTCAGTCCGTAAAAGTCTAAAGATGTGACAGAGGTCAAACATACACGAAACTAGGTCTCTACTGCTGTCGCTACTGCTGAGCCAAATACAGGGACATTTTGGAGGACAACCTTTTAGAGTCAGTCTTTCATGATCTTTTAAACTCGCTAAATGAAGTGTATTTGTGAGTGTCAATGTAAATGTGTTCTTACGGTACGCTGCCTGTGAAGTTGATGCCTGCGAGATGCTCCGATGCGGTGACAGAGTCTCCAAACACTGGTCCGTCCGAGGGCAGGAACTGGACAATGTTTGGAGGCAGTCCGCACTCCCTCAGGATGTTATAGACGGCAAAGCTGGCAGACATCGCTGTGTCGCTGGGCTTCCAGAGAACTACATTACCCTGCATTAAACATGGAGGTTGTAGCCAGACTAGAAACATTTGATCATACTTTAGTTTATGCCTAACTAATTAACAGCTAATCAAGTGCTAATTTGTGTGTAGGATCTCAGGACAGTGGTGATGATCTAGAACACTCAGTATTCCACAACATCTATATCGACTTTATATCAACATTTATGAACATTTGTGAACATTTATGAACATTGGTCTATAACTGCCATTGGGCAAACGGATTTATATGGTTTAAATTATTGCATTTCCTGCGTTTGAATGGTTTGTTCCTCTGATGTGTGTTGTAAATAAAGTATCTATGCATCTATCTATAGCTACCTTAGGATTTCCAAATGGCTTGTGCAAATGTTACTTATTATTACATTTCACCGAGTCTGATAATAGATTTGGTCAAAAATGGGATAAATAACCATTCCGATTGTATTTTGTGTCACTATCGCCGATTCCAGACATGGTAAACTTGGGATACTGTGTAATAAACATCTATATAACTAAGTCCTGAGTCTAATTCTGAGTGGCGTTTACATGTTCTCCCCGTGTCTGCGTAGGTTTCCTCCGGGTACTCCGGTTTCCCCTACCACTAAAAACATGTACAATAGGTCTGGCATGCGCCTCCTGTTCGGCGACCCCGCTCCCATCTCTGTGTGGAGTGAGAGGACAAGTGCCCAAAAATAACAATTGTAAACCGCTTTGTGACTCTGGTCTGTAAAAGGCGGTATATAAATAAAGATTGCTTTCTTACTTACTTACTTACATTATTAATTATATATTTTATTTATATGACGCATTTCTAGGCACTTAAGGTTGCCTCAGCCTGTTTAAGTTTATATAAGGTTTAAAAAACTGTGGTGATGATCCAAGACACCATTTATGGACATTTCTCATTATCATTATCATTTTGTGTTTGAACTGTTTGATTTTCTGATTTGTGTTGGCAATTTCAAGTCCTTTGGGATAACTACTGTTTACAGGGATTTACAGGAAAAAATGAATTGAATTGTATTTGAGATGTAATAAAACAAATTCTCATCTGAGTACAATAATAATAATTAAGAACATTTGTCTGATTAGAAGAAATGTTTTTTTTAATGGCATAATGCAAAATACTTATAATAATAATATTATTTTGATACTCACCATCAGAGCTGGAGTTCCTGCAAGATTCCCGCCAATAGCAGTGAAGTTAAAAGGTGCCACAGCAGCAACAAATCCCTACAAACAGTAACCATAGAACTTTAATAAATACATAGCTCACATTATGACGTTTGGTTTTTCAAGGCCCTTACCTCCAGTCCTCTATAGAGCATCGTGTTTGTGCTTCCGGAAGCGTCCATAGGCTGCTGTGCTTCTAACTCAATGGCATGTTTGGCATTGAATCGAAAAAAGTCTATCAATTCTGCTGCAGCATCTATCTCTGCTTGAATGATTGTTTTACCCTATGAAAACACACACACATACACACACACACACACATTTGACAGTGAAAAATACAAACTAAAACACACAATTTGCAACATTATTATTAGGCTACATAAGGTTACCATTATACCACTGTTGTTATCCACTGTCACCTTATCCACTTTGTCCCAGACCCTCATGCTGCTAATATGTACAGATGCATACATGCAACTATAGCTTCCTTGAAAGTATTTTATACTTGTTTCTTTATTGTGCTAAAGTCCTAGTCTTTAGCTAGTAATGTGTTCTTTGAAGTTGTGTGTTGGTGGCAGTCTGACATCGAGAGACTGTAATCGGCCCGACAAAACTGATCAGGAAATGTGTTTCTGTGATGGGGAATTGTGGACTCTGTGGGAGCTGAGCTGGAGAGAAGGATGAGAGCTCCCCTTGCAGGGCAGCCTGAGTAACTCCAGACACCCTCTGCATGACATTATGGCCGCTCAGGGGATAACCGTACAAAAAGTTTAAATAAACTATGCTGCAGAACAGAATGTTTTAAGAGATCTTTTGTTCCTTAGGCTGTCAGACTGTACAACGGATATGTCTGAGTTGAGCATGTGCACTATTGTTTGTTTGTCAGTTAGAAATTTTTATAATTTATGCACTTGTGTTTTTATAGATGCGTTTCTGCTGCTGCACACCTGAATTTCTCCAAAAGGGGATAAATAAAGTATTTATATAAAAAAGGTACCACATTGTACAAACTCTTATTATGCTAATGTCAGAGGTTTCATACTCAATTTTTGCTCCAATAGATTTGCTTCCTTATCAATCTAAAGTTTGAGTTTTTGTTTTATCCAATTTTTGTATAGAGTTATTGTACATTTATCTTGTGTTGTGTGCTCCTCATTCCTATTGTTCTGTAACTGAAATTTCCCCACAGTGGGACAAATAAAGGATCTCCTAATATTAATCTTAATCTTAATACCTGTCCGATCATGGTCTTGGCCAACACCTCTGCTCTTTTGGGCCCACTGATGACGTCTGCTGCCTTGAAGAGAATCTGGGCTCGGTCCTGGACAGGCTTTAAGTCCCATTCTTTCCTTGCGGCCACTGAAGCCAGAATAGCTTTATTTATTAGCTCCTAAATTCAAGAGCAGTGAATCAAATAAAATTACAAAAAAACAAGCACAGGTAAACAAATAATGTAAGCTTCAGTCACTCACCTTGTCAGCATAACAGAACTTGGCAACTTTATGTGAATGGTTGAATGGCTATGAAGACAGGAACAGAGCCAATATATCAAACAACCAAAACTTACAATATTCAACATTTGTAACTTAAAGTATAAAGTCCAAAGTAATACTCACTGATAACTGATATCTGACATCTTTGGTCCAAACCTGTTCGTCTCCAACGACACACGGGATCTCTTCAGTTTTTCCTTTCAATCTTTCTAAAGCCTAGGGAAAAGAAAACAAACAACTGTAAATTGAGTGTTTTGTGCATTTTGAATGTTATGTCTGACCTGTAGGAGAGCTTTTCTTTCAGGACTGCCTTTGTTGAAACCTAAAATGGGCTCATTCTTCACCTCTACAGCAGCACAAGAGAAAGTTTTAAACCTGCAAAAACACAAGTATTTACCCAATCTGGACTATAAATGGGACTTGGACCTCAGAGAACGCTTGCAATAAATAAACTGTGTCCTCTGTTGACACTGATGTTTCAGAATTTGTGTTTGCAAAACCTGCTGCATGACCCACCAACAGAAGTAATATGTAACTTCGGCCGGTTAATACTAGAAAAAGCACATCTGAGACATGTTAGTGCCATATCATATGAACCAACTCAGACCCTGAGGAGCACAGGGACTGGCGCCCTCAAGAATCAGAACTAAACAACGTGAGGCAGCATTTCAGATTAATGTAGCTAAAATCTAGCACACTCTTCCTGAAAATGTGAGACAGGCTTCTTCTCTGACCATGTTCAAACACAGCTTAAAACAATTCTGTATAGCTGTGCAACAACGGAGGCATTGTATCTTCCCTCTTTTTAATGTTCTGCGATTATTTATAATTATAATGCCTTGTGTGATTGTTCCTATCTTGTTTTGTTAAGCACATGTAAAAGAACTGTGCTATACTAATATACTTGACTTGCCTTGTCTTGTCGTACATTTCCCTTGACATAGCTAATGCACCCAAATGTATTTGCCCATAGACGTCGGGTTGACTTAGCAGCACCTGAGGTTTAACAGAAGTGTGGAAGTAACCATGATAAGTCAACATGAGTAGCAACCCACAGAGCAGCTATGCACCATATGTGTTGTTGCAGCTGCAGATTGTGCTGCACATATGTCTTGCTGTTAAAATCTCTTGCAAGAAGCAAAACTTGTACCAACTACTAACTTGTATTATATATTTTATAGTTGTCTACCTACTTCTGGGCAATAATAGCTACATAGTGCTACACCATTTGTCAGAAACATTTATCTATTCATTTAATGTGGACATAACAATAACATTGGATAAACCAGATGCATTGTTGTAAGTGTGCACATATGCTAGTTTTTAACACTAGCTAGTTCACTTTGAAAACACATCATATTACTTAGTTAGCTGTAGATTAAATTTCTTACGGTGATAACAGAAATAAATATACATGCAATTACATTTATTACCGATATATCAAGCCAGAGAACGTGTATGATCGTACATAACATAGGGCTATAATATCTTGAGTTGTTTGACAAGTTCACGTTAGCGTTAAGGTGAAGGAGTCCCGTGTAGTCCCATGTGAAAGTACATACCCTCTCCAAGATTGGCTGACTGCTCCTCTCAAACGAAGCATGTTGAAGCTCCCAAAGACCAGATACAATACCACTTCAAAATCACGGTCCACTTATTTTATCAAAATAAATGACAGTATGACTATAAGGACATTTACGCAAAAGGGAGCTTATTTAGAAGGTTGTTCACTGAAGAGACAGCAAATTGGACTGTACCATTATTTAAGGAGACGCAAAAACAGTTGACGTTGTTTTTTTGTGTGATTACGATTAAGATTGCTGTTTTAATATCTTCACGTGAAATTTCAAAGTGTTGGAAATGGATATGTGTTGAATTGTGATATAATGTTTTTATATACATCGTAGAAAACAACCAAAACATGAATGCTATCCCTCCTTGAATGGTACATCTCAAAGGCGGAACTTCGATGAACCAATCAGTGAGCAGAGAATTTCCCAGCAAATCACATGTAAAGATATTGGATATTTTTGGCAAGACTTCTTATGTACAGACAGTCAATGGAAAACGTGCACATGGGCAAAGGGTCCCCGTTCACACAATGTTATTTAATATGAAACTGTATCCCTCTCTTTTTACGTTTAAAATATCTATCAAATACTCTTAAAAACGCCTTTATTTTGCAACCTTTGCGGTGGTGTCTATCCGCTGGTTGCCATAGACATGTTGCTTTTTCTTGCAACGCCCCTCACGATACAAAACATTGGGATTATAGTTGTTATTATTATTATCGTTATTATTATTATTAATATTATTATTAGCAGTCTCACCTCGGAGAAGGTTCCAGTTACCATAGGAACACACTGTTTACTTGCAGCAGTGAGTGTTTGTTTGTATTTCAGTTGCGTTCAGCCTTGATCTTTCAGTGGGGGCTTCAGGCAAAGTGTCTTGCCCAAGGACACAACGGCAGCAGACATCAGTGAGAGTCGGTGGAGAAGGTCTTGTGGAACCCACCAACTCTACCAACTGAGCCACTGTCGCACCTGAATTGGAGCTGTCTGAGTTTATTTTCATTATGTCTTGTTTTTTGCGCTGCTCTGTCTGTAGTTGTTATTATTATATGGATCCATGGTTAAAACATTGAAATTCCCTGTGTGGGACCTGTACATGTATGGTTCTCTTACCTTATCATATTTTAACCAACCATCCATCCATCCATTTTCTACCCCTTAATCCATTTCTGGGTTGGGAGGGTCACATAGCACAACCACTACCTTGTTTAGCTATATTTTAACCAACCATAGCTAAACAAGGTAAACTGTATGATATTAACCTCAGCTTACACAATACAGTAATGACATCAGGAAGATTGTGAAAGTTCACCTATTGCTCAAACAATGTCATTATGTCCATACATTTCATTACAGCTATGATAATGGTCATACACAAGTGGTTAAAGTCATTATTTCCTAAAACATTTACGTATTTGAGGAATTACAAAATAAATGTGGCACTTTGTGAATACTGTTCAAGGATACTTCTTTCTTCTCTTAATTATTGTTTGTAATTGTTTTCCAATTCAAAACTATACAATGCATTAACACCTGATGAAGAAAGTCAGATCCCGTTAGACTTCTAAACCTAAGCAGGGTGGGGCATGGTTAGTATGGTGATGAGAGACAACTGGGAACTGGTAGAGCCCCAACTGTAATTGTTGTCCATAGGCAAGATTATTAGAATGAGTCTGTTGTGTGAGTAAATGGTTAGTGGTGGTGGCCGATGGCACATACTGGTTGCCTTGACGTGTCAGTGTGGCCCAGGGCAGCTGTGGCTATATTAGTAGTTTAGCACCACTTTGTATGGAGTGAATTGATTATGACATGTGATGTGTCCAGAAAATGCTATATAAAACAGATGCATTATTACTATACGTTTCAAACATAATTTACACTTAAAATCTCCGGAACATTTACACTGTGCAACAAACAATGAGGACAAACGAACAATGCCAACCTAATTTCACATGTCATGCGTCAGTGCAATATCTTGAACTAATGTCAGAAAGTGCAATATAGAACCACATGTGTCACTGTTGCTTTACTGAGTAACTGTGTCCAAGAGCCTCATGCTGCTAACATGTAAAGATTTAGATGTAAACATACAGCTGCTAACATGTACAGATGTAAATATACAACTACATATTTCTTGCACAAGAATACACACCACTCTATACTTATATATACTTATTTTTCCAAATGTAGATATTTTATACTTCTTTATTATGTAAAAAAATAGATATTATACACTTGTTTCTTTAAAACTGGGGTTAGAGATTTTATTTTATTTTAATTATTTTGGTTATTGTTCTTTTATCTTGTGTTGAGTGCTCTTAATTCATAATTTTCGTTAACTGGTGATGCAACCCTGACAATTCCCAACTATGGGACTAATAAAGGATAATAAAGAATTTAATAAAAATACTCATGCCTTTTATCCATAGATCTCGAATTCCGCGACGTTGTTTTTGTCCCTCGGCACGCACCGTAGCTGAGAGGCGTGGACCGGAGTGTTGTGGTTGAAAATAGTCTTTAGCTCATTTGTCAGTGTTTGTCGCATCTTTAAACTCCAAACTGTAGAAATAAACCGTAAGAGATCTGTAGGAGCAGCTGTGTGAAAGCTATAGGAGCTGGTGAGTGTACATCTGCTGTTGTCTGTGCTCGGGCTCCTGCTGCTGCTCCTGCTGCTGCTGCTCCTGCTGCTGTTGTGCCCATGTCCTGGCACGTCACTATTAGCCTTTAGCGGCAATCCCTTCAAACCCATCTATTGTGTTTGTAAACTGGGATTCCATGTGTTAAAGTTGTCAGTGCATGCTTCGGTCACACAGCGGTGATTAATAAAGTGCTGTATAACGTCACTTTGTTGGTGTTGAAATCTCGGTCTGAGGTCAAGCTAACAGGACATTTAACAGTCTCCGATGTAGCAGCCCGGAGTTATGTTCCCCGTTTTAGATATTTATATTTACTTTAGCATCCCTAAAACTTAGGTTACTTTGTTTGGTTATAGATCACGTGTGGGAAACATTTGTGGGAAGATAAGAGAGCTACCCCTAACATATTTTGTAGCTATTATTATAACTAGAATGAACATTTGAACGATTTAGATTAAAATTGTATCTTCTGCGTGAATATGTGTGTTATGTTCTTTTGAAACATGTTTTGTTTGGTGGTGTTGTGTTATACATGTATAGATTATCATATTAGTGTAATCAAACAAATGCAAGACAGGTTTTAAGGCTGAGACAGAGTAGTTGCTACATTAGACATTAAATAGACATTTACACTTATTGGTAATAAATAATAGCGTCAGTTCAGGGAAAAAAATAAAAATAAATCTTGGATCCGGTGGCTTCACTTCAGCTGTCAAATTGTGATGCAATGTAATATTTCTAAGTTTTAAACAACTAATCAATTATTGGTATTGTTAATAAGAACAAAATCAATTTGAATTCTATATTAGAATTTATATAAACGTCCGTAGCAGTTCTTTTGTGATCACTTATTTGGGTGGTACATCAACATTTATCAAACATTTAAACATTTTTTAAATCAGCAAATTTTAGCTGCATAAATCTGAAATGCTGCGTCCCCATGGGTAGTCCTAACGCTGGGCTGGGCTCCTCAGAGTCCCGGCAGGAAGCCAATCTAACATGTCATGGATGTACTTGGGTGCGAGATCATGGAGAGATCTTGCTGCGGATTTTTTATTGATCTTTAATTAGTTGAAAGTATTTTAATAATCACATCACACCATCACCATGATAATCCTTGTTTCTTTCTGCAGTGTTTATGGGTGAGGAGCCTCCAGACAAACACCATGACGTCTAAAGGAGGTGGAACTACGCTGACACGTCGTAACTATAGATTAGCTTCAGACACAGACAAATCAAAAGCCACAGGTTGTTTTTTATTAACTTCCCATTCTTTATTCAAGGGATGCACCGATACTGGGGATTCTCTCTGATAAAGGCACATATTCAGGAACATTAGCGCGAGTATTTGAGAGTTTTTACTGAATCTACCAATTCTGTTCAATTGACCAATTTGAATTAAAATCAATTTGTATATTTGTTTCATATCTTGAATGAATTTTTTTTTTTTTGTGACTTCTATTTTTTCATCAAAAAAGATTAATCATAACATTTGGAAAAGCTGGATCGGTGCATCCCTACCTTACAACACTTTTATGTAGTACTTGTTCTAAATATACAACAAAGGATTATTTTGTGTTTTTATGCCCAAGGATCTTTAAAATCTTACTTGTTTAACATTCTGTTAGCAGTCTGAGTCTTTGGGATGTCCCTTGTATTTTAATTTGTTAAAATGTGTTCAATGTATTTTCTTTCAGGCATCGTCAGTGAAAAACTCCTGAGTGATTATCTTCACCATGTTTTTCCCTCGACTTCGGGACCAGCTCTGGCTTCTCTCAGGTGTGTGTGTCGTGCCTCATTTTGGGAGTATTATTAGTTTGTTAAAACAAAGTAAATTGCCAATTTGTTTCTAGGTACAGTCTCAGTACCTCAAGTTACATGTAGATGTCATTCAATAGCTTTGGTGGCCATGGCAACAAACGGCACATTTGCACGGTCAAATTACTTGAAAACATTATATCGATATCTGATGTGTCCGTGATGAAAATTTTTAGGATGCAGAAAGCCTTCTGCATCCTAAAAATGAAATGCAATACAATAGATTTTCATTTAAACTATTTTGCCATTCTTCCAAAGTTACACATTTAATTTAGTAGTCATTTTATGTAGATTTTTATTGTTTGCATGCCTTAATCTATTCTCTACTTTTTAACTTGTTTACACCGAGAGCCAAAGCAATTTCCTAGTTTGTGTCTTCTTGTTACTCACATGGCAATTCTGATTTAAAAAGAATATTGTAATGCAGTTAGATTACATTGTTATCAATGTAACTATTACTTATATATATATATTCAATCCAATCAATCCAATCCACTTTATTTATATAGCACATTTAAACAACAGTTACGTTTCCAAAGTGCTGCACAAAAAAGTATAAAATAAATAACAACTTATCTTATATTGCATTACAAAGTTTGAGTGACTTGTTCAAAAGTGATCATTTATTTTTTATCATTTTGATGCTAGCAACATTTATTTAGACTCACAGATAAAAGCTTTTGTTTTGTGACTCATCGTGATCCAGACTAATGTTGCTTTGCCCTCAAACCCCTGGCCTATTTCTTAAGCCAAGCAGATTCATGTTGCCCCCTGGAGTCTATACATAGGTACCCACAAAGAAACACACACCACCGGGGCCTTTCACCACAATCCCGAGGCTGGACCACTTCATACTGAATGTGTGTGTGTGTTTTTGTGTGTGTATGTGTGTGTATAATATGTACCACTTTTATTCTACTACTACTTAGGATATGATTGAAATGTGACTACAGTACAAATCCTTCTCCAGCTCATCTAAAAGATCCTCAATGGGGTTCAGTTCTGTGGCCTTATTTACTAAACAGTGCGGGATACTAAATTTAAAGACATGTGATGATGTGAAATCATATCCGTATCACAGAAAACCAAACTGGTTTTAACTTGGATTTAAACATTGTAGAAGCCTGTCCCAAATGTTCAGGAAGACTCTTTCAGATTTTGGCTGAATAAGTCTGAAATGCTGCCTCTCCATGTTTTGTCCTGACTCTGGGCAACAGTATGAGGCCAGTCCCTGTGCTCCTCAGAGTCCCGGCATGAGGCCAGTCTAACATGTCCTGAATGTGCTTTGGTGCGAGGCCATAGAGAGATCTGTCCAAGGGTTTTCTTTGTGGATCAGACTTTATTCACTTTAATTTTACCACAGATGTACAGAGAGAGAGGTAAGTAAGTTTAATATTTATAGAATTAATACATTATTGGTGTTTTCCTCTGTATTTGCGTAGAAAACCACTTGGATTTCAGGATCTTGGCAGTCACCTGGAAAGACTGCTCTTTGACGGAGAACCCACAGACGACAGTAAAGGTACAGATACGACACGTGTTTGAATTCATGAGGAGAATTTTTTATGAGTAAATGTTTGTTTTCATTTTCCCATCAGAAGAGACTGTTGAAGGACGTCTTGGTCCGCAGCCTGTGGTCCTGGATCATACCAGTGGATTTGAGGGGCTCTTGTTTGTTGATGATGACCTTTTAGGTGTAAGTGTTATTATTAATAAGAAGTAAATTCAATATTACTCCTTAGTACTTTATTTGTTTGGGATTCATTTTATTTGCCATTTGCAGTAAAGTTTTCAGTGTGCGCCAGACACGTACATAAATAAAACACGCTAAAATAATGCAGGAGACAATCGAAAAAACTGGTTAACAAAAAATAATTTTCAATACAAGGCTGCGTTACCGTTTCATGTGTTGCGGCGAGTTTCAATGCAAAGTCAATGGTGACGTCTACCCATGTGAGGAATTGCATGTACTCTGGTTTCTCTCTCTGGTCTCTCTGGTCTCTCTGGTCTTTCTGGTCTCTTCCCTTTCTGGTCCCTCTCCCTGGTCCCTCTCTCTCTCTGTCTGGTCTCTTTCTGTCATCGAACCACACAGACACAGAACCAACAAGCAAACTTTCATTACTGCAGTGATAAAAGTGAAGAAAAATCTTAGAGTTTGTGGTTAATTCTCTGAGTTTTTGAAGACAGAATAGACGCTGACGAGCTTTCTAAACAACATGATAAGTGTTTTTTCTCTTGGTTAAATTTTTGTTTTGTTTCTTAGGTCATTGGCCACAGCAACTTCAGCTCTATTCGGGCAACCACATGTGTTTACAAAGGTAAAGAGATTATGTTTATGTCTGATCAAGTTTATAATAGTTTATGTTGATCAATTTGTCCCATTGGCAAATATTGTTTTGTGCTGAAATGAAGATAAATATATTATGTATTCAAACTACAGAATAAACTTAGCTTTTTGACCTCCAAGCATTTGTCCCAGGGTTGATGAAGACAGAAAAGATTAAGATTAAGGCCCCATCCACACGTAGCCGAGTATCTGCTAAACCACAGATATTTTTTTTGTTTGCACCTGCAACGCATCATAAATGAATATATAAAAGAACTCCGGGCAAAGTGGTTTTGAAAACTCCATTTATGCATTTGCGTGTAGACCGAGATAACCGGAGTTTTGCGTTTTCGCACGTCAAAGTATGCCCCCAAATCAACAACAAACAAAACATGCGACCTCTGATCACTGCGGAAGCATGGATCTTACTGCCTTAAAAACTGATCCTCGCTCTACATCAGAGAGCAGCCAAGTGATCACGGGGACTCGCGCTAAAACAACCAAAATAGGAGCTAAACCAGGACTAAACCAGGGCTGAGGACGGGGGTCAGTGCTTGTAAACATATGTCTTTACCCTGAGTTTCTTCTCTGACTGAAAAAGTGCCGCTACAGATGTACTGGCGTGGGGGGAGGGGGGGAGGAGGGGAGGAATCTTCGGTTTTTTAAAATACCCGGCTACGTGTGTACAGAACAGTAGGAATTAGGAGCACACAGCACAAGATAAGTGAAAAATAACATGATACTTAGATAGAATATAATCTCTAACTTTAGCATAATAAAGATGCAAGTATCAAATCTCCAACTTTAGCACAATAAAGAAGTAAGTGTGAAATGCTGTATCTTGTAGTTCAAGAAATATGTAGTGGTAGTGTCAGTGTAATCCCCCTCTACAGACACACTTAGTTATTACCAGTACCAAAAAGTAATGAAAACTAAGTAAAACATTGCTCAAAATTGGCAAAATGTATCTAAATTAAAGCACATTTTGACTGCCATAAAACAAGATTTGCCAATGGGACAAAGCAAAAGGATCTTGTTTTATTGTTTTTTATTATTTTATGCAAATATTACCTCTTATTTTCTCATTTCAAAATGTGTCATTTTCCTTGTGCTCCACAGGGAAATGGGCGTATGAAGTGCTAATCTCCTCCCAAGGTCTCATGCAGATCGGGTGGTGCACACTCAACTGTCGCTTTAACCAGGAGGTTAAGACCATTATTATTTTATAACATGTCATAATTTTCAGAAATATATATTTTATTTTTATGCATTGTGGGTTTTAATTTGTCTCATTGTAGGAGGGAGTGGGCGATACTCCTGATTCGTATGCATATGATGGAAACAGAGTACGGAAATGGAACGTTACAACTACAAATTATGGAAAGGTGATTCAATTATAAACCATAAAAACAATACAGCACAGAACTAGCATGGAGTTGGAATTGTCAACCAATGTGACTTTTCGATAGTATTGCAATATTTGGGCCACATTTCAATATTATTGTGATAATCTTTGCGAAGTACTGCAACTTGATTCTGTGATATATTGTAATCTCTGTCCCTCATATTATAATACTTTTACATGTATTATTGTCTGCACATGAACTGAAGCAAACACTGAGGAAGGCAGAGCAAAAACATTATCCTTGAACACATAGGACACATGACCTTATAACAGACAAGACGTCCTTATTCTCTGAACAGATGACTCTCACATGAACGGTGAGCTCCCAGCACCTCACTTACATTATTCACATACAACAGACTAGAGTCACAAAAAGCAGACATCATAGAGACACAACAAGCAGACATCATAGAGACACAACAAGCAGACATCATAGAGTCACAACAAGCAGACATCATAGAGTCACAACAAGCAGACATCATAGAGTCACAACAAGCTGACATCATAGAGTCACAACAAGCAGACATCATAAAGTGACATAAACCTCTGATGGAAATTACCAGTAAACTCTGAGAGAACAGAAGTGAAACAGATAATTCATTAATGAAGTATCACAATTATTTTCTCTACCCACCTCTAGTTCTAACATAACTTTTGGGTTTCACAGTCCTGGGCTGCTGGAGACATCGTCAGCTGTTTAATAGACTTTGACGAAGGAACCATAACTTTTTGCTTGTAAGTATTGATGAAATATCTTATTTTTCAGACATGGGGAATCTAAGCTTTCATTATTATTTTCAGGAATGGACAGTCTTTGGGAACAGCTTTTACTGATATTAAAATGGGCCCAGGCGTTGCATACTTTCCCGCCATTAGTCTCTCCTTTAAAGAGTCGGTGGCCTTCAACTTTGGGAGCAGACCACTCCGATATCCTTTATGCCAGAGGGGATTGGGATATTGCCTTATTGTGGAGGGTTTGGTTAATTATCAAGCTTTATTTAGCAAAAAGCACTCTAGTATATATTTGTGTTCGCAGACATTTAGAATTTTGAGCAAATTCTTACTAATTTGTTTCTGACATTTGTGAGAAAATAGAAAAGAATACATGGGCTGTATAGAAATGTTAATCTGGCTGGATGTGACTCCCATGCCACGCTTTGCCCAGGCCTGCTTTATGCTATAAACATGTATTTTTGTGACAATACAGTACAATACATTTTTTTCTTGTATAGCTCTAAGTCACAACAGAAGTCATCTCAGAGGACTTAACAAAACCATTGAAATCACCAACACAGATGTCGAAGAATCAACAGTTAAGACACAAAAAGAAAATAGAACACATGTAAAAAAAAAAATAACAAAAAAATATTGTCCATACATGTTGTAGAATGTTAAAGTGTCCTGGATCATCACCACATCCTTTTTGTTGGACACTAACTGTCCAACAGACACTAGGCAAGGAAAAACTCACAAAAACCCAGTAGGAAAAAAGTGAGAAACCTCAGGGAGACCCACATATTGAGAAAGGGATCTGCTCCACACAGACGGACGGGCTAAAGATCCAGGACCTAATTCATTTGATATGAAGTGCCTTGATGTTGTAGTCACTGTATGGAAATAATTAATCTATTACAAATATCTGTCTTATTTAGGCTGGAATGTATGTAATTTATACCTTGACCAGTTTTGGTCCACTTACCCCGTGGATGGATATTTACCGCTTCAGAATCCACCAACGGCAGATCTGTTGAAAGCACACAAACTTCTGAGCTACGTAAAAAACATTCTGTCAACAGCTTTGGATTTACAGGTACAACTAAAAGCAAGTTGTTATTGGGTTATTACTACTACTGCATAGGGCTGTAATTAACGATTACTCTGATAATTAGTTAGTTGGCCCATTGTTTTACATTTAACTTCTAATTAAGTGTTGGGTTAATATTTTAGGATGCATTTTAGGATATCGCCCATAACAATCAATGCTGCACGTTGATAATAATGATTGAAAATCATTTTAGGAGCCACTAAATATGTCTTGTCAGCCAAATTTGGCCCACAAGCCTGAGTTTGACATGCCTGCTACAAAGATACAGGTTGGAGACCACTGCATTAGACCATAACAAAGCTCATGCCCCTGGAGAACATTTTCACAGACTTGTTGCTCTCCGTGTCATTATGGAATTATAATCATTGAGTCAGAACACCTTTTCTCGGCATGTTTAAGTCTGTACACTGAAATAAAAATATGAATAATCTGTGAAAACTGTATCTTAATTTGAGTACATTCTGACTGCCTTGAAGCACAATTAGCCAATGTGAACAAAGCAAAATTATCTTGTTTCAAAAAGATACAAAAAGTTAAATTCCTCCCTTGGAATGAGGTCATTAAACAAATTCTTGGCTTGGGACAAAATGGCTTTGTCCCTCTGGTTTTAACACAGTTGGTGCTCGAATAGCATAAAAAAACTACTCAATTCAAGCAATGACCTCATATTTTATAATTTTTCCCATTGTACGGCTCAAATACGAATCAAATTATTAACAGATTTCAAAGCTTAATTACTTGCAAAGGATTTAGTATCTTTAGATTAGAACTAGACTCAAAATGTGCATAGTTCATAATTCTGTTTCGTCTTCATATTTATTCAGATACTGTACATGTATTATTATTCCTACAGGACGAGCGGTTGGTAGAAAGAGACATTTCCTCGTGGAGACTTAATGGAGAGCCTACCGTCCTCATCACACTGGCTCACATATTCAATCACTTTGCTCCTTTGATGGTAAAACACATGTTGTTTGCTAGCTTAGACGTGTGCTATCATAGACGTGTGCTAGCACAGACGTGTACGGTTGTTTGACAGTGTTGTTCTTGTGGCAGTGTAAAGTTTACTTGGTGGAGGACGTGCTGATGAACTTCCTGCTGAGCATCCTGGAGGGCGGCGGTTCCGTCGATGAGCACCCACTTATTCAGCAGCTGCTTGACCTCTTCTGGCTTCTCATGGAGGTGACACTTATGAACATTTGAGATTGTACCATATATACACTGTAGGGAGAACATGTATCTGATGCACTGCTGATGTGTTCCCGGTTTCAAAGCATGTAGAATAAGTGGGTGCTCATACCTGGACTTCCGCAGTGGAAGTGTGTAGACGTGTTCCTTGGTGCTCCGCTGCTTGCTTCGCTCTTCATCTCTTTTAATCGCTTTATTTACATTTTTATTCTACAAAACACGGATTACTCCTTCTGCAGACTTCAGCTTTGTGAAATTTGTCAACATTAATCATGTCCGGACGGAAGAAACGAAGACAAATCTGCGATGGCTGCTGCTCTCTGGAAAATGAGCTCAAATTTCTTCAAAAACGGATGGATATTTTGGAAACAGAAATGGGACTTAACCCGACTCTTCCAATGTGTGAAAATGGAATGAATGGACAGACTGGAAATGTAAGTTATGATGACGTAATTACTTTCCCCAAAATCAACAAAGAGAACTATTGGAATAAATGCGGCGCTAAACCCAAAGTTGACAAAGCTAAGAATGACAATGGGAGTGGAATTCTGCCACGAAATGTTTGCAAAACTTCAAATCGTTATGCTGCTCTGTTTGAAGAAGCAAAGCTACCGTCTGTTTCTCCCCCTCCGTCAAGGCCACGGTGTTTGCTGCTTGGAGATTCTGCCATTCGGAATGTATCTTTGAACTTTGTACAGACTTATTCTTTGCACTCAGCCAGAGTGTCTGAGATAAGAGCTTTGGTGCCAAAAGTTTTATCTCAAACCAAGGATGTAAGTACATTGTTGATACACACAGGGGCAGTAGACATTTATGAGAAATCCACCGAGAAGTTGAGAAGAGATGTTTCTCTGCTGCTGGATGACCTTAAAAAAATGGAGTTAAACGTGCTAATCAGTGGTCCCATTCCAAATGCAGATGGAAAAATAGAGAAGTTTAGCCGTCTGTACCAGTTAAATTCATTTCTACACAATGAGTGTTCACGCAGAGGACTTGGATTCATTGAAAACTTCAATCTGTTCTGGAATAGGCTCGAGCTCTTTGAAGGGAAAGGCCCACATCTGAACAAATACGGAGTAAAAGTGTTGATGGATAACTTTGCATCTGCCTTAAGACCTCAGCCTGCGCAGCGCGTTCAGCCGTTGAAAGAGAGGAGGATACAAAGGGCGAGACCCTCTCTCCCTAAGATCGGCGATGAAGAATATTCCTCTCACACCCACTGTAGCCAGATCAAGAGTCCTATCTAACATTCATAACTTCTCCCCATACGTACCTCCAAAGCCACCTAGGGCGTCCAACTCAAATTCTCCCACAAAATCCACCCGTCCCTCAAATTCTAACTCGAATTCACCCGCAAAATCCACAGGTCCCTCCCCTAACCCCAAAAACCCCAACCATTCCACCCCCACCCCCCCCTCGTTTCCCATCACCAAGAACCCCTCCACCTCCACTCCCCCCTCGTCTATCTCCCAACTCCTGCCCCTCCCCTAACACCCATCCACCTCCAACCCCCCCTCGTCCAACACCCAAGAACCACCCACCTCTCCATCCTCCTCCCTCCTCTCCCTAGGATGCACAGGGTCTCTGCTTCGCAGCCACTGGCAGTCTAGTTAGAGGAGAGACCCGGCTGGGGCCCTGTCATGAAGCCACCTGTGCCATTCCCTTAGTGATAACACAAAGAATACATTACAGAAAGACATCTGGAGTTAATCAGTCTAATCTGGAAAATCTAATTCTTGTTCCGTGTAAGAATCAGCCGACCACAACCGCTGATACTGAAACTTTGAAACTTGCTATGCTAAATGTCAGATCTCTTTCTAACAAGTCTTTTTTAATCAATAATTTTATTTGTTCTTATAATCTTGATCTTATGTTCATGGCTGAAACTTGGCTTGACCAAAATACAGAAAATGCAGTTTTAATAGAAGCATCACCACCAAATTTCAAATTTGAATCTGAAATACGGGAAAACAAAAAAGGAGGAGGCTTAGCTGCCATTTTTAGAGACCACTTTGTCTCCCATAGAATGTCTCTTGGGAAGTTTCCGTCTTTTGAATATGTGTCTTTTAAAATACAACAAAAACAATCTCCTCCAATACTCTTCATAGTTCTATACAAGCCACCGCAGTCATGTCACAGTTTTATTGATAATTTTACCAAGTTGCTTTCAGTTGTATGCACAGATTTTGATAGTTTAGTTATTACAGGTGATTTTAATATTCATGTGGATAATGTTGATGACAGAAATGCAAAAGAGCTGAGTTCTTTACTTGATACCTTTGGTCTCACTCAGCACGTGAGTGGCCCCACCCACAGCAGAGGGCACACTCTAGACCTGTTAGTTACAAAGGGGGTGAATATTTCAAATATAAGCGTGGTCGATGTTGCTCTTTCGGATCATTTCTGTGTATTTTTTGACATGTGTTTCACTAACAAACCACCAGTGGACTCTGCAACTGTTCGAAGAAGACACATAAATGAAAATACGAGTGAACTATTTATGGGAATGATAAACTTTGAAAATGCATCGTATTCTACTGTAGATGAACTGTTTAACTCTGTCACCTCTAGTGTTTTGAATGTTCTGGATACCGTTGCCCCTGTGAAGGTTAAAATAGTGAAAAATAAGCAGAAGGCGCCGTTGGCTAAAGCAGACTCGGTCAGAGCACTGAAGAGAAAGTGCCGGAGGGTCGAGCGGAAGTGGCGCAAGTCCAACCTCCAGGTTGATTACAAGATATTCAAAGATAAGTTGTGCGAGTTTAACCGGGTGCTACGTAGTACGAGAGAAAGGTATTTTTCTGAAATGATTGAAGGCTGCAGCAACAATCTGCGTGTTCTGTTTTCAACAGTTAATAGATTAACAAACCCCCCTGTTCAGATGCCATTAGAGCTAACTTCCAAACCTAAATGCAATGAGTTTGCACACTTTTTCAATGACAAGGTTCAAGGCATCAAAAACGCCATTGTCTCCAATCCACAGATAACCATCCAACAGCCAGAAAGGCTCTCTGAGCTAACTTACTTTGCACCTGTAGATGATAAAAATGTCCAAGAAATAATCTCCAGTTTGAGCTCCTCCACATGCAGCCTGGATGTACTACCCACTAGATTTCTGAAGTCTGTTCTGGGCAGTCTGTTACCTTCACTCACACAGATAGTAAACATGTCCCTTCATTCTGGAATATTCCCAAAGGCCCTGAAAACGGCAGTCATCAGGCCCCTGCTAAAAAAGAGCAGTCTGGATGCTACGGTACTTAACAACTATCGTCCCATCTCAAATCTGCCATTTATGGGGAAAGTCCTTGAAAAAGTTGTCTACCTACAGCTTACTAGATTTCTTATAATTAACAACTCATTTGATATGTTTCAGTCCGGCTTTAGACCCCACCACAGCACTGAGACTGCTCTTGTCAAGGTTACAAACGATATCCGGCTGAACACTGACACAGGCAAAGTCTCAATCTTAATCTTGTTAGATCTGAGTGCTGCCTTTGACACCGTCGACCATGAGATCCTCTTACAGAGACTAGAGGACTGGGTTGGAGTCGCTGGCACCGCCCTAAGTTGGTTTAGGTCTTACCTTGAAGACAGGAAGTACTTTGTGGAGATTGGAGACTGTGTCTCAGATCATATGGCCCTGACCTGTGGAGTACCACAGGGGTCGATCCTGGGACCTCTTCTGTTCAATCTTTACATGTTGCCGTTAGGTCAGTTAATACGCAGAAACAAAGTGTCCTATCATAACTATGCAGACGACACTCAGATCTATGTCTCACTGACTGCAGGAGAACATGGACCAGTGGACTCACTCCTTCACTGTATCCAACAGATCAGTGAGTGGATGCAAAACAACTTCCTTCAGCTAAACGCAGACAAAACTGAAATGATTGTCTTTGGTCCCCAGAAACAAAGAGAGAGCGTCATCTGTCACCTACAGTCTCTCTCCCTAAAACCTTCAAACAAGGTCAGAAATCTAGGGGTAATACTGGACTCAGACTTAAATTTTAATAGCCACATCAAATCAGTAACATCAGCAGCTTTTTACCATCTAAAAAACATTGCCAGGATCAAAAACTTATCCATGCATTTGTCTCCAGTAGGTTAGACTACTGCAATGGCCTGCTCACAGGTCTGTCCAAACAGGCTGTAAAACAGCTGCAGTACATTCAAAATGCAGCAGCTCGAGTCCTGACTAGAACCAGGAAGTACGACCACATTAGTCCGGTCCTCAGGTCCCTGCACTGGCTTCCTGTGGCTCAGAGAATAGACTTTAAAACAGCTCTGCTTGTGTACAAATCTCTCCATGGCCTCGCACCAAACTATATTAGTGACATGTTAGTCCCATATGAACCAGCCCGGACTCTGAGGAGCACAGGGACTGGACTCCTGTTAGTGCCCAGAGTCAGAACTAAACATGGGGAGGCTGCTTTTCAGATTCATGCTGCTAAAATCTGGAACAGTCTTCCTGAAGATGTGAGACAGGCCTCCTCTCTGACAATGTTTAAAACCAGGTTAAAGACGGTTCTGTTTAGCTGTGCATACAACTGAGGGATTTTATATTTTTATCTTTTTTTTTTAATGTACTGTGATTATTTATGATTTTAATGCTTTCTTGTTCTGTTCAGCACTTTGAGTTGCCTTGTGTATGAATTGTGCTATACAAATAAACTTGCCTTGCCTTGCCTAGAGATCTTGAATATACAGTATTTTCATTGTACTTGCTTCTCCATTATGCTAAAGTTAGAGATTCTATACTTCTTTTTTATGATAAAGTATTTATATTAAACTTCTTCTTAATGCTAAAGTTGGGGATTTTATACTTGCTTCTTTATTTTGCTAAAGTTAAATATTTTATGCATGCTTCTTTAATAAAACAAGATAGAAAATTTAGCAAAATATAAAGTGATTATTCCCTTATCTTGTGTTATGTCCATCCATCCATCTATTTTCTGCCCCTTGATCCATTTCTGGGTCGGGGGGGTGGCAGTCAGAGCTGCACCCAGTACACATAGCACCAGCCCCTCACTGATCTTCCTGCAGGTGGTGAGTCCACAGGAGCCTTGATTATTCAGCCGGGGCTCCAGACAACTCTTCATAGTGAGACAAATACAGGATCTCTTCACCAGGTTTGCACACATAGCATAGGGGATTTTGGCCCACTACTCCATACAGACCCTCTCTAGAGCAAAAATTTTCTATCCAATTCAAGTCTGGACACTGGCTATACTGCTAGAAATTTTGAAAACAATTAAAAAAATTACTATAATTTGCACACATTCAAAGCAAAAATGATCGTGTTAAAAAGATACAAGAAATGTCTCCTTTGGAATGAGAAAATAAAGCAACTTCTCTTGAAATAAGACTGCATGGCTTTGTCCCATTGGTAAATCTTGTTTGAACACAGTCACAATGCACTCAGATTAAGATGATAACCACTCGATTCACGCAATTTTAGCTCAAATTGTATCATTTATTTTAGTGTAGGTAACTCCAGGACCTTGAGATGTTTCCTACAGAGCCACTCAAAATCAGCAGTGAATCAAATACTTGTTCTCTGTACCTCCACTGTATCCATGTATGTATTCATTTATCTGGCTTTATTATTAGGACTATGAAGTGAACGAGTGTTTGAAGCAGCTGATGATGTCACTACTGCGGGCCTATCGCTTTTCCCCCATTATTCCTGATCTTGGATTCCAGGTAAGTCACCAATTACTTAATAAAATACACTCACAGATAATAATTTATTGAAACCAATCTTGTTTTGTTTCAGATCCATTACTTGCGTCTGACCACTGCCATCCTGCGTCACGAAAAATCCAGAAAATACCTGCTGAGTAATGTATTATATCCTTTGATCCTTTTGTTTTATCGGGTTAGCATACATTGAATCAAGTTAAGGCCTGAAGACAGTTCGTTGTGGCCTTGACAAATACTTCACATTCGACGTGATGCGTTCAGTCGTGTTTTTCTACATCAAGACTCCGCTGAGAGTGAAGGAGGCGGGACTGGAGGAGCTCATACCAACAACATGGTGGCCAACCAACTTTGACAAAGAGGTAACCATGACGACTTACTCATTTCTGCAGGTGGAATTGTGTCTGATGTTTTGCTGTTGCACTGCAAAACATGATTAGCTTGAATAAATTGATTTTTTTTCTTAATTTGAGTACATTCTGAGTTCCTCTTGTAGACACGAAAAAAGCAGTTAATTGTTTATTTAAAGAACTGTCTCTTTATTTTCTCATTCCAACGGAAAGATTTCTTGCAAATATCTAAAAAACAAGATCATTCATTGGCCTGAAGAGAAAGAATGTATTTTTTTTTTCATGGGGATCTGCCTCTAAAATCAGCGACAAATCTGCTCACTTGAGACACTGAAAGTGTTCCAGAACTATGGTTACCTTGGAACTGGACTTACTCAAAAACTGATCTGGAAACCTCTGTTATTCCCACGATAAAAGACGGTATCGCTAGGCCTTGAGCTATAAGTGCTGTACTTCTGTTAACTAAATAATTAGAGTCTGATTCTGGATCGAGGACATTGTGCTCGATGTGTTGGATTGCCATCGTTGGAACAAGTTTATTCTCAGGTCTAATATGTACTGGCGAATCAGAAGAGTTTGCTTTAGAGATAGATTACTCAGCGTGAGGCTAGGTCACTGTGCGGGCGGGAGGAGACAGTATCACAACAATGATCACACATGTGCATAGGATGGACTGTGGTGAAGAAGAGCGCATTATGCAACCTTTTATTGGATGCAAGGAGGAAAAAAGCCTGAATTAAAAAAAATCTTTAAAATCAGTGTGTTTCTCAGTGTATAAGGGTAACGTTTGGAAGATGTTTATTTATTTTCTCTTTAGTTTGGAGCTTTGTTCAATCTGCTGTTTTTATCTCCTGCTTCTGGGTTTTATTTTGGATGATCTGTGAGTTTTCAATACATAATTAAAACGACTACTTTAATATTTCTGGTTGTTTATCTGCAGGGAAAGGACGAGCGAGAACCCAAAGACGAGAGTGCAGACGAGCGGCTACGACGTCGAGCTTATGAACGCGGCTGTCAGAGGCTCAAGAAGAGGATTGAAGGTTTTTCTTCTCTCCACATTTCAATATGACGACTTTACAACGAAATCCAACCTGGTTTATCTCTTTCTCACAGTGGTGGAGGAGCTGCAAGTTCAAATACTGAAGCTGCTGTTAAATAACAAAGACAAGACAACAGTGAGTTTTCATTTGTTTTCTCAGACATAGATACACATTTTTAATAATATGCTCTATTACTTCTGATTCAGGGAGAAGCGTCACGATACATCTTTTTAAACAAATTCAGGAAGTTTCTTCAGGAGAATGCCAGCAACAGAGGGGTAATTATGTATTTCTTCTTTTTTATCTATTCATATTTTTTGCTTCTTCATGCTAGAGTTTTTTTTAAATTTAGTTTAGAGTTACTGTTTTATAACTGGTGATTTAACACTAAAATTTACCCACTGTAGGGGATATAAGTTATCTCTTAGTCTTATTTATTTGATAGGGACAAGTGTACACAATCAACATGTGAAACTCTACATTTAGTGCCAAGGCTAATTTGTAATGACTTTTAACACACATTTTACATTCTTACATACACATTATACAAAGTTGTCTCAAAGGTGTGGTTCTTTTCTAACGTGACTTTAAGAATAATTAACCACAAATAACAGGTGATTAAATGAACCACTGTTGTGCAAAGTTATTCAGCATGATTTTCCTCTGTTTATGGCTCTGTTCTTTTCGCAGCACCCGACCGCTCTGTGTCCTCCGGAGTACATGGTTTGTTTCCTCCATCGCCTCATTACAGCGGTGAGAGCCTGCTGGGACGACAACAAGAGGAAAACTCCAGGAACCATTCTCAGTGAAGGTGATGTGTTTAAAGCAGTGACAGTGTTTCGAGTGTAATGTGTTCTGAATCACACTCCGTCATTTACTCAGCACTATGTTTTCATGTGTTATTCCTTATTTTAAAGTGAACATGGTCAAATATCACAGTATATTATTTTAATTTGATAAAGTAAGTGTTAATTAAATACCATCCATCCATCCATCCATTTTCTTCCACTTCATCCGTTGCCGGGTCGCAAATACCATAAAAAATAATTTCTCTGAATGCAGTTATGCTAGATTTGTATTCTCCTTCTATATTTTTGGTGCATTTATTGGCCGTTGACTTTATTTTTTATTCTTTAAAGGTCCTATACTTCACTTTTTGACTTTTCTCCAGTTTAAACATTATTACAGTGCTACTTACCCTTCTTACACATGCCTATAGTAAGTTTTTCATTGATTCCCTCAAACTCTAGTTAGAGAGCGATCTTTCTCTTTCAATCTTGAGAGGCACAAAAATGACTTGATTCACTTTGTTAGTAGCACACTTTCACGCGTAGCTCGAGCTCCAGAAGCCCCGCCTCCAGGAGATGATTGACAGGAGAGAGAAACCAAAACCAAAAATTAGCGCCTCAGCGTATGGAGTTGTTACCAAAGTCTGTGTTCTCTTCTATGCTTTTTATCTGCTATTGCAATGGCGTCATGTTAACTTGGAGAAAATGTGTTTTTGGGTGTAACTATGTGAATTTTATCCGAAGACGAAGAATGCACTAGTTTAGCTGGACTTTCTATTCACAGGGTCTGCCTTAGAAATCTGCGGCGAATCTGCATTTCAGCGCGCACAGCCTTTGCCAGCATATGGACCCACTATAACTGTGTTCTCTTCTATGCCGTTTTTCTGTTATAAAGTGTTAACATCATGTCAACTTGTTTTTGGGTTTAAATATGTGAATTTGACCCGAAGATGGAGAATTCGCAAGGTTAGCTGCTCTTTCTATTCACAAGGAACTGCCTTTGCAATCTGCGAGAAATCTGTGTTTCTGTGAGACACTCGAAAGACTGCAAGACGTTCTACTGGATGTTTTGCGAAGGCGCTTTGCATATGTTTCTACAAAAACATATGCACCTGTTTTATCGCGCCAGCATTAAACGTGCTATACTCTGCCTTAACCTCAAGAGCAGTTTTGGTTCAGTCATAACAGAATTAAAGTCATTTTGTCAAATTCTAGTCCTAGACACAGCATGTGTCTTTTGAAGCAGAAAGCCTTTTGCAGCGGAAGTGTTTGCTTTAACCCCTTTGTTAATAGGGGCGTAGCGATACACTAATCTCATGCTACTATACAATAAATATACAGTATGTACACTGCCTGAGGCTTCATCATCCAGTTCTGTTTCTTGAAAGGGCGGATTTACGCACGGGTTACACAAAGTGGGGATGGTCCTGTCCTGTCCGTGCATCAATTGTCTGCGCTGGTGCATAATAGCTACGTTACGCCTGCGTGTTCGCTGAGCTGGTGTCAAGGCGGCTCACAGACGCTGGATACGAGAGCCGCTGTCGTAACAAAGTGGCCACTTTTCCTCAGGGGTCAAAACGCTGCAGGGGGATGTGGAATCCCGTTCAAGTAGTGGCCCAATTTTCAACGGGCAAAAAGTTCCACAGATCCGCGGATTTCTCATCTTTGGTTTCCAGAATATATCATGTTAAGATGCAAATATAGAAAAATTATGCACAGAAAAACAATGTGGCCTCCAACTAGGTATAATTATTATCATTTTCTTTGGCCCCTGATAAAAATGACCCTTCTGAACATAGACATGAATGTTTTAACTATAATCTACTTTGTTCGCAGAGGCCTATGTCCCTCCCCAGCTCTTTTACAACGGAAAGGTGGACTACTTTGACTTGCAGAGACTTGGGGGACTCCTCTCTCATCTGAAGAAGACTCTTAAAGGTTTGTTGAACATCATTCAAAAACAATAAATGCCAAACTGCTCTGGGTCACGTCTAAAATATGCATGTTTAAATCATTGAAGATCAAGCAGTCATTCCACAAGGAAAGTTGTACTGAGAAGCAACATGTTTTTATTATTATTTGGTAACTAATGCCTACCTGCTCTGTCGTCATCTCACATGCATGTGTCCGTGTCACTTCAGAGTGTCTTTATACGATGCATGGGCGGGTCATTCGGCACATGCGTTAATTTTTTTAACGCGATTAACGATAAAAATATATTAATGTGCGTTAACGCGATAAAAGCAGTGAAATAAACAATGATAATCTGTTCTTTAAAGGTACACTGTGTAATTTTTATTCCCATCAGGCGTTGAGATCATATATTGCAAAAATGTATTTTGAAAAAATGTAAAAGAAAATCCATAGACTGTATATATTATTGGACAGAGTCACGCCTATCTCCGCCGTTCTAACTAATGGGCCAAAAAATGTGCTCTACTGGAGCAATCCAAAATGGCCACGAGTGGTCCCGCCCACATGAAAATTGTGAAAAAACGCATCTGCGCATGCGTCAGCCGGCGCAACTCCATTCATTTGAACGAGAGACTTCAAAAATTCACAGCAAATAAACTAGAGTGGACCAAAAAAATCCACCCCCCTCAGCATTGACACACATGTGGAACGGAGCTTTTGGCCAAGAGCCAACTTTTGGTCCATCCTGTAAAGACGTTTTTGAGAGGTCTGCCAATGCAATATGTTAGCATTGGCAAATTCTACTTCTGGGTCCACCCCCATCGGCCCGGGGTGGTATTGCAAGCATGTCAGCGCACGTCATTTTGGCCACTTTTGAGCTGGGACCCTCCCCAACTGAGAAATCACACAGATTTGTAACCTGATGGTGAAATGTTAGTAAAGTAAGTAGTAAGTATTTATTTATATACCGCCTTTTCACTGCAGATCTGAGTCTCAAAGCGGTTTACAATTGTTAATTTTTGGGCATTTGTCTCTCACTCCACACAGAGATGGGAGCGGGGTCGCCAGTACAGGAGGCGCATGCTAGAACTATTGGACATATTTTTAGTGGTAGGGGAAACCGGAGTACCCGGAGGAAACCTACGCAGACACGGGGAGAACATGCAAACTCCACTCAGAAAGGCCCTGGTCCGACCGGGATTCGAACCCAGGACCTTCTTGCTGAGAGGCGAGAGTGCTATCCACTCAGCCACCGTGCCGCCCAGTTTGGCACAATTTGGCACACATTTTGCCAAATTGGTTCCGAATGGTACTACTTGATAAAAAAGAGAAACTGCATAAAAACTATAAAACTTAGAAGTCTGAAACTTTACACAGTTGTTGTCAACAACACAATGAAGACATTAGCGTTGAAAATTTTCGTCTTCCAATGAAGTATGCTTTTTTAGGGCATTTATACATTGAATTTTCTAGGCGAGGCTAAAAAAACAGTTTTCTTTCCCAAACTTCAAAGGATGCAGAGTAAAATAGGAATGACATACATTATTTCAGTGTGTATTTACATAAACTAGAAGGGCTTAGCTTTAAAATGATGCATCACACAAGCATAAATACTTGAATCAAGTTGTTTTTATTCTAAGTACATTCTAACGGTCTTAATACAAGATTTTCTTATGGGACAAGGCAATATAGTCTTGATTCAAGAACTGTTGTTTTTTTCAATTCTTGTATCTTTTTAAAAGAAGACAATATTTCTTTGTCCCATTGGCATAGCAAACTCTTAAGGCAGACACAATGTCCCCATATTTAGACACATTTTACCAGATTTGAAAAAAAAATTTGACTTGTTTTTCATCACTTTTTGCAGTGCATTGTTGATTCACTGATCAGCTGTGTGTGCTCCTTGGCACCTCTAGGGGGCAGCATCGTCTCACTTACAGGCACTGTAGCAGTTGGTGTAGTCTATCAATCAGATTGTTTGTGATTGCCCTCATCATATTCTAAGGCCCACAAAATATACTTGTTTACCATTTCAAATCCCAGAATTCTGACACTACCAGAAATTCCAGAGCCTTCATTTTGACTTCTCTCATTCAAACCATTTGAATTCTGTGAAATTTCCCCAAAAACGTCTCTTTTTTTTAAATCAGATTTTTACCACCATTACTGCAGACTTTGAAAAGCCAGCCTTAGCATTTCCCTATATGGCCTATGCTACAGGCCGGGTCTGTCCACGAGTGCGGGTCTCACAGACACAGGCGGTCTGCTACGGTGCGTGGAGCTCTGACGAACAGGAGATTCTTGCTTTCATCCATCTCTGTGCTCTTTGCCCAAAGTACTTTTGTTACTTTGCTGAGGTGGTGTTGTTGTAGCGCATATCTTCTCTCTGCTATTAACAAAAAACTGTGTTGGTCAGAATAGCGCCTCCTTCAGTTAAGCACAAAGAGGCCCATTTCTGAGTAAAGTTGGTTTTGTGGTAACAAGACAACACTGGTACACCCGGTACACTGCAAAAGGGAGAAAAAATATGTGAAACATTTCTCAAATTTGGCAAAGTGTACCCTAATCAGCACATTCTGACTGCCTTCAGACTAAGATTTTCCAATGGGAAAAAAGGACAATTATCTTGTGTTAAAAAGAAACAAGAAATGTCTCCCTTGGAAATAGAAAATAAATCAACAGTTCTTGAAATAAAACAAAATGGTTGTGTCCCATTTACAAATCTTGTGTAAAGACAGTCAAAATGTACTTAAATTTAGATTAAAAAAACACTTGATTCAAGCAATTTTCGTTTGCAGTGTAGTGATTTCCAGCTGTTCCCTGCTGTTCTGACAAAGAAACAGTTCTGTCCAAATGTCCCTCTCTTTCTCTAAGCACATGAGGCTCCTTTGCCCCTCCCTCCCCGTGCCTCGGTTACAGCCGGTGATGTGGCCCCATAAATCCCCAGGGCATTCATCACCCCAACTGCTCACATGTGCCTGTGTCCTCCAGAGCAATATTTACTGAGGCTGACCTCGCTTATTGATTAGCTGATCAAAGTGATTGAACGCTGGGCAGAGATGCTCCCTCTGCATTTCTGAAGGGAGTCAAGAGGAACGCTCCTGGGGTGGTTTTCATATGAACACTGACTGTATATAAGAAACATGTTTGTGAATTCAACAAACTAACAAACGCAGCCGACCTGACCTCACGTATCGTGCAATTATATGAAATAATGTCCGAATGTGGAATTTCAAACCAGTGTCACTTTACGTGTTAGCAGCATGAGGCTCTGGGACACAGTACATATGTATACACTACCGTTCAAAAGTTTGGGATCACCCAAGTGTTTTCCATGAAAAGTCACACTTATTCACCACCATACGTTGTGAAATGAATAGAAAATAGAGTCAAGACATTGACAAGGTTAGAAATAATTATTTGTATTTGAAATAAGATTTGTTTTACATCCAACTTTGCTTTCATCAAAGAATCTTTCATTTGCAGCAATTACAACATTGCACCAAAAACCAGACATTTGCAGCTAGAATAGTCATTTCCACAAGCAATGTATAGAGTGTATTTCTTTACAGTTAAGACTAGTTTAAAGTTATCTACAGTGCTTTTCCTTCAAAAATAAGGACATTTCAATGTGACCCCAAACTTTTGAACGGTAGTGTACATACAAACATACTTTACATTTCTTGCACTAGAATAAACTGTATCTTTAACTTTAGCATAATAAATAAGCACATATGAGATTTTATACTTGCTTCTTTATAAAGCTACGTTTAGATATTTTTTTATTTATTTTACTTTAGAGTTCATTTATCTTGTGCTGTGTGCTCCTCATTCCTACTGTTCTGTAACTGGTGGTGCAACACTGACATTTCCCCACTGTGAGACAAATAAAGGATCTAATAATCTTTATAAAGACAATGAACATATTCTCAGATCCCAAAACTGGTCGGAAAAATATTCTACCCTGATATCAAACAAGTGACTGGTACTGACTGAAAAGGATAACAACTTTTAGTCTATTCACGTGAACCATGTTGATCCTTAATCTCTCAATTTAATTTGAGTGTGTTTGACTAAAGACACAGTTTAATTTCCTTTTTTACATTTAACAAAAATAAGGTGCCCCATTTATCTCACACGCATTTCTAACCACTTAGAACTGAGTGCGATCAGGGAGATATCAAATCTGTTCTTTGTCTGAGCGCTGCTGCAGCTGTCCAAAGCCATGCATACACTATAAATACTGATTCAGAGGACCCTGTGCTGAAGGGTATGAGCAAGTATTTGTCGTTTATGTATTAACCAGCATTACCGTACTTACATTATTACTTACTTATCTTGCATTATTCAGCCAAACTCGCACTTCATCTTACTACACTAAAAACATATCACAGCACAAATATTTAAAAACCGTACCTAACGAATCCAAAAGCCTTATTATTGTTTATATGCAGAGACAAGCTGTGGGTCAGATCTGATGGTTCGATGGGCCTCCTTTGGCTCTCGGCCCCAAGTTGAATAGACCTGATGCTACTATTATAACACTACCATCTTTGAAGTATAAAATTACAAAGTCTTAACAAATTAGTTCACCATTTTTTTCAAAAGAAAGTTTCTGTTTATTATTTAAGTATGATGTAAATCTGTGATCATCTTTTGACAATGTTTTCGTATCTTTCCATCAAGTGAAGTCATTTAATTGCAACATTATCATTGCTATTTTTGTTTTCTGTATGTGATGCAATCCTTTTCATAGCAGTTCCTAACATTGCACAATTCACGAGATGAAATAACAGTAAAAAGAATGATGGTTGTAAATGAGGGTCGTTAACCTTCTTTTGTTCTTACAGACGACTTGGCGAGTAAAGCCAACGTCATCATCGATCCAGCAGAGATTCAGACGGCTTCCATGGACGATCTCGATGAGGACGAGGAGAACGGAGCAGCTCAGGTTTCATTCTAACTTGATTTTAATTTATTTAAGACTTTATTAAGGACCTGTATGCAGGCATCGGATCCATCGCTAATATGTTCAATTGAATTTCGGTTTGTTTTTTCAATTCGATTTAAACGACACATATTCTGTCAATAACATATAAATAAAAAAAGATAAACTTTATTGTTCCCAGTGTAAGATACAGTGCTACACCGATCTGCCTGAAAGAATAGAAATATCCAAGACAGTATACTAATATAATTAATGGCTTTTTAACGTCACGGCCAGGGGACTACAGATGAAAAATAGCCTCCTTTGCTAATTCTGGCTTTTTTAACTCATGTTTACAGTAATTTTGTGTTATATTAAATTGCATTTTCCCCTTTGAAATAAACTAACTGAAACTGAATGATACGTTCTGCATAAAAAACAAATAGTTCATACAGTTTTAGAATATGAAGAGTTATTTTGCAATAATAAATGCCTGATACATTTGTATGGTACTAAAATATTCCTGGTTTTTCACAAATCTTCTTGGTAAAGGGGCAAATTGGAAACCTTTTGAATATTTTTTCTATCGGCACCTTTTTTTTGAAGTTTTTTGCCATTGTATCAATTGTTAACGTTACTCTCTGTAACTTGAACATAGAGACCGTTTGGTGCAGCAGCGATGGGAGGAGCCCTGGCCCGTCCGAGCTGGTTAAGCTCTCCAACTCTGGGACGAGCAAACCGCTTCCTCAGCACCGCCGCCGTCAGCCTCATGACACCGAGACGGCCGTTCACACAACCAGAGAAAGTGAAGGTCCGGACTCTCGCCGTGGAGCAGAGGACTGAGGAGGATAGTAAGTGTTTCGACCTCACCATAATACATGTCTACCTCACATGTTTTGTCCATTATACTTTCCCCTTGAACTGTTATTGTTTAAATCCGGCCCCGACCAAAATGACTGCGACACTCCTACTCAAGACACTTAACATTTTTCATTTCATTTCATTTTCATTTCATTTCATTTTTTATTTATTTCAATTGTTCTGAATATTCTTTCATTTTTACATGTTTACATAAAATAATACTAGTAGTCAGACAATTGAAAAGGAGCACAAAGAAGACAAACTTATATTATGTGCCCCTTTCTCCAAAAAAAAAACAAACAACATTTTTCAAGATGGTCTGATGTAACAACACATCAGTCACAAATAAATAACAAATACAAAACATGCCACAAGCAGGGTTTGCTCATCAAAACAAATAATCCTCTTTCATTTAATTTCCAGTTCATATGATTTAATTGTTGTTTCCTTGAATATTTGTTTAAACTGAAAAATATTTGTGGAGTTTTTTAAAGTGTCTTTCATGGAGTTCCACAGCTTGACTCCAGCCACTGAGATAGCCATCCGCTTCTGGGTGGTACTGGCAAAAGGAAGAATAAAGTTAAGTTTGTGTCGGAGACGAGAGTCTGATTTAAACGAAAATAGTGTTTGTACAGTTTGAGGCAACAAATGGTGTCTTGCTTTATACATTATTGTAAGTGTTTGGGTTTTTATAAGGTCAGGTACCTTTAGCAATTTGGATGTTATGAATAATGGGTTAGTGTGCTCTCTCCCATGGACTTTATGAATTGCTCTTATTGCTTTCTTTTGTAACGTTATCAAAGGCTTCAGTGTTGTTACATACGTATTTCCCCAAACTTCCAAACAATAAGAAAGACATGGCAATATTAATGTAAAATATAATATCCTCAGAGCTGTATAAGTTAAAAAATATTTCACTTTGTGAAGGATAGAGAGGTTTTTACATAATTTCTTTCGTGCATTTTCAACATGTGATTTCCAATTTAAATTCTCGTCGAGGGTCACACCCAAGAATCGAATTTCTTCTACCCTTTCAATGTTTATTCCATCTAAACACAACTCAATATTTCTATTTTGATAGCACTTGGTAAATAACATAAAGACATTTTTCACTGTCCGTCCTATGCACATGTGTGATCAGAATTTGAGTGATACACTATACAACACTCAAAATATTGTTATATAGCCATGTTTTGCACTGAGGTGTTGTCACCTAATGTAAAACATGCGGATCTCTGCTCCTCCCCCTGTGAGCCCCCCTCCCCCCCAACCGATCGGTGACGTAGCCTGACGCTGAGAAGACAAATCAGTGAATGCTAACTGTTCAGCTTTCGCAGGTACATGGTAATCTCAGACATAAGAATAAACTTCTTCCAACCATGGCAATTCGTCTCATAGAGCCCTATGTCCTCCATCCAGAATCAGACCCTAATTATTTAATTAACAGTTGTATACGAGTTGCACGGTACTTACAGAGCTATGCTCCTCGTTTGCGTTTTCTACAGTGGCTTTTGGGTAAGTCCAGTATATAGTTAGTTCTGGAACACTTTGGTGAAATGCCACTTGCAGAAAAACACATTGGGCGTGGACCTAGAGGCAGATCCCTGTGAATGAAGTTGAGCCACTTTCGCCACTTTCTATGTCTTAGGGCCAAACAGTGTCGTTGTGTGTTCACATCTAAAAATAATTTCCTCCAAGTCTATGATTAGTAGATGCGGGATATAATACGGTCTATGGATCAGACGCTGGACTCGGAGAGAGGCTGCATGCACTGATCATAGACCATGCTGATTCGCTGGTTCAGTTTTTTTCCCCGCTGTCAATCACCTCTTGGAGATGGCTTGGAGGGCTTCTGACGTCACAATTTGAAAGAGGTCATTTTGTTGCTTCTCGAGAATGAAATAAATCAATTTCTAAGTAAAGCTTGAGGGAATGCTGTTGTGTGGACTGTTTTAGACAATCAACCAACATAGACTTTGGCAACATTTTTGGAATAAGTTTCTATTGTATGCCCCTGCTGTCCTACAAACTAGAAACTACAGACATTTTATTAACCTTTTCTTCTCCTTTTAAACTCAAGTTGAAGGAAGCCATGGCAACGATGGCTTGTTGCTGGGGCGACCGATGGAAGAACCTGAGCAGCCAATAGGAGACAAGTCCCTGTTGGAGATTGTTGATGGAATCGTGATGATGTACAACCTCAGTGTTCATCAGCAACTTGGCAAGGTGAGTGGAAGCTAAGCAGGGCAGAGCCTGGTTATTGCTGTGATGGAAGACCTTTGGGAACACCAGGTGCCGCAGTGGGGTGGCTGAGTCGGGTATGTGGGTGTGTGGGTGTGTGAGTGTGTGAATGGCTGGTGGTGAGAGGGGCCGATGGCACATACTGGTGTCAGAGTGCCCCAGGGCAGCTTTGGCTACAGTAGTAGTTTATTACCACCGTGTATGGAATGAATGAATAATGACATGTGAAGCGACTTTCTGTGTCCAAAAGGGGTTACTAAAAATACTTTGTTTTAGTGACTTTTGTTAATGATTTATTTTGTAACGCTCTTTATGGGGTATTGAACATCAAATTGTAACATGCAACTTGTAAATGTGGAAACAAATGTATAGTTATAGAGGAATATTAATGAGCCTGATACACTGAAAAAAATATTAAATACGAGGTAATAATGCTTGAATCGAGTGGTCTTTATCTTGATCTGAGAAAATGTTGATTGTGTTTATGCAAGTTTTGCCTAATGGGCAAAAGCCATTTAGTCTTATTTCAAGAACTGTTGCTTTATTTTATCATTCAAATTGAGACATTTCTTGTATCTTTTAAAAACAAATCATTTTTTTTTTCCCATTGTCAAATCTTTTTTTTAAGGCAGTCAGAATGTGCTTAAATGAAGACATTTTGTCAAATTTGAGAAATTTTTGACTTATTTTACATCACTTTTTGCAGTGCATGTGACTGGTAGATATTTTAGGAACTAGATAAAAATAAAACCTGTGTAGAAGTGGGCAAAGACAAGGAAGACATATAGCCTCAACAGGATTACTTTTAATATGAATATATGCACCTTTGATCGATAATATTTGGGGGTAAACAGAGTCCAGTCTATCTCCCAGATATGTCAAAAATCTGTAATCTTTTATAATACAGTCAGTCAGCCATCAATCACAATGGGCCTAACATGCCGCTTTTCAGCAGAAGGTTTATCCTATGGTTTTTGTACCAATTTCTCTCTCACATGTCTTACAACCACAGTGTCCCCCTTCTCATTTCAAAGTAGTCTCCTGCAATTCTGAAGCAAAGATTGCCTTTTTAAGTCAACAAAGCGTTTTGACCTCTCAGATATTGTTTGCCCCATTTTTAATTTAAAAAATTTAAAAACAAAGCTGCCATCGCCCTTAGTTTGGCTTATAGCTGTCAGGTTCTTATCAATGTGCAGTTTATTATCTCCAGCCTCTCAACCCCAAACCAGTGACTGTAGAAATGATGTATACAACATATATTTAACTTTTTACAGTTATTTATACACTACAAAAATTAAATAATAGGTAACAAATGCTTCAATCAAGTGTTTTTATCTTAGCCCGAGTACAAACAAGATTTGCCAATGGGACAAAGCCATGTAGTCTTATTTCAAGAACTTTTGCAAAAATTGCAGACATTTTTTGAATTTGTGTTGTTTTAAACAAGATATTTTTTTGTTTGTTTCATTGGCAATTTTTGTAGAAATGTACTTAAATTAAGATAAAATGAGCATTTTTTGCCTTATATTTTCATTCTTTGCGGTGTATACAGTATAGTCTGTATCTTTTAAATTGGACTTAGTTTGTACTTTACATTGACTGTTTTTTTAATTAGAGTTGTTCCTTAAAGATGCAGTCAGTGATTTTTTCCAGACACATTTTTTTCAAATATTGTGGGAAAACGTCCCTAAACACTCTCGACGCTCTCTCTCTCCGAGATGCGAGAAGGGAGAGAAAGAGAAAAGAACATTAACAAGAATTTAAACAGAACTCTTGAGCAGTGTTTGAATTGGTGTTTTCAGAGAAGCACTATTATGCAGCTATCTGGTAAATTTCAAACATCAAACACATAGATTGAAGAACTCCTCCCCCACGGCCGGACTAACCTCGTAAGTCCAGTGGCAGTCTATCAGTTTATATTATTTCTTGCTTTGATTGAAAGTCCAGTTGAAAAAAAAAAAAAATCTTCAGCCAAATCATTCATTTTCCAGCAAAAGAAATTGCACCGATAGGACCGATTGTTCGTTAGCAACTCTGGTATGAACTTCATGCTTAGTATCGCCTCCTATCGGTGAGGCACAGATACTGCCTGCCTCAAGGCAGGCCTTTTCCCTGTGTATTCTTCTCCGATCAAAACACTTAAACTAAATTTAATAGTACATACATGCGTGCAATACATTACTAAAAACTATGAGAAGTGTAACAAATGTTTTCAAAGCAGGATGATGAAACAAACAGCGATATATCAAGAGGACGAGCTGAGTGCACTCAGTCCACTGTGAGGGAGCGAGCGGACTATTATTCCTATTCAAAGAGACTCTTTGAATAGGAAAAATAGGATTTCAGCAATTTTTGACTACAGAAATGATCAAAACTGGTCAGAACCATGCCTAAAATACATTAAAATCATAAGACAGTGGAAAATAATTATATATTACAACTAAAATAATTATATTTTTCAATAATGGCAGGTGAGGCTCTGCCTCCCTTGCCTCCCCTGACTGCACGTCACTGCCTTCTTCCTGTTTATTGCGAGTGCGCGCACCTGAGTTATTGGATTATTCCGTGGGCGGCACGGTGGCTGAGTGGATAGCACTCTCGCCTCTCAGCAAGAAGGTCCTGGGTTCGAATCCCGGTCGGACCAGGGCCTTTCTGAGTGGAGTTTGCATGTTCTCCCCGTGTCTGCGTAGGTTTCCTCCGGGTACTCCGGTTTCCCCTACCACTAAAAATATGTCCAATAGTTCTGGCATGCGCCTCCTGTACTGGCGACCCCGCTCCCATCTCTGTGTGGAGTGAGAGACAAATGCCCAAAATTAACAATTGTAAACCGCTTTGAGACTCAGATCTGCAGTGAAAAGGCGGTATATAAATAAAAACTTACTTACTAACTTACTTACTTACTTCTCTAAAATCTTAAATGGCTGAACAGAAAATGCCAATTTCACGTTTGCCACCCACTCTCCCTGTTGTGACAAAGAAAAGAAAATGCTGGATGTTTGGTTTGTTGGAGAGGCGAGGGGAGGGGGGAGTGGTTTCGAGTTGGTGCTACGGCTAAGCTAACAAAATCGCTTACTGCATCTTTAAGATGCAGGAGGGTCTACGGACAGCGGTGATAATCCATTCAACACGATTTATGGACTTCATCAGCATTTTTGGACATTAATCAAAATGTATGGGCCTTGGTTGTCTGCCCCACATAAACCAATGGCTCTATGTGTTTTTACCATTGCATTTTTTGTGTTTTAACTGTTTGATTCTCTGATCTGTGTTGACAAATGCAACAGTTTTGTAAAAGTCCTTTGTTGTTATTCGGGTTATACAAAAATAAATTAAATTGAATTGGTAAACTAGTCGAGCCACAACTGCCCTGAGGTACTGACAGACCCTAAAAATTAAGGTTCAGGCCTTATGTTTTTTGCAGAACACACAAAGTAGCAGAATGCACATAATTCCTGTAGCGGTGACAGTAAAACAATATAAAACAATATAAAAAAGATTGTGATTTCTTATGTCTTTCCCAGATGGTGGTGGTCTCAGACGATGTTCATGAGTATGCTGCAGCTCTGAAAGATACAGATGAGAAGATCGCACGATGTCCCGTCAGAGTGAGTCTACTACACTTCTCATTTACAACATTTTGCTGGTAGATATGAACTTGGCCAAACTCAGAATCAGAATCAGAATCATTTATTTGCCATTTGCAGTAAACTCATCAATTATATGAAGGCCCTAAAGCATATTCACTATGAAAGTTGACAAGAAGTCAAGTACATGTTTAGAAATTATTTGGAAGAAAATATAATCGAATTAAATTACATTATGTGTAAATATTCAAATTGTGACGATTTTGTTTGTTAATTTAAAACTTTTAGATATTGTAATGCAAATTCATACACCTGTGATGGAATCCTTTGAATAAATGAAATTGGAAAGGAAATCAGCTGAATTAAACTGTAGATTGTGGCCATGGATGTCAGGGATATAATTACTGTATGTGATGAGCATTACTGAGAAAATCACCCATATCAGTCATTTAAGCAACTTGGCTCATCCGCTCACATGTCGATGGCCTGTGGGTCTATCTTAATGTGCTGAATTAAACAATATAGATCAAAACAAAACTAGAAGATATAATTTACTGACAAAAAGTTCCTTAATAAAGCTCCTAATTTGTCATTGTCAGCATAGAAGAGCAAACAGGAGGAGGAAAAACGATGACAGGGTTTTGGGGTGTGCAAAAAGTTGAATGTTTGTTTTGGTGCTGTGGTGTTGAAGGTAATTAGTTGCACTCGTCACCACCGCTGTCAGCTGGACTCATGTTGTCTCATTACTGCAGCACACCGCTGTGTAACTGAAAACTTAACAGTTGGAAAACAGTCTGGTGAGAACAATTATATGAATGTGAAAGACTGTTTGCAAGACTGTATGAGCCAAATATTACATTTACAAATTAATTAATTCCTGAAGGCCTGATGATCCGGGACATTTATGTATTTGTGAGTATTGCATTTCCTGTGTTCCAACTGTCTGATTCTCTGAACTCTTGTTAAGGAATCGACTTGCGCTGGGAATTGGCCAAAATGTGACGATTTGATTTTATTGCAATATTTGGGCCACAATTCACTATTATTGCAATTCTTAACATATTGCGATACATAAAGTATGGTCATTCTGCGACATTATTGCGATTAAAGTAATATTGTTCAAAGGCATTAAAAACGCGGAGGAAAAAAAGGCTTAGGAGGGAAGTGCAAAAACGTTATCCTTGAACATTCAGGACACAGGACTCTTTTACAGACAAGACCTCATTATTCACTGAATAGACGAGCTCTCACATGAATGGTGAGCTCCCAGCACCTCACTTACATTATTCAAATACAACAGAAACATAAAACTCGGATGGAAATGACCAGAGTAAACTTAATTAAGTATCTTTGCTCTACTGTGTAGATTTAATTGTGTGCACAAAATACTGCGATACTACACTGAATCGATTTTTCTCCCCAACACTAAAAACGACTACTGTTGTAATTTAGGGCTTTACAAAAACAAATTTAAATGTTATTGAATTGAAAAATAGCCATTGATAGAATAGTCAATAAAGTTATGCATATAGAAACTACAATGTGTACTTGATGTGTTCTCTTCTTGTTGTTAGAGACCAGATATTTTGGAGGAGCTCCAGAAAAGTGAGAAGGTGTTTGCAGAAAAGCTGAATCATCTCAGTAGAAGACTGGCCTGGATCAATGCCACAGTTTACTCAAAGGTGCTCCACACATTTACATACACTGTCTACATGACATGTCGAACTCAGGCCCGGGGGCCAACTCTGGCCCGCAAGATCATTATTTGTGGCCCCTGAAATGATTTTCAATTATCATTTTTACAGTAACTTGCAGCATGACCCCCCCAACAAGTCTCGACTGTAAATAAACACAATGCATGATTTAATGCTGGCATTCTTGTGATTTCCTCAGGATAAAATGTTGGACATATACTGGCTGCTGTGTGTCTGCATCCGGACCATTGAACACGCCGACAACACCGGCTCGTTGTTTGCTTTTGCACCAGAGTTCTACCTCAATGTGGCTATGAACGCTTACAGTGCTCTGAAGAACTACTTCAGCCCGGCCAACAGCATGGATGAACTTCCAGGTATGGCCTTTTCTCAGAGCCTAAAGCCATGTTTCTCTATCTGACCAAGCAATAATCAAATACTATACTAACCCTATAAATGTTATATCAGACAATGAAATGCACTGCAAAAAATTAAATATGGTTGTCCAATGGGACAATATGGTTTCGTCCCATAGGCCAATCTAGTTTTAAGACAGACATGTACAGAGTCCATTCAATGCAGTACCTACACAGTTTAACAATTATCCCCATACCAAGCTGACAAACTGTAGTCAGGTTTTGATATAGGTGCATAAGCATTGCTGCTACATCTTTTTACCCAAAGCCAGTTCTCATTGTCGTCTAATACAACTTTTATTTCCCCGCAGGCTACGAAGAATCCCTGACTCAACTCGCTGCTATCCTTGCTAAGCACTTTGCAGATCCACGTATTGTTGGAACAGGTAGCACTTTATTACTGCATCTGAGGCTGAATACACTGTAAACACAACCAGTTTTCATGTTTGGAATTTATTTTCTAAACACTTTTAACAACTTGCTTTTTGTTGCAATGCTTTAAAGGACACATATTATACGAATTCAGGGTTATGAGATTTCAACCATGTTACAATACTCTTCCCTCATTGTTTTTGGATCCATTCACGCCAATATTGTGACCATACCTGCATGTGAAAACCAGATCCTCTCAGACCTCTGAAGCTAAGCAGTGCATGGGCTGGTTAGTACTGTGCTGGAAGACCTCTGGGAACACCAGGTGCCACAGTGGGGTGGCTGTGGCTGTAAAACGTATAACTCTGCTCTTCTGTCTGCCTGTCAGTCCTTTGATAGAAGGATTTCATTGTACCGCTATTATATGTGTGAGTGTGATATACTGCTCTGACATCACACTCAGAGTAGATTCCTGATTTTTTTTTTTATATCGCCCCTACATTAGTTTTTAGAAATGTTGGCAACTGATATTATGTTCTTTACAATGGCTTGGAAAAAAAAGTGGTAGCCGAGTGAGTTAGAGGCAGTTACTCTTCATACTTTCACCATTGGCTAAGCATGTTTATTTGTATGGTGATGTTCATACGCAAGGAAACTCAAACGCTTAACAAAATAGCGAACAAGGAAATAAAATCCTAACTAATCACATACATTAAAAGAGTAAAAATTAAAATGTCTCAGTTGTCTGCACAGCTAAACAGAACCGTTTTATCCTGGATTTGAACATTGTCAGAGAAGAAGCCTGTCTCACATTTTCAGAAAGACTTCCACATTTTTGCTGCATAAATTTTAAACGCTGCCTCGCCATGTTTAGTCCTGACTCAAGGCACCAGGAGGAATAAAAAACAATACATATTTTTTCTTTGTGATTATTTATTTCTGGTTTATTGGATAAGGGACTTTTTTCAACTTGATGTAATGTTTCATTTACCGAAACAGAAAAATAGTAAAAAAAAGTAAATCATGATCATGCATCATATTTCTTCTTTAAACTCTTCTTTATCTTGCTTCAAAATGAAGTCAATTTAATTAAATGCTTTTCTCTACATGCTGTAATATAATTATGATGTGTCTCTGATTCTCCTGAGGAATTTAACACCTTTACTAAGTGCCAATCTGTACCAATGTAAAAATATCTTCATCATTCTCCTTGTAGATATTAAAGACTCTCTGATGCAAGCCTTGGCCAGCTATGTCTGTTACCCACAATCCCTCAGGGCGGTCGAAAGGATTCCAGAGCAACAGTGAGTGTGGTCACCAGTGTTTGTGCCTAAATTATTACTAGTTAGAAAGAGAGACACGAGAGAGAGAGGTCAGAGAGAGAGAGAGGTCAGAGAGAGAGAGAGGTCAGAGAGAGAGAGAGGTCAGAGAGAGAGAGAGGTCAGAGAGAGAGAGAGGAGGTCAGAGAGAGAGAGAGGTCAGAGAGAGAGAGAGGTCAGAGAGAGAGAGAGGTCAGAGAGAGAGAGAGGTCAGAGAGAGAGAGGTCTGAGAGAGAGAGGGTCTGAGAGAGAGAGGTCAGAGGCCAGAGAGAGAGAGGTCAGAGAGAGAGAGAGGTCTGAGAGAGAGAGGTCAGAGAGAGAGAGAGGTCAGAGAGAGAGAGAGGTCAGAGAGAGAGAGAGGTCAGAGAGAGAGAGAGGTCAGAGAGAGAGAGGTCAGAGAGAGAGAGGTCAGAGAGAGAGAGGTCAGAGAGAGAGAGGTCAGAGGCCAGAGAGAGAGAGAGGTCTGAGAGAGAGAGGTCTGAGAGAGAGAGGTCAGAGGCCAGAGAGAGAGAGGTCAGAGAGAGAGAGAGGTCTGAGAGAGAGAGGTCAGAGAGAGAGAGAGGTCAGAGAGAGAGAGAGGTCAGAGAGAGAGAGAGGTCAGAGAGAGAGAGAGGTCAGAGAGAGAGAGGTCAGAGAGAGAGAGGTCAGAGAGAGAGAGGTCAGAGAGAGAGAGGTCAGAGGCCAGAGAGAGAGAGAGGTCTGAGAGAGAGAGGTCAGAGAGAGAGAGAGGTCAGAGAGAGAGAGAGGTCTGAGAGAGAGAGGTCAGAGAGAGAGAGGTCAGAGGCCAGAGAGAGAGAGAGAGAGGTCAGAGAGAGAGGTCAGAGAGAGAGAGAGGTCTGAGAGAGAGAGGTCAGAGAGAGAGAGAGGTCAGAGAGAGAGAGAGGTCTGAGAGAGGTCAGAGAGAGAGAGGTCAGAGGCCAGAGAGAGAGAGAGAGGTCAGAGAGAGAGAGAGAGGGAGGTCAGAGAGAGAGAGGCCAGAGAGAGATAGGCCAGAGAGAGAGAGAGAGAGGCCAGAGAGAGAGAGAGGCCAGAGAGAGAGAGAGAGAGACCAGAGAGAGAGAGGTCAGAGAGAGAGAGGCCAGAGAGAGAGAGAGAGGCCAGAGAGAGAGAGAGAGAGGTCAGAGAGAGAGGTCAGAGCGAAAGAGGCCAGAGAGAGAGAGAGGTCAGAGAGAGAGAGAGGCCAGAGAGAGCCCAGAAAGAGAGCTCAGAAAGACCAGAGAGAGTGAGGTCGGAGAGAGAGAGAGAGAGAGAGAGAGAGAGGGCCAGAGAGAGAGACCAGAGAGAGTGAGGTCGGAGAGAGAGAGAGAGAGAGAGAGGCCAGAGAGAGAGAGAGGCCAGAGAGAGAGAGAGGCCAGAGAGAGAGAGAGGCCAGAGAGAGAGAGGCCAGAGAGAGAGAGAGGCCAGAGAGAGAGAGAGGCCAGAGAGAGAGACAGGCCAGAGAGAGAGACAGGCCAGAGAGAGAGACAGGCCAGAGAGAGAGACAGGCCAGAGAGAGAGACAGGCCAGAGAAAGAGAGGCCAGAGAGAGAGAGAGAGGCCAGAGAGAGAGAGAGAGGCCAGAGAGAGAGAGAGAGAGGCCAGAGAGAGAGAGGCCAGAGAGAGAGAGAGGTCAGAGAGAGTGAGAGAGCCCAGAGTGAGAGAGCTCAGAAAGAGAGCTCAGAAAGAGAGCCCAGAAAGAGAGCTCAGAAAGACCATAGAGAGAGACCAGTTTCCAACTTTCAAAATTCCCATAATCTTGCAACCCTAATCCACAGTTGATTATCTTATTATGGTATTATCTATTATCTTAAAAAATACATCCTGTTTACTCTGTGGATGACCTCTCTCTTATTCTGCTGTGAGATTTGTTAGAATTGATGAGATCTTATGAGATATAAAAAAAGTTTCTATTTTTTCCACACCCTGTAGAATGAGTCGTTGCCATTTATTAACTGCTGGATACGCACCTTTTTCTGTTTCTGTTGATTGAAGGCGAGTCGCCATGATGAGGAACCTGCTGGCTCCATACGAACAAAGGCCTTGGGCTCAGACCAACTGGATTCTGGTCCGACTGTGGCGGGTGAGGGCTACTTTGCTTTAAGAGCTTTACACTTTATAATTTTGAAAGATTGATATTGAAGCATTTACAGCTAGCTTAGAAACATAGCAGCTACTCATATTGTATACTTTGCGTGCTCCCTGTGTGCTCTTACTACTGTCCTGTATGTGCGCTGCAACATTGAAATTTTGCCACTATGGGGCGAGTAAAGGTTCTCTTATCTTAACTTTTAAAATGTTCTGTCGTGGTTTGATTTAATAAGATAATGGAATACATTGGAAATAAAATCAATTAGTTTCCTGGTAATGCTAACTGTACTCAAGATTTTACTGTGTATGGTATGTTTACAAAATATAGGAAAGCAAAATCCAGGAAAACACATTTTAAACTATTTATTTGTTTAATGGGGTAGAAAATAATAATTTGAAATTTAGCATGTTGCTAACATGTACAGATGAATCTTTCTTACACTAGAATATGCAGCATTTTACATTTGCTTCTTCAGCTTAAGCATAATAAAGAAGCCAGTATAAAATCTCTCGCTTTAGCATAATAAAGAAGCAAGTGTATAACCATTATTCAAAATAATGGTTGAATAGATTCCATTGCAATCCATTCTCTTCCATATTGTAGATTTCAGCTCCTGCTCGTGTTGGGTACATTCTGTTATTCACTGCTGTTGTTTTTCAGGGTTGTGGTTTTGGCTACAGATACACTCGATTGCCTCACCTTCTGAAAACCAAACCTGAAGACGCCAACCTCCCCAGTCTTCAGAGTGAGTGCCTCCCACACTGGTAACATCCTGTGCCTTCTCAGTGCAGCGTATTTGGACCGCAGTCTACTTTCACAAGAATCAATAGCAGATCCTTATTAAAGTTCAAGCATTACAGTTATATCACAAGCAGAAAGTACGATCTTGGTGCTTTAATCGTTTCTCCCACACAGCCTTCGGAGAAAAAACTTATTATTGCACAAAATGAAACATAAATCGTTGATGTTTGGCTGGAGTGGCCATACCTGCTGTTAGTCTGTTGTGTGTGTGAATGGTTGGTGGTGGTAGGGGCCGATGGCACATACTGGTTGCCTTGCTTCTGTCAGGTAGTAGTAGTAGTAGTAGTAGTAGTAGTAGTAGTAGTAGTAGTAGTAGTAGTAGTAGTAGTAGTAGTAGTAGTAGTAGTAGTAGTAGTAGTAGTAGTAGTAGTAGTAGTAGTAGTAGTAGTAGTAGTAGTAGTAGTAGTAGTAGTAGTATCACCACAGTGTATGGAGTGAATGAATAATGTGAAGCGTCTTCAATAGCAACTTATTGAACTGATTTATTATTATTAAGTTTTAACGACTTTTTGGATGCCCTCCTGTTAATTGAAAAGCTTTTATTTTATTTTCCCTCTGCATGTGATTATGCCATGCCCCATTTATTTTTTGTTTTTTTGTTTTCTCCTGCATGAACTCAATAATACGTTTTTATTTGCATGCTTTTCAGGGGATCTGTCAATTGCTAGTTTTCAAAGTAAGTTCCATTTGTGTATCCATAGAGCCTGTAGTCTGTGCCATCCATTTGTAGTAACCCTATCACCTCTAATAACTAGCCAGTGAGTAGTTCAACAGTAATTCCGGATGGGAAGAGTGCACATTCCAAGCAGTTATATATTATTCGCACATTTACGCAGTTTTTTTGTACAATCTGCCTTGTCCTTAGCTTCTTGTTGTTTGCACAGGACAATGCATAATTGTTTGTTAGCGTTAGCAGAAGTATGATAATGATTCAGTATGCCCCCACACAAGGTCCAGCCACTTCAGCATTATTGGAGGCCTCACAAAACACTCTATGCAGTCAATGCATATACTTATTTCTTCGCTGATGTGTGCATAACCTTAAAGATTGCACTCTTTTGGGGAAATAATGAACCCTCAGCGGATGCTTTAATACTCCTAGGCAGACAATGTGGTGTTGGCCTTATGTGTCCACTGGGTTCCCAGAAGGACGGGAGATGGCAGCAGGTTTAGAGAGCGTTAGATGATTAGACTTAATGAATACTGAGCTCCACAATGTTCCCATCCCTGGTCTCAAAGGAGCCCTGGGAGTTATATACCTGCACCTTGTCTGTTTCTTTCCCATCTGCCCCTTTTCTCTCTCATTTGTCACATTTTCGCCCATTATAAATCTTTTGTGGAGAAACTTTCTTCCCTTGCCCAATTGTCTTTTGCCTCAGTATTGTTTCACTATTGCTTCACTATTACTGTGTGTTTTAGATTATGTAACTCTATAATTTATAAAGACAATGGACAGTCCTTTTCTTGATTTGGTTTTGGCAAAGAAGTAGAAGCTTTCTGTCGCTGAACCATTCAACAATATGGTATGGATGTGGATGAAATGCCACATTCAGTTAAAGAGGTGCATACATAATGACTACACATTTATTTATTTGTTTATTTGAATGGGACAGTGTACATTATTAAAAACATCAAATTTAGATGAAAAATAGCCTGTTTTCATCTGTAGTCCCATGGCAGGTTGATGTTTACAGCCATCAACAAACAGAGCAACAGATATTTAAACGCCACATACAAACATAAAAAGTAAAACACAAAATCGCAATTAAGGCTGTCATCAACAATTATTTTTTCTAATCAATAAAGTAACTGAATATTCTTTGGATTCTTTGATCCATCCATCCGTCTTCTTACCATCAATCCATTTTCTGGGTTGCGGGGGAGTGGCAATCAGAGCTGCCCCCAATTCACAGAGCACCAGCCCCTCACTGATCCTCCTGCAGGTGGTGGGTTAGGAGGACACAGGAGGACACAGGAGGACGACTGCTATGGTCTGTGCTGCCATGATCTGTCAGCAGGGGCTTCAGACTAAGTGGGGTTAAGTGTTTTTCCAAAGGACAAGGGGAACAGACAACAGCGGGAATTGGTGGAGAAGGTCTCGTGGTGGGTTCAAACCCACGACCTACAGGCTCAAAGGCCAATGATAAACCAACTGTCGGCCCCTGATTATTTGATAAATTGTTTAAATGCCAAAGGGTCAGTGAATGTGGGATTTTTTTTTTTAGACATTTGACCAAAACAAAGCTGACTTGTGACACATTGGAGATGAGGCAGTGTTTGCAGTCATTATAAAATTATCTGAGTCATTAAACTCATGGACTGCCACCTTTTGTTTGTTATTTATTTTTATTTAGATCCCCATTAGCTACTAAAATATACAATAGCTATTCTTACTGTGGTCTATGTACTTATCATGGACAAAAACTAAAGCACAAACAGAAAAATAAGCTGACAAAAATACAGAAATACACACACTCTCACACCAAATCTCCTAGATCGTTGGTTAGAACTTTCAACTGATACTCTTTTGAAGTTATTTTTACCCTTTAATTTTTGATATCCTGCAGGTTTGAAATCTTGCGCAATTGCAATGTTGATCATAAATATTATTCCACAATCTTGCGGCCCTAAAAACCAGTGCTTCTCTCTTCTCCTGGGTTAGAGCCGTGCCCGTCGCTCCTGCTGCAGAAACACATGGCTGAACTGCTGAGTATGGATAAGGAAATGGCAGCCTCCTTCCTCAACAGTGTCCTGAACCAACTCAACTGGGCATTCTCAGAGTTCATCGGCATGATCCAAGAGGTAAGAGGCTGTAGTCCACCAAAGATGTTCTTGATCGACGAGAGACACAACTAAAATGGGTGCATGGCAAAATTTCTAATAATTATTATTATTAGATCTAGATTATTCATTTATCTATTCATTTGATCTAGATCGGGGGGGCAATTCTTATCTTTTGGGTGCTTAGATATAGACTAGACCTGTGGCTCAGAGAGTAGACTTTAAAGCTGCTTTTTGTTTCATGTCTCTCCATGGCCTTACACCAAGATCTGTGACATGTTAGTGCCATATGAACCAACTCTGAGCAACTCTGAGCACAGGGGCCTCCTGCTGGTGCCCAGAGTCAGAACTAAACATGTGGAGGCAGCATTTCAGATTTATGCAGTTATGATCTGGAACAGTCTTCCTGAAAATGTTCAAATCCAGGTTAAAAAGTTGCGTTTAGCTTTGCTCCAACTGAGGGATTGTATCTTTACTCTTTTAAATCCACAGTGATTATCAATGATTTTTATGCCTTGTATTATTGTTTCTATCTGGTTTTGTTAAGCACTTTGAGTTTCCTTGTGTATTAACTGTGCTCTATAAATGAAATGATCTTGCCCAGCTTTCCATTTTTTTCTTCTATTTATGGTGAGAGAACAATGTTGTATTATGGTATGAAAACAGTCTTCTTGTCCAATATCCAACACCGACAGATGAGTTTGGTATAATTCCATTACTCACACCGGATGTAAGACTTATTTCCCAGTAAAATGAAGAGCGTCGTCCAATGTCACACTCATTATATCCCAGAGATCTGTGACGCAGGTACAAATCTCAATGAATCCTGATCCAATATTTTATTCAGTTACAACGTTATTTGGACAATGTGTACTACTGCAAAACACTGTGCAAGTCCATTTTTTTTATGTACATGTGAAATGGCCTGGTGGGTTTATTTGTATAGCACAGTGCATACATGGGGAAACTCAAAGTGCTTCACAAAACAAGATAAGAATTGTGCAAGGCATGAAAATTATGAATAAAAAGTAAATGGCTGATAATTTAATGATGATATCGACGGACAAAAATCTCTAAAAATGAACGATTTCTATAAATCTCTATTGTTGATGCACTTTAATTAAAACATCACATAAATTCACTAAAATAAGTCAATATTTTTTCTCCTTTTTCTTTTTTGGGCTAAATGTCCCTTTTAATGTCAGAGAAACATAAGTGTTCGCTCATGTTGGCTTACTGTCACTGTCAAACTGTTATTGTCTCTAAAACTTGTGAAAAGCTCTGAACTCATACTGTAAATAATTGAGATGCTCTGAATGTATCGGGTTTGTCACGGCGCTTTTGTCTGGAGTCCACTGTGCATCACATCAAAGTAATCCCAATGTTTTGTTTTCATTCTTAGATTCAGCAGGCTGCAGAGCGCCCAGAGAGAAACTTTGTGGATACCCGTCAACTAAAGGTACCTATTTTGAATCCAGGCAAAATGGTGTTTTGAGAGGAAGACGTTGCAATAGTATCTTTCTCACTGTAAGATTACCAAATGACCCGAGGCCTACTGTATCGTTGGATTTAAATTGAGCATTGCGTCCAAAGGTAAAAAAAATAATGTATTGCATTTGGCCTTTTTAAAATCATGGTTTAGGATTTTGTTTTTCTTCATATTGTTCTTCTATCATACATTAATTCTGTTGTAGAATCTGATAGTAGAACGGGGATTTTATTTATCCTCTTATTTCATGGTCTCTATTGCTGATTCCAACCCTGTTAAACTTTCGATACTCAACTTTCAAAACACAAAAATATATCTATATAATAAAATAAATGCCACTGGTTTGACTATAGTTTGGTTCTTTCTCTAGATTTTCAGGTATTATAATGTTATCTAACAAATACTATTGACTAATACATTTTTATACATGAGTGTAACGATTGTGTGATTGATTTTTATTCATTCGAGCACAAAAAGTAAATACATTTAAAGGTGCCTTTCAAAACACCCAACGACACTGTACAAACATGGTTAAAAACAGAGTGCAATTAAAAACATTAGCATTATTAAAAACAGAAAGCAACAGAATTAGTGATGGCGAAGGAAAGTCTGATAAGGTGAGTTTTGAGTCTGGATTTGAAGCGGGGAAGAGGGAGATCGGGGGGAGTGATTTCTAGAGCTGGAAAGCAAAGCGGCTGAATGATCTACCCCCCATGGTGACGAGTCCGAAACAGTAGACCGAAAGCCGGAGAGAGAAGAAGGAGCGGACGGTACGAGAGGGTATGAGAGTGTGTGGAGATGTAGAGGAGGTCAGACAGGTAGTAGCCAGGTTATGGAGAGATCTGAAAGTGGTGAAGAGGATTTTGAAGTTTATGCATTGTTTTTTGGGGAGTTTTTTGTAACTGTTGGAGAATCGGGTTGATGTGGTGAATTGTGGGTGTCGTGGTGATGATGCGGGCCGTTTTGGAGGTGCTGCAGTTTCTATAGCGATTTGTTAGGGAGACCAAAAAGGAGAGAATTTCAGTAGTCAATACAGGTCGTAACAAGGACGTGGAAATGTGACAGAGGCAGTTTTAAGAGAGGTGGGGACAGTTCCTAGTGTGACAGAAGAATGAATGATGATCGTGATGAGGGGAGGGAGAGAGGGGAGGCAGGAGGATTTTCCCAGACCAGAGCTGTAGGAATAGGATCTAGCTGAAAAGTAGAAGGATTGGAATTAAGAATGGTGGCAGATATATCTTTGACAAAGGGGAGGGACAGTGGGCTCTGCTCCAGAAACTGCAGCACTGCCTGAGAGTTGTTGGTGGATGGTTGTGACCTTGGATATGAAGATAAGAGAAGAGAGAGTTGCAGAAGTCAGGGGAGTATAAATGGTTTGTCAGTGAGTCTGGGGGTTTGGTTATGTTGTAGAGGAGGGAGAAAAGCATTTTGGAGTTTTTTTGACTGGATCAGACCAGAGTAGTAGGTGCTTTGGGCAGATGCAATTATACATTAAAAAGTATTTGCAAGTTAATGGAGATAGTGTACATTGTTAAGCTCTCAGTCGTATAGGGATTAGTCAAAGCAAAGGAAAGTTTCTCACCCATCATCTGTACTTGAGTTAGGATCGTTAGCCCAAGCAGGGTTGTTAGACCTGCTCCCTACCACATCTTAATAGATCTTAGAGGTGTTAAGGATTTATCTTAAGGATCAGAGGGTGCCTAACCACACCCACAGGTTATGAAGCTCCAACTCGCGGTCATGAGAATTCATTCCCTTGAAAAAGTTCTTTGGATTAAAGACGAAACGTCTTTAATATTAGTACAGATGATGGGTGAGAAACATTCTTTTGCACTGTACATTGTTGTTTCCTACTGCACTTAACAATAACACAATATATATATATAAAAAAACACATCCCTTCACTCTTGCGCCCTACCTAGACATACACAAACACACTCTGCTCTAGTTTCACCATGTGTTGGACAGTGGTGGTGATCCAGGACACTCAACATTTATCGACATTTAGGGACTATTTTTTGTTTGTTTTATCATTACATTTCCTGTGTTTCAACTGTTTGATTCTCTGATCTGTGTTGGCGAATCGATGGTTTTGTAATGTCCTCAGGGATAACTACTGTTTTTTTTTTAGAGCTATACAAGAATAAATTGAATTGAATTGATGGTACATTTACAATTTCAGGATGTATTTATAAATGTATTTCTATTTAAGAATTGTCGTATCACAACGTGATTTGTGATTGCAGGTGTGTGCCACGTGCTTCGATCTGTCTGTGAGTCTGCTGCGTGTGCTGGAGATGACCGTCACACTGGTTCCAGAGATCTTTTTGGACTGGTCTCGTCCCTCTGCAGAACTCCTCCTCAGACGTCTAGCGCAAGTAAATAATCTCTTTAACATTACCTAATGTCCATGCTGGTTAAATAAACACATTCTGTTTCCTCTAGTTGTTAAACCAGGTGCTGAACAGAGTCACGGCTGAGAAGAACCTATTCGATCGTGTTGTCAATTTGAGACTCCCAGGTAGACTATTCTCTCATCATAATTCTTTCGTTACACCCTGGACCAGGAAAAACAAGATGTTAAAATGGTCACTGAAGTCAAGACACAAATAGGTAACAAAATAACTAGTAAATAAATTGCCTATAAAACTACAAAAAGTAAAAGTAAACAAATTACAGAAGTATAGGAAGAACAGCTTAAAATAAATCAATATGTACAAAATCAAACCAAAACGCCACAGAAAGGCAACGTTTTTTTTAAATTATCCCAATGAAACCTACAAAACAAGTCACTACATAAAAGACGAGTAACACAAGAGACGCAAAAGTAAATGGCGAACTGGAGCCCACAGAGAAGTTGGACAAGTGAATTCCAAGTGCACGATTGGAGGACTGCCTTGGCCTGTGTCCAATCGGCACCCAGGCATTGCAGTATTCCAAACACTGCCGACAAGGAGGAGAGACACACACTAAAATAGACTGTGTATAATTAATTAAATTCAATGTATAGCTCTATACCACTACAGTAGCTACCTTTTGAGGACTGTACAACGCCCACATTGAGGGAGTTAAATGATGCTTACCCTCTCGCTTAATGAAGTCCAATTGGGAAGTACTCATGGACAAAGCTTTGTCCAAGCTTTGTCTCGCTCTTGTTCCTGTTGAAAAGCTCCAGCTCATGAACCATTTATCTAGTAGCGCTCTCTGTGATATGGTGTTTAAATGTTGATATTAGTCGAAAAATGATGACAGAGGCAACAACAATCTCACCTGTTACCCAGAGTTCTTCCAGTTCGAAAAAAACACTTTTTTTATACATCAGAACAGAGACTTCATCACTTATATTTATGTTTGCTTAATACATAGATAGTAGTAAAAATGTGCAGGTAGTTTGAGCACAGACTAGCGTGCTAGCTCATCGTTGGCCTGTGAAAGGGCTGCTGTAATGTGATGCACTGATGCTAATGCTGCATCAATATTAATAAGTGTTTCTGCTGCAGGTCTGGAAAGCGTTGACCATTACCCCATCCTCGTGGCTGTTACTGGCATCTTGGTCCGAATTCTAGTGGATGGAGACCGGCAAGGGTAAGATCATATGGTGTACTTCTTTTTAAGTAGTGTATAGACCCTTATCTTGACAATATAATTACGTATTTCTGGCCAGACGAAAAGCTTGTACTAAGATTCAAATTTATTTTATTCGTCCCACAGTGGGGAAATGTCAGTGTTGCATCACCAGTTACAAAATAGTAGGAATGAGGAGCACACAGCACAAGATAAAATAACAATAACTCTATGCTAAAATAAAATAACTTCAGTACAATAAAGAAGCAAGTATAACTTTTTCTAGCTTTAGCATAATAAAGTCTTATTAATCTTTTGGGGGCGACAGTGGCTCAGCTGGCAGTGCATTGGCCTTTAGGCCTGAAGGTTGTGGGTTTGTTCCCCCCACGAGACCTACTCCTACTGCTCCGACAGAAGACTGCTGTTGTTGTGTCCAACACCAAAGCTGTGACATCGCTGACCGAACAGCAGCCATCTTGTTGCGGTTTTGTACAGCACAGAAAAGTGCTGTACAAAACCACCTACAGGGGGTGAGTCCACAGAATTAATAAAGGGGTAGAACATTTATGAATTAATAAAATAACCTAACATAATAAAGAAGCAAGTATAAAATCTGTATAATAAAGAAGAACATGTAAAATGTTGTATATTCCAGCACAATGATATAATAAGAAACATATCAATCAATCAATCAACTTTATTTGTATGGCGCCTTTCCAACACAAGGCCACTCAAAGCGCCTCACAACCCACATAATATCACACAAATCAGAGACATCAATAAATACATTAAAAACAGAATAAAATCACAAGTAATGAAAAAAAAAAAAAAAAAAAAACTTTAAATATTAAAAGCACACACGGGATTAAAATAATAAATAACCACAATGCATTAAAAAAAAGAGTATGTATCAATAAAATCCTTCAGCCGTATGCACAGCTAAAAAGAACAGTTTTTAGCCCTGATTTAAAAATTGCCAGAGTAGATGCTATACATAATATTGGTATGTATACATCTGTACATGTTAGCAGCATGAGGGTCAAAGAGACTGAAGTGACCGTGACACATGTGGTTCTATATTCTGACATTAGTTCAAATTATTGCACAGATACACGACATGTGAGGTCAGGTCAGCAGCGTTCTTTAGTCCACATTGTTTGTCGTACAGTCTGACAGCATCAGAAAGGAAAGACCTGTGGAACCTCTCATTTTGACACAGCGTCACAGTTACTACAGTTTCTACATTTTGTAATATTTTTTGAAACCTTTCACACATGATTGAGTTTTTAATATTCTACTTGCCTTCGAAGCCAAGCTATCTCCCTTGGACGAGGCGATGATGCTGATGATGTTGGTTATCGTATGCATTTAATTAAGATTTAATTAACATGACTGTTTCTCCCGTGACATGGGAGAGATGAGTCTGAACTCATTACCTCTCAATAACGCTCACACTAAATTACAGCGTGAAGGTCTGTTGACAGTATTTTGTGAACTGAATGAAGTGGAAAGTGAAGAGCATTTTCTGTTATGTTGTCCTTTTTCTGATGAATTTAGAAACGTGTTATTGTTTTATGAGACGTTCACCCAGGATCCTCATTTGTTTATGTGCCTGTCTCTGTTTTTATGTTAATGGTGTCTTATATGCAACTTGCGCTATAATAAAAAGAATACTTATCTTTATCTGTCTATGTTCCAACGGCAATGATAAACCAGCTAGCTTTACTGACAGGTAAAGTGCATGGCTCCCATACTCAGTTCAGTTCAGTTCAGTTCAGTTTATTTATTTGCCATTTGCAGTAAAACATCACATTGGAATACATTAGCAAAAAGTCTCCAGTGTGCACAGACATAAAACAACATTAAAAGACAGAAATAAAACAAATAAAACAGTAAACAAATGGTCACTGTGAAATTGATCGACCTAAAACAGTTTCAAAACAAGTGCAAATCATTAAAGTGCTCTGTTCACACTGATAACAGCTTGTGGATAAAAACTGTTAGCGTAACGAGATGTCCTTCATCTCAGAGCGATATCTTCTGCCAGAGGGAAGAAGCTGGAACATGGCTTTCCCAGGGTGGCCAGAAGAGTCATTAACAATCCTAAGAGCTTTGTTTAAAAGTCTGGATTTATAAAGAACCTCCAGAACAGGAAGCTCACAGCCCACAGTCCTCTTTGCAGAGCGGAGCACCTTGTTTAAAGCTCTCTTTTCTTTATCTGTGATAACACAGTGTGACACAGACACAGAACCAACAAGTAAACTCTCAATGGTGCAGCGATAAAAGTTAAGCAGAATCTTAGAGTTAGTGGTAAATTCTCTAAAAGAAAGTAGAGTACTTGTTATACTTGCTTCTTTATAGTTTCTATACTCCTACAACTACTACTACTACTGTGTAATTTTTACAGTTGCTCCAATACCAATATCAAATTTGACCTTTTGAAGAGCATTTACTTCCACCATGTTTTTGAATAGCATTATTAGCATTCACCAACAGTGATCCAAAGAATTTGAAGAACACTTTGCACATTTAACAAACCAACCTTGTTGTTTGACTTGACTACATAATTTTAACAGGTGTGGAATCAAAAGTAAGCTTCAGATTTGTAATTGACTAAACAGCGTAAAGACTTACATTTTTGGCTGATTTCAATAGACAAATGAAAGTTCCCATGATTTATGAAAACACACTTTCACTGATCATAGGCATTGACAGTATCAGTGTTTCTCCCATACGGGCTGTAGACATCAGTGCCTCCTCCTGTGCGTGGAGCAGCGAGGGCCGTTGGACGACTCCTGCGGCTAAAATTGCTTTCTCTTTTTCTTCTGCTATTTGAACCTTAATTTGACCCCCTGAACATGCATTAAAAATTACCAACTTTTCCCCCCAAATCTGGCAAAAAATAAATAAAAAAATGTGTCTTTATTTTTCACAGTGCCCTCTACAAAAGTCAGTTTACATAGCGCCTATGGGAGCGGGTTAATTAATTTAACGAGTGCCCTCAAAAGTCCACAGAGGCTAAACTAGACTGGTCCAAAAACAAATATTCCCCTCAGCATTGACACACATCTGAAACGGAGCGTTGGACGAAGAGCCGACTTTATAATGCTAAAGTTAGAGATTTTATACCTGCTTCTTTGAAAGGCTAAAGTCAGAAATTTTATACTTGCTTTTTTATGCTAAAGTTGCATATTTTTTATATAATTCTAATACAGAGTTATTGTTCATTTGTTGATGCAACCCAATTTCCCATGTGGGACAAATAAAGAATCTCCATTTTATTTTAATCTTAATCTTACTTTTGTAGGGGATATTGCAATGGCATAATCATTTAAACGTAAACTTTTGCACTCTTTGGTTCAGTATTTGCATTTGTCTACCAGCGCTCACACTTGTCCACACTGGGGCACGACAGTGTTGATAGGTTTCAGAATGTAGGAAATGTAATTACCAGATGATAAAAGCTGCTGCCACAGAAAACACAGACGGGAATAGGATGGAGTTCTGGAAGCTTCACTCTGCCTAAACTCAGAGGCTTTTGTTGATGTCGGAAACATCCTTCTGCGCTATACTGTAATGAAAATGTCAATCAATCAATACATTTTTTTTTGCAAAATGGCATTAGGTTTGGCACATTAGGCTTACTTAGAAAAACAATGACGATCACACAGAATATTAAAAACTTAAATCAAAATCTTACTGTTTCACACTTTTTAAGCCATACACTGTCAGACCTCTGAAGTGAAGTAGGACAGGCCCTGGTTAGTTCTGTGATGGGAGACCTCTGGGAGCACCTGGTGCCACATTGGGGTGGCTGTGGCTGTAAAGTGCCAAACTGTTCTGTCCTTAGGCAGGGCCCTTCTCCGACCTTAGAATGAATCTGGTGTGTGTGAATGGTTGGTGGTAATGGGAGGGGCTGATGGCACAGACTAGTTGCCTCGCCTCTTTCAGTGTGCCCCAGGGCAGCTGTGACTGCAGTAGTTGTTTATCACCACTGTGTTAAGCCTGGTTCACACAAGACGATTTTAAAATTGTCGGCCGATTTTTTTCTCCGTGTGAGACCTCACACACGGAGATAAAAAATCACGGGTCTAACCACTTTGGTCGTACAGTGTGTGGTGCGCAGCCACACGGCAAAATCACGCAAACCACACACATCACACACAAACCGATTTCACCCCCGAGAATTCACAGGTCACTGGAAATCTCACAACATCTCTCGAGATCAAGCGTGACTTCAGAGTAAACAGAGTGTGCAGGCCTCTCTGCGTCTGACCACAGCAGCCACAGATACCATGAGGACAAACACATACATGTGGATTTTACTGCTCTACAGTTCTCTGGCCCGTACTGTCTGTGCTGTTCAACAATACAGTTTGTACGGACTACCTGTGAACGCATCACACACACTGCTAGACATGAAACTTTACATACACGCAAACCAACAAGCACGGCTGCAGTAACGGCTGCATCAACACGTCTGTACTGTATAAGGACAGAGTGCAAAGTAAACATACAAACACAACCCATCAGTCTGATCATTTAGTGTACTAATCCCGTCCGAATAGGGCTTATGCCAACACTACCTGTGCAGCAGCAATTTCTGCCCAATTCCTCTCCTTGTCATTTTGGTGATGATTCTTTACACGACACATCATACATACATTCACGGTGTTGCCAGAGGTCAACTAGTTGTTCCTCCATCTCTGATGTCCACCGAACTTTCTGGTGCGCCATGCCGCTGACTGTTTTGGTTTTTTTTACGGTGTTTCCTCGTCGGCTCGTCTCGTCTTCTGATTGGCTACACGCCGCAAAATCGGCCTAATTATCCTGCCGTGTGAACCAGGCTTTAGGAGCGAATTAATAATGAAGCGTCTCTGAGTGTCCAGAAAAGTGCTGTACAAAACCTATGCATTACTATTAACATTCAGTTATGTTCATCAGCCTGATTATTGCACATAACAGATATTGTATTTTGTTTCTAAGTTTAATGATTCTTTGAGAATTGCATTCTGGGAGGT